ACATGGCATTGAAGAGATGGGCGTCGACTCACTATTGCAGCAAAGCCGGCGCATTGTGTGGAGGTGAAAAGAAGTCTAATGAACAGGAAGCCTTATTTGAGAGAGCTGACAGTAACCATACAACAGCCACATTGTGCACTTGCCACCGACGCTGTGGGTCTCTACATTTGGAGAAGTGATGAGAAAGTACCCCCAAAAGACACAGTCAGCCCCTTGGACCCGCGTAAATGCAAGTGCACAATAATGGCGGACACAAGCTGTCTCCACCTTTACCCAAAGCTTCACGTTTACATGCACAGAACATCAACCGCTCTCATGGCCCAGGATAAAAGCCCCCGGCCAGATGGAACTTTGAAGTACAGTTGGGTTAGTTTACCACCGAAGACCACAATTTGAGTGTAGCCCCAGCTCAAATGTGTGTCATACATTTTAAATTATATCAACTCTTCCTGCAGAAGTTAGAAGTCTGAATTTGGGTGACCAGTCCTCCTCCTGCCCCTCCTCCTCACATGCCTCCAACTCAAGGTCCATCAATTGCCCACAAAAGCATGACATCACCAATAAGCATAGGCTCTTTAAGCTTCAAGCAATAAGCCTTATTTACTGATGAGATAAGCCCTGGCCTATTGTTTTGCTCTCCACTTTGCCCCTTTATGTCCCAGTTGAAGAATCAAATGGCACTTTTTGAAGTTGACGGAGCATGGCTGGGATTTAAAGCTAAACCATGCAGAGGGGTTTCCTATTCGGAGGCCTTTCACTGAGCAACAACAGCCGGTTTAGTTCAAAGAGGCCATGGCAGGTCGGAGGATATCACTTGTTACTCACAGATTGCTTTTACACCAAATTAATAGGTCTTCCACCACATGCGGTTTTATGTGCAAATAGAATATACCGACTTCTAGTGCAGCACACCACCGCGCCAAGTGTTTACAGACCATAATTGTCAAATACCTGTGTGTGTAATCTATAATTACGGTTTGTACTGCATTAGTCCTTCGGAAAATGGTCACTAAAGTGCTGAGCAATGATGATACAGCCTGACCACTGGTAACAGTAAGTAAAAATGTTGTTTATTGTGATTTTAGACAAAGTAGAGGGAAAAGTTTCAACAGCACTTTGCACACATAAGTCTGTCAAAGAGAGAGAAACTTCCTCTAACTAGGTTGTCTCCGCAATCCAGAATATACACCACGTCTACATGTAAGAAATTGAGCTCCTATTTTTACCGAGATGAAAAGCCATCTCTATCACACTACATCCAGTGTCGTGGCATGTATTTTAAAAATGTGTTGTTTGTTTTGCTTCTTTTTCCACTTCGAATCGTGTCTTGGGAACTTGTCAGAGAGTCACTTAAGAAAAGGCAGCGTCTCTGGGGAACCGCTTCCGGCTTCAACCCCCCTATTTGCCCGCCCCATGTCACCGGCGCAAGGAACAAAGCCCGCCATCGTCAATTCTCCAAATTTCACAGCGCCTGTCGAAATCCTCCCTCTATTCCTTCTGCTCAACTTTACGTACTTTATGCCTGGGATCATTAGGTCTAAATTCAGACTAAAAAAATAAGAAAATAGATGTTTTTATAAAGATTCCAACTCCATGCCATTCACGCACCTGCAATTTGTTCCTATTTGTCAAAACTACTGCACAAAAGAAACCGCTGGCACAACATAAAGTTTATGAAAAACCTCGTCTTCTCAACCCTGAGCGGCCTTGAGACAACTTATTTATAGAGCGTGGACAAAACATCCTTAAACCATTTGCATCTCTGTCAGTTGTTGATCTGCTATTGGTTTCACAGAGTAACAATAGAGCACATCTTTGACTGAATGGAATAATATTCACAAATCGACGTATCAATAGTCTCTTAAAGTACGCACAGAACTCATCATTTTTATTTTCCTTTCACATTGTGCTGACTCTTACATTGTGTTTTTATTTCCTCATTGTGTGTACAGCAGGGTTTTACAGACGTTATTTATTAAGGCTATATCAGCGCCTGTGTTGAAGCCACGGCTATTCAGATGCGCTGCAAAATGTGGCTATTATAGAGCTATGTGCTTAATAATAGTTATTGTGGAAACTTTGTTGCTCCCATTCTTGCATGGGGCTGTTATCGTGGGCCAGGCAGAGGAGATACAGTATATGCTGACTGTGATGTAGATAGCGCTGGGAGTACGGCTATTGTGCGGTGCTGGTCCCACATAGGGATTGGAGTCTGCTGTCAGTGCTGCGTCAGGTGCATTGGGTCCCGCCGAGACCGCACTGATGCTCCAGCTGCTCGGAGCCCACACCTCCCTGGGCCCCTGTCCTCCAGCCTGACACCCGACACAAAGTAATCACAGATCACAGCGTTTAATCACTGAAACAAGCACTCCAGAGGACCCCGCTGTCAATATCCCACTCTCTCATTATCTGTTTGGATTGCACATCCACACTGTCAGATAAACAGGGTGGAAAATTAAGATTAAAAATATGGTAATTTCATTTCAGGAAGCCTGCTCCTCTCACTGGCCCATTATGCTATTGATTACCCCTGAATTCAATTTCTCTTTTCAATGTAAACTTTAATCTATTCGTGAGCCAACAATCCGGCTCCCGAGGGGCTATTTGAGAGTAAGTAAGCATTTAATATGACGCTGGCTAAAGATTCACTGGCTGTAATGAATTGTGTAAATCACTCAGCTTTTAAAGGAGCAGGTTGTCTCACAGTTCACGACCCAAATCTGGGCGCTAGTTAAATACTGGCTTTTATAGTGTGCTAAGTGTTTACAGACAGCCATCTCTGAATGCGTAATCACGGCTCCGCTCCTTGTCTCAGCGAAGGCAAATTAAGCAGCTCTTTTCTAATTGAGCTGGCAATGATGAACATTTAATTTAAATTAGGGCTCGACTGTGACAGCACACATTAAAATGTTACAACTGAGTTAATGGTTTCACACTGTAAAATAATCCCTTGACTCAACAGAGTAATGACAGGGTTGTTTTCCTTTTCAACCACTCACCAATTTGTAGCATTGTGGAGCGGAGCCGCTGGGACCGCTGATCTGAGACAAAAATCGTTCAGTCCTTGGAACAGCCCAAGCTTAGAGAGACACTGTAATGTAAGCAGGTAAAGGACGCATCCAGTCAAATACATTATCAACACTTTTATTATAGCAGTATTCTTCTGTCAAGTTCAATCACAGAGGACTTTACAAAATTGTCAAATTCGCCAACCCAGATCAAAGAATCAAACAGTCTAAACACAAGAAATGCAATGATAAAAAACACATAGAGCCATTGGTCCATAAGGGGCGGAGGACCAATGTCCATAAATGTAAAGAATGAAATGTAAATGTATAAACATTTTTGCTACATCCATACTCTATGTTAAATGTGCAAAATGGGCTGTTTTTCACACCTCTTTGAAGCGTGAGTGAAAGGACTTGACTATTACACTCATTTATATCGTAATTCAACTTACAATGTGAAACTAAAATATGATAGACATATTACATCCAAAGTGACATACCAAGCATTTATTTGTTAGAAATGTGATGATTATAGCTCTGAGCCCTAATTATTAACATAATTAAAAATAAAAGCTTGATATATGTATCACTTCGCTTGTCATATAATAGTTTCACAGAGAACGTTGAATAACAAAGGTAAATGGCTTTTTTAATAATATTCAACATTTCTGAGTTTCACCTGTGTATCGATTTGAACTTTAAAGACACACATTACTACAGTGAAAACAAACACATCTGCGGACTTACAAATGTATTAACTGTTTGTCTTTTATTTATTTTGTTTACACAGGACTTTCAAACGTGGCGATTACATGATCAATCAGTTAATCAGAAATGGACTCTGATTCTTTTATAGTTGAACATTGTACATTCATTATAGATCGCACCTGAGGTAGACATAAAACTAGAACAAACCATCAAAACCATCCAATAAAAACACTGCGCTTCCATACGATCAATAAACCGATTAGCGCAGACAGAACAGCATCGGCTTCCTCTCTGAATAAAAACATCACAAGCATTGCACTCGACGGTGAACTTTTCAGCACCAGTACCTGAGAGAGGTCGTGTCTAAACACAGAGATGTCAGTAAGCAAGTGCAGCGATAGGATTTCAATAAAAGGCACGTTTTCTCCTAATCTACAACACACGCTGAGCAACACCACACTTCAAACGTGCGCTTACATGCGGATTGGGATTATGCTCTTAGCTTGAATCAAACCCAAAAAAAGTTAAACGGTTTCATGTAATTCATATTACATTACACGCCAAGTACAGTGTTCATCCTCCTAAAAGCTTTTTTTTTTTTTTTTTTTACGTGTAAATGTTTTTTTTTTAGATATCAATTCTCACTAAATATTGACTCAGATTCAGGTAAAAAATGTGAATAACGTTCATGTATTTCAGTAATTCAACTCAACTTCAGTTCAAAATGTGAAACCATTACATGAAATAGACTCAATACATGCAAAGTGACTCTTTTGTAAATTTTGATTATAACTTAAAGTCCGTTTTCTAAATATTCTTACTCTATAAATAATCTATACTTTCTATACTATTTCTGAGCCAAAATGATCAACATTATAGCCAATAAAGACGTGATATATCTCACTCTGCATGTAATGTTTCTGTAATCTATAACTTTCACATTGTAGTTTGAATTACAGAAGTAAATGGGCTTTTGAACAATATTCTAATTTTTCAGGTCATTTTCTGGAACAATCGGTTTCATCATTTGAAAAATTCAGACACGTTCTAAAATAAGATAAATAAGATAAATAAGAAGGCAGTCCTTGGATTTACATTTTTGAGTCGAATGGCCCATTGCGACTTAGCCCGTGTAAACATGGCTACATTTGCATGTTTATCTCCAATTATAATGACACAAAAGCCAAGTCTCCACGTCCCACATGTAAACACACTCCATGTACACACGCCATGCTAACTACGACAGGATTTGGTCAAACAGGGCCACCGCGTCTCGCAGCGGCGTCACAGAGCCGTCTCAAAGATGACACAAACGTCCTGGGCGCTCCCATCCTCTGCCGCCCTCATCTTTTTGTTCGAGTGAACCTGAAAGCGCATCAAGGGAGAGCAGTGTCACACAACACACAAGCGCCCAATCTACGCCACCATCTGTAAAAAAAAAAAAAAAAAAAGAAAAAAAGGTGCCGTTTTTTTTTTTTTATGTCAGATCTGATTTGCAGCCGGGGAGAAGGGATTTGTCATTCACCGAAGCATGCGAAAGTGGCTTATTCGACCTTATAAACAACTGCGCTAAATACGTATCGGAGCTTGACTTAATTTTCCCGCACGGCGACAAGACTGACATGTTCTGCCGGGAATAATAAAGCCAGAGAGAAAGTTTTCAGAATGGAGGAAAACAGCTATAATGTCTACTCAGGGCTTTTCTTTCACTGCAGCTCCCTATCAGATTATTGAATGTATTTAAACCTTGACTGGCAACTATAGAAACTTGACACACAACATACGGGCCGTCTCAGTCTTTAATAAGTGGTGCTAGACAGTTATGGATGCCGGTGTAATCAGATCGGAGGTGAGCCCCCTACAATAAAGACTGAATAGGGCTTGAACAATGTCACTACCAATCCAGCAATGTGCCTGGGCAAATAATACCACTGTGCGGAGAGGCTTTCACACCAGTATTTTACTCATTCCACTCCTTGGGCAGAAGAAGATAGACTTCCACTGATAAATTTGTGTGCGGGGACAGAGAGAAAATGAAATGATGCCTACTTTTTCTTATTTCACAAAGACCTGTTTGAAGTTACTATATGGTATCTGTAGTCCCAGACAGATGCACATAAAATGGAATTGAACAATGAATAGCCTAACTCTTATCTGCCCAGTGTCTGAGGGGGAAATACATCACAAATGAATTTCGCAGCAGAAGAAAATATGGACATTCTCTATTACAGTAATCCCCATAGAAAGTTTATCCCAAATCGCGATGAAGTTAAACCCAATATTTCCAAATAGATACAGTCCATAGAAAGCCGCTTTTCTAGAATGATCTCTCAAATGATCTAAAAATTACATTATGAGAAGGCGAGATTATATGCCGAGGTTTTCTTATGATCGCATCGCAAAATGTTGAAATCTACAAAGGGACAATTTCTTCTCTTGAAATTAATGTTATGGTGTTGCGTGGCTTCGAGTGGGCACTTTTGAATTAAAATGGTAATCAAGTGGCTTTGCATTGTCAGAGCTCTGCATGCTTATTATTTTGAAGAAGTCTAGAGTTAAAGGGAGAATGTGGGATAAGGCTGCGTCTTGCTGGACTCTATTTAGACCAGACCTGGGCAAATTGCGGCCCGGGGGCTGCATACGGCCCAATTCACAAGTCCATGTGGCCCGCAGATTCATCTACACTTTTAACCTCATAGACTCTTCGGTTTGTAAACGAAAGAGGTGATACCCAGTGAAGGTTTGCAACTCAATAGGTGCAACCATAACAAGGTAAAGCTATTTTTTTAATAGATAAAACAAAATGACTCATCCATAATTCAAAAGTGGTCCAGTTTTGGTTCAATCCAAATATAACTGGACTGATAAACCTAAATTGCTCAAAATATCTCCATTTTGTAAATGGTTTAAACAAAATGAAGAGCTAAATAAACAAGCTTTCCACAAACACAGAGAAAACACTGGCCATCTTGGCTCCATCCGTCACTCTCCTTCTCTTTGAAATATTTGTGTCAAATAAGTATGTTTTTTGTTTGCACTTTATTAGAGAAGTAACTTTCACTCTTCAAGTTGTTAAGTTGTGTGTTGCCAAAAGTCACCCATGTGAACACAGGTCCAGGCCCTTCACATTATGATGATGTCTCCCGGAGATAATAATTGCCGGGAGGAAATTTGGAGGGCAGGACTTTTTTGCCATGGTTACCTGTTTGGCTGTATGGAGCAAGGCCGCAGCTTCAGCTCTGCCCGTCTGCTGGACCATTTGATAAAGTAGGCTGTGGTGGTTCTGCAGTAGCACATAGGGCTCATCATACTCCTGGATTCGGCCAGCATCTAGAACCTACAATCACAGAACAATGCAGGGTGTGTGTGCGCGTGGCAGTCTGTATACTTTAGCGAGGGCAAAACTAACATTTCAGCTGTTTCTCTGCTGAGCCATGCACGCAGACAGAGTGAGATGAATGGACTTAAAGACCCTTCCATTTTACATGAGTCACAAGGACAGCAAACACTAGGCTATCTCCGTGCGACAGGGCTATAGACGCTGAATGCAGCTTGTGAGATGCAGTGAAAGTCAAGTCTGCTGACACAGGCAGACTCAAGCTCCCCAATATATCCACGTATTTATTCTGGCATTTCAGCAGCTCAAGGGTGGTCCTCAGTCCAAATCCAACAATCACACCTTTAAGGGACTGCAGTAAATTACCATCATCGTATCATCATCTTGTGCCGTGTAAGCCGCACAAAGAGTAGGGTCAGTTTGAGAAGGAGGGAAAAGCCTATAATTATTTCAGAGACAAATTTTAACAGTTGATCTCTTAGAGCTGTAACAAGTAGTCTGTAAACAACTAAGCTTTAAATGTATGTGCTGAAAGGGCAGCTCCAGAAATGTTGGTCATTGATATAAATAGCAATAAAATATGAAATCCAATTGAGTTAGTGCTATCAAAAAAGTACAGAAAGATACAAAATAATCAGAAGAAAATACAGCGAATGATAACAAACACAAAAACTAGTGCTATCCAAAATATTGCGTTTTTAAACAATTTTTTTTAGCTGTGGCCACTGTTAATAGCGTTAGAAAAACAACAGAAACCAGAAAACAGGAAGCCCCCTTTCTGCTAGTGTTTGGTTTGTGTTTTGCTGTGGTCTGATGATAGCTCACTGTGAAAGGTTTGTCTAGCGCAAAATGCCAAAATGGATGTTAACAAGCTTCTGAATGAAAAGTTTAGTATCAAAGAGTTGCAGGATGGGTCGACTGACAAGACCAAAGTTATCTATTTGTATTGTCGCTGTGAACTAGTTATCACCTCCACTTGGAAATACCACCTGATGTTACACACACGGATGTGAACTCTCCTCCGCCGAGTTCTTGTTAAGACATATGGATACATGGATCTATAATAATAACGTATGGATAGCGCAACTCAGAACATAATGTTAGACATTTGCTACTTAATTTTGTATCACCCTGTTTTGATCCCTTAGAAAAGGTAGTTGAAGAGGCTTATTTGTTAGCAATTTTACATGTTATACATCTGTTTATTAACAGCATTGAATTGTTTGACATTTTGCATCAAGTACAAGTAATAAAAAAAAACAATTGCACACTGGAAGCCAATTCACTTTTCAAAAATTGCATCGCTGGACAGCACTATCAAAAACAAATTTGTTTTAGGAGGTCTTAAAAGGGGCAGCTGGTTCCAGAATCTATACAGTACCTTCGTAGAGAGGCTGTCTCCTCTGCTTGGGCAATGAAGGAAGCCCAAGCAGAGCGAGGTCAGCTGATCTAGATGGTACCAATTTCAAAACAAATACAACAATGATAAATTCTAGTTGAGTGTCAGATAATGATTAAGCGCACAGTTTTAACTGGCTGCACACATCCAAGTATCCACACTGAGGACATTCGGCAATCTAAAGTCATGAAACATAATGCTAAAAAGGTGTGACGCTTTACATCAGCTCACTTTGGAGTTGGATTTAGGGAAACCTTTTTCATTGGACAGTCTTTATCAGTCAAAACTCATGAACTTAATCCAGGAGTTCAGAAATCCAGCCCAGTAGTTTGTGTACTGAGCAAGGGTTGATGTGACGCACCGAACCCTGCATTTACAGCTGTAGTTATCTGCAGTTCATCCAGAGTGATCATGGGCCTCTTGGCTAAATCTCTGATCAGTTTTCTCCTTGTTTGAGATGAAAGTTTGGAGGGACGGCCGGGTCTTGGTAGATTTGCAGTGGTCTAATACTCCTTCCATTTCAATATAATTGCTTGCACAGTGCTCCTTGAGATGTTTAAAGCTTGGGAAATCTTTTTGTATCCAAATCCGGCTTTAAACTTCTCCACAACAGTATCTCGGACTTGCCTGGTGTGTTCCTTTGTCTTCATGGTTGTCTCTGCGCTTTAAACAGAACCCTGAGACTATCAAAGAGCAGGTGCATTTATACGGAGACTTGATTACACACAGGTGCATTCTATTTATCATCATCAGTCATTTAGGACAACATTGGATCATTCAAAGATCCTCACTGAACTTCTGGAGTGAGTTTGCTGCACTGAAAGTAAAGGGGCCGAATAATATTGCACGCCCCACTTTTCAGTTTTTTATTTGTTAAAAAAGTTTAAATTATTCAATACATTTCGTTCCACTTCACGATTGTGTCCCACTTGTTGTTGATTCATGACAAAAAATTAAAATTTGATATCTTTATGTTTGAAGACTGAAATGTGGCGAAATGTTGAAAGGTTGAAGGGGGCCGAATACTTTCGCAAGGCACTGTACATATCTAACTTTTCTCATTAGTGTCCAGCGGGCCTCTAGGTCATGCTCAGAGCTCTAGACACTTAGCAAATGTTGCCACAAATGGCATCAATTGGCACCTCTGCGGGTAGTAGCAGGACAGGCCAAAGATCACATGGCCTCAGCGCGGGGTGTGGTGAGGATGAAATCAGCCCAGCTGTTTCAATATCACAAAAATGAAAAACTCTGTTGAGAAGTCTCAGTCTATAACATGTGTCAGAGTTGTTCCTACTTACCAGTATTCTGTCACAGTCAATAATAGTGTGTAGCCTGTGAGCTATTGTGAGCACTGTGCACTCTTGAAACTTGTCCCGGATCGTCTGCTGGATGAGACCGTCGGTTCTAAAATGAACAGGGAACACAACACCTGAGCACAACATGCACTCTTCCTATAGGCCCTTAGGCAGGGATTTTACTCAGCACAGAACAAAAGCTAATCAGGAGCACAAAACACTTCAGGTCTACGTACTTTATGACTGAAAAGTCAGAAATGAGTTTCTATGTGTAAAAACCAACAATAAACATTGTTTATTTGATGACATATCAAATAAACAAGGAAAATTATTATTTAAATTCTTTTAAAATATGATTTTGAAAACACAATATTATAGCTGGACGGTGCTGGCTCAGCCTAACCTTGGGTCCACATTAGCTGTGGCCTCGTCAATAATAAGGATACGGTTCTTCCGGAGGATGGCCCGGGCCAAACACACAAGTTGCCTCTGACCGACACTGAAGTTCGCTCCGCTCTCACTCAGGAGCGTCTCCAATTTTCTGGGCAGCTCCTCGACCACCACCTTCATCTGCACCTGCAGAGAGGGAGAGCAGAGCCCCAGCCCTTCATTACTACCACATAAAGGCTTCCTGTGGGGATGTATTTAAAGAGCCATCTAAACACACCCATTAACTGCCTGGCACAAAGCAGAGCCAGGTCTTCTGATGACCTTGGCCAGTGCTCTCTTGTGGTCAGCTTCTAGCTTTAATCCAGGCCACCAAACCCATTCAGAGACAGGAGTAGGAGCCGAAGCCCTTCACTGTGGGGGGAACCTTCATCCCAGTTGGCCTAACTGCCCAAACACCCCAAGCACTTTCAATGGCTCCCAGTTACAAGCCGCACATTTAGCTGGGCCCCATGGCCCTAATGGGATTTCCCCCCATGACTTGTGGCGAGCAGGAAGCCTGAATGGCAGCATTGTACGGGGGGACAGAGGGATCCCCCCTGGGCTGCTGAGGGGGAATCATTGAGAACCACGCTAGTACCTCTTGGAGTGCATTCCACAGGTCCTCATCTGTGTGCTGGCTGAATGGGTCCAGATTCTTCCTCATGGTGCCTGTGAAGAGCACAGGGTCCTGGGGATAGATGGATATAGAAGGAGAAGGCCGTGGCCAGTTAAGATAATGACAAGGGGAAGACATCTGAAAGGGTTAAGACAGGCTTTATAGAGCACCGGTAGGCTATGTGTGAGGGGAAGATGTTCACAAAAGACCTGCTAAACTATAGAGCTAAATTCAATGAACCAGCCAGCTATTCTTTAGTAAGTTGATCTTTTTACCACGAAAACTAGAGCTTGGCCTCTAGCAGTGCACTGCAACGCATGTGTCCTCATCAAGTGCACTAAAATACACAACCGTGGTTCATTACAAATTATAAAAGGAACAACACAGCATCATGTCCGCTATATACTAACTTACATCACGGCAGATCTGATAAACAACCTTACCCTTAGTAAGCGCAGAGGAAAAACTGAATAGATTTTACAAAATGTAGAATGATTTTTTTTCAGAGAAAAGCAGCTCCATCTGAAACATTTTTAAACACTGTCTTCATTGCAAAGTGATACATTGACTGGACAGACTTACTTAAAAGATATAGATCTGGGCACAATTGAGCGAAAAGCGCTTGAGCCGGAGTACAAAACGGGTCTAGAAAGGTGAGTGTCCCGCATTAATGGTATAGATTTGATCGTATGAATGGGGCTCACTCTAGGCATAGGTCAGTAAGGGTCAGGATTACAAAATGACTTTTTTCTCAGCACACCTTCAAGCAGGTCAGAATAGTAACTACTCAATTTGTATTTAACTTTACAATATACAGTTTTCATTCCAACTGCCTATGGCTTAGAAAATGTTCCACCTCCTTACTTCCAATCCGTCACCAAAAATAAGGCCTTGTCATTTAGCCAACTGAAGTCCCAATTCAGGCAAGTTTTGTGACACACTTTAATTGAGGGAATCCCTGTTAGGTTGTAAAAACTGCTTTCAAGAACAGCTTTCACATGCACCGATTATGTGCTCCACCAATTCTAAGCCCTCTGTTTGCCTCAGACCCCATTTTTACTAATACATTCACGTTGGTTCAATAGAAAAGGAATACATTCTTCTTTAATGTCATATGCAAATAAAAGCTTATCATAATCAAATATCAGCAGGAAAATAATGGAACTCCACACTTGTAATATATGGTATACTAGAAAAATACAAGTCCTAGTAAAATAAAAATATTTCTATGTGAAATATTGAAACTCAAGTTATCTAAGGCATCTAGTGAGCAAGTAAAAAGGTTGAGATGGATTTGAGCAAATGCATGACATGTCTTTCTGTATAATTTTTACATCAAAAGCCTTGGCACAGAGAAAGCCGTATCTGCTTCGAAGTGGTAGGAGTCGAGATCATAAGTATGCCAGGTGCTATATGTCACATGCGAATGGGCGTGCGGGAAAAGTTTTGACTCTATATATCTCGCCCTCTAGGAATAACTCCACAAAATCACATCAAACACGCATCATAACCATCTCAAAGTACTTTGGGTGAAGAGGGGAAACTTTATCACCAGTCGCACCAACGCCAGGAAGCTTTCAAATGCAGCATTAATGAAATTGTTTTGGGCATGTTGGCTGCACTCGTGTTTGGGCTAGGTGACAGTGTACACTGGGGACTGTGAGCACGGAGCAGACTTCTTCTAAGCAGCTTTCCCATGTTCGGGGGGTAGAAGGCTAATCCCTGTCAGGAGCGGGGAGCGCGGGCCGTGGGAGTCTCCCCTCCCTCCTCTCCGCTGACACTCACCCGCAGGCTGGCATTTTCTTAATGCTGTATCAGTTTCAACATGCGGAAATAAAGTTAAACTGTCTCAAGGCATCCGTTTGTCTCACTTTCAGAAATCCCCTGAGTGACGCCTGTAATTCTCTGCACTTGTTTTAGCTGTTGAAAGCCACGCGGAGAGAAAGACCAAAACCAAAGAGGTTTGTGTTCAAAGTCTTCATGTGCCAGTTTTCTTACTTCTAAACCAACTGGGACATTGGTGAGTCCTTTATTACAAAACAATCAATATTTTATGTTTAAAAAGGGTGTACTAGTTACACTGCAGCATGAAAAAATAAACACTGCAACGAAAACAAGGCACTACATCCAGTACATACAGTAATTATACATATTCATAATCTCAAATATCAGTAAGTGTGGGTATTTTTTTTATCACACTTGGCCTATTATTGATTGTGAACATCTACCTGTGGGATTATGGACATTTGCTGGCGGAGAGTGTGCAAGCCGATCTTAGAAGTCAGGACTCCATCAATCATTATTCTTCCCTCGGGTTCTGCCAGCCGGAACAAGGCCGAGATCAGAGAGCTTTTCCCAGCACCAGTGCGACCCACAATGCCAACCTGAAAAAGAGTACAGATGCACTTAGCTCTGTGAAACGTGAAACATAATACAGTTTAAATGTGTAAATAATATATATATAGAGCTCAGGGCCGCGGAGGACATTCATATTTTTAAAGAGGCACCTTTTTAGATGAGCTTTTTATTAGTATTTATTTTTTATTATTATTGCGTTTTAGGAAATTTTAGTGTTAGTTTATTTATGTTTTTAGAAACATTTCATTTTGGTTTTTATTTATTTATTTTCTCTATTTCGTCATTTACTATTGTTATTATTAGTATTATGTCATGGTGTGGATTTTATTTTTGTACTTTGGTTTTATTTTGACATTGTTTCTCTGTGGTTTGGTTTTGAGTTTGACTTCCTGTGCTGTTTCCCCTGTCTTGATTGTCTGCCCAGCCCTCATGTGTTTCACCTGTGTCCCTGTATATATTTACCCTGTGCCCCTCTCCACATGTTGCTGGTCCATTGTTCTGTCAATGTCCTGTTTCATCATGTCAAGTTCTGTCTTTGTTCTGTCTTTGTTCCTGGTTCTGTATTCTTGGATTTTGAGTTTAGTTTTCACCTGGACTTTTATTTTAATTAAATCATTATTTTTTGCATTCCTGCATTTGAGTCCTCCATCATCCCACCCCGTGACAGTGACCAGCCATCACAAGGACTCACGGGAATGCATTTTCTTTTTTTCTCACCACACCATCATCATCAATCACCAGGTTTTTACTTATTTTTTTGCCTTCACTTCACTGCCTACCTCGACCCGTTACCTGCAACCACCGCCAGACAAGAAGCTCCGTCTGGGGTGGTCACCTGTCATGCACCACCGCCGGGTTGTCCGTCCGGGGTGGTCCTCTGTTCCCTTCCCCCTGACCTGCTGTGAGGTACCCAGTGAAGTCCTGGTCTGGATATTCTCGTCTGTCGCCCTACGATGACCTCTCCTTCCCCTCACCTGTTGCCACCGCCAGACTTGGATGTCCGTCTGGGGTGGTTCTGTTTCGTCTGAGTCACCGCCTGGCATATGTCTCCGCCCGGGGTGAGCCAGTTTCCCTACGGAAGGTCATCACTGGGCTCAAGCTTCGGTCCCTGATTGATTTGGACATTGCTTCGAACCTGAAGTTCCCTCCGCTTGACCCGCCCTCCCTGGTTTGTGCTTGGGTTTTTGGGACATCTGGGAGCTGTCCCTTGGAGGGGGGGGTACTGTCATGGTGTGGATTTTATTTTTGTACTTGGGTTTTATTTTGACATTGTTTCTCTGTGGTTTGGTTTTGAGTTTGACTTCCTGTGCTGTTTCCCCTGTCTTGATTGTCTGCCCAGCCCTCATGTGTTTCACCTGTGTCCCTGTCTATATTTACCCTGTGCCCCTCTCCACATGTTGCTGGTCCATTGTTATGTCAATGTCCTGTTTCATCATGTCAAGTTCTGTCTTTGTTCCTGGTTCTGTATTCTTGGATTTTTGAGTTTAGTTTTCACCTGGACTTTTATTTTAATTAAATCCTTATTTTTTGCATTCCTGCATTTGAGTCCTCCATCATCCCACCCCGTGACATATTAGGTAGCTGTCATTTTCTTTAGTCTCACATTTTCTCGGGCCTCCCCTCTCCTCTGGGTCCTATGGGGGTCTGACTCCTGAACCTGGTGGGGGTCTGGGGCCTCCTCTCTCCTCTGGGTCCTGTGTCGTCCCCTGTGGCTGCAAGCGGCTCTCTGCTCCTGGTGCAGATGGCTCCTTGGATGGCGCTTCTTCAGCTGGACACATCTGCACCCAGCCCTAAATCTTTTCATAGGTAAAACTATCTGATGTGACTTTGTGTGGGTGTATTGTTATTAATAAACGTGGTTTTGGGTGGGTCTGTGGGGTTTAGGGGTTGGCGTATTTAATTGTTTTTAACTAAACTGTAAAGCACTTTGTGTTGAATTTTTGTTGTATGAAAAAGCGCTTTAAGAAAATTTGATTATATATTCCCCAAAGGATTTAGAAATTGCATGAAATGACCCCATAAGCTCTCACCATTATCGACTCTTTCCCTGACTGCTTAAAGAAATAGCCCTCTGCCATTTTCACCCTGAGAAAGCAGCTTTCTGGGGGAAAAAGGTTGGAGACCGAAGTACGTTCATGTACGTTGCTGCAATAGTGTTCATGGTTTTACATTGGTCCAGACCAGAGCAGAGAGGAATCATGGTCTGAATCAGCAGTGAATGTATTGCCTATTCTAAACCAGTTGGCTTACAAAGCATATATTACAATTACATAGAAAGGATTTTTGTTAAATTATTTTTCAATATTTGAAACTTCACACTTCCATCTACAAGTGTGAAGTTCTTCAATGTTTCTTTTTTAAACAATATTTAAAATTAAAACATGTTTAGAATTAAAGCTGCACAAACTGACTTTGTGAATTTTTTGTATGTCAGCGCTGGCCTCGCTCTTCTGCCCCCCACTACCCCCCCTCCCACTCAGCCTGTGCTCATGTGCTAATCGTTCACGGAGCTCACGTCACACAATATGGATCTAACATTTGAACGTGGATGGCGTGATCACAGAATGATAGAACCGGGAAAAGCGGAGGAACAAGACTTTCTTTTGGATGGCTGTTTCAAAAAAAAAATAACAATTGTAAACCGCTTTGTGACTCTGGTCTGTGAAAGGCGGTATATAAATAAAGATTACTTACTTACTGTTTCACCGTGTGCAGTAACCGGTAACAAAGACACGGGAAGTTTCAGGTTAGCCTTCACCGCTTGTTTACCTCAGCTGTCTGTGCAAACAAGAGACCTGTAGCTTTTCTCAAGAAAATGGGGGCCAGTGCTGTGATTGGTCACAATCTGGTCCCGAAACAAATTCTCTTCCTTGTTTCATGAAAACTCGATCAAAAATAAAATGACACGCCAGCACAAACCTGCGCTACCTATTCTTCAAAAGGACGTATATCCCAATGCACTGCATGGATATGGATTGAAATTTCGTAATGAATACAAAAATAAAGTGAGGTAATGCAGCTTTAATAATTAATAATAAGTTGTCCCGAAGAGAAACTCCCCAACTGAAATGTGCCGTGCATCCTCTTCATCTGTAATTGTGTTTTGAGTATTTCAAAAAGTACATGTTAAAATTCTATATTTGGAGTAAATAAATGTATAATTTCTATCAGTCTGTTGGGAGGATCGATTTGTTTGATATCCTACAGGAGCTGAAGTTTTCCTTGAGAAGGTTGTCAGGGGAACTGTCAGGAGACACAAAAGTCTACACCTTCAATAACATGCAACAGAGAATCCTCCCATGAGCTGTCAGAGCCAAGGCCCCAGCACTTATCAACCCAACCATTGTAAAATCAGCCGCCCTGGCCAACCATAGCCATGCAAAATACACCCCCGCCCACATTAAATACAATTTCAATCATCCTCAACCATCTCTCTTTGCCTGCCTCTCGCCCCTCTCTCTCTTCTCAACGACATCACCTTCTTATATAGAATAGTTGCCTTCACTTTGTTGCTCAAAATGCAAATACAGTGACAAATGGATCCACTTCAACAGTCTTAATTACATGATATGTATTCCATGAATCACAAATGCTCTCGTCCCAAAGCTTCAGATGCACAATATGGTAGCCTTTAATAATTGATTCGGGAATAATGCCACATATAGTGTCTCGTACAATCAGAGCATTTTGACTGGAGCACAGTTTGTGCATGGCTACACGCGCACAATTAGAATAAATACACAATACAAACCTTTTCTCTTGAGGAAAATGTGATGTTCAGGTTCTTCAGGACCAGGGGATTGTCTGGGCTATATGAGAAGTTTACTTTGTCAAATGTGATGGAGCCTGCGTCGGGCCAGTCACATGGAGGTTGCGTTTCAGTTTCCCATGATGCTTCACCCTCTAAGTTGGCATACTCAACAACCCTCTCAACTGATGTCATCTGTAAAGGATTATTGAAGAACGTTACAGGAAAAATTATGTTCAATGATTGTTATCTCTCACCATATTCTCAATTTCTGCACTTTGTCTGACCCCCCATTGAAACATGCCAGTCAGAGTGACAGCGTAGGACAAAGCCAGACCCACAGCACCAGCCTCCAACCCTGTAAAGTAAGAGCTGCACTTACTCCAACAGAAAACCTGATCATTAATAAAACAGAACGTATGAGGTCAAAATATTACCGTCTCTTAGGTAAATGCAACCAAAAGCAGTAATAGTGACAAACACGGAGCAAATGCCATCGAGGCGTATTGCAAACCAACGAGAAGTGGCAAGAAAAAGGAACCAGGCCTCTGTAAAATACCACACCAACAAATAATGATGAAAGACTGATCTAAATAAAGGAGATAAGAGTGACTTGCCTGTGTGAAGATCTTGGAAACCATCAAACATCTGCTGAAATGTCTGATGGACTTTTAAGGCACGGATTGTGGTTAAACCTTGAAGAGACGAAGAAAGATGGGAAAAAACAGGGCTCCGAGCTAGAAAACAAAAAGTATATATTTCAATATTTACGTATGATATAAATACTGTTAAAACATTAACATGTCATTTCATGTCGTTTTATTTTAGTCAATTAGACAAACTAATGCTAGACATTCATTATTATTGAAGATATTTCCATTGTTTCTTGATTAAAGTGGGAAATACTAAAATGAGTATGCAAATAGCACTTTTGTTCTGTGGGTTGATTGAAAGTATTGGTGAATGGACATTACTGCTCATGGTCTCAGATAAAAAAGAAAATAGAAGGGCCTGGCCTAGTCATGGCTGCTTGGCTTTTTCTCTATTGTATGTGATGTCATGAACTCCAGTCTCTTCAGGAAACTGCGTGTGGCCTAGCCATAGGCTGCTGCCACCTTTAGCCTTTATGCTAATGGCCATAGCATTCTTCAATGGTCAATTAGCATTCCTTTGGTCCTCTTTTGTCTTATACAAGTAATGAACATGCCCAGACTCCCACCAAAAAAAGAAAAAATTACTGGTAGATTCCAGGCGCTTGATGTCCCTAGAGGTCTGCAGGAAGTAGTGACGCAGAAACAGAAAAACAGCAAGAAGAGGAAGTACTGGAAGAAGAATCCAGGGTATGATGGCACCAGCTACAGCAATAACCCCAATGACCTGCAGCAGCACCTGGGTCAGAGAAAAGCAAAATACAATACAATAATGAACACTGGGAAGTAAATGTCCCGGGAAGTAAATAAAAAAGAGGAAACCTTTGAGTGTAATTTTGTGAGACATTTAGGGCCGCACAGTCAACAGCAGGTTACGGTATTGAGGTTATGTGACTCACAGTGTGAAAGGAAAAGCATCACCGCTCTAATTCTCACTTGTAGCAGGTGAGAATTGACCACTTGGCGACTGCAGCTCATACCCACAGCACCCTTGGGCTTCCCCTTCAACACTTCTGGCTCATGAGCCCGGCTGGCAGAGGAGCCGGCCAACAGAGCTGGCCACAGTGACTGGCCAAGGGCTTTGGGAACCACACACTGGATGTCTGATACATCACAGTCAGACCACAGTCCTCAACAACACACTGACTCATCATAAGCTGTGAGCCGTCTTAGTCTCAGTCTGATCAATGCACCAACTCTACCACTTGTTGTTACTCCTGGACATACAACAATACAAAGGAATATGAGATCTCACCTCTGCAGTCGAACAGTTCATAACTCATTCTGACCCCTACCCTTTTTTCATTTCATTTCATTTCACTTCATTTACTTCAAACCTGCAGGTGTATACAAACAGGAAAAACAAAATACAAGGTCTGCTTGGTTTGAAAAGGTTTGGTCTGCTTTACAACCGTTCACCCTTTATTGCACTGCTGAATGTCTATTGTGTGTACTTATTGCACTTTTTTTATTTGCAATTTGGTTTGCATGCCTTATTTTTACTCTTACAACTAGTTTGCACCTTGAGCCAAAGCAATTACAAGTTTGTGACTTCCTGTTACTTACAATGGCAAAAAATGTTATCAGATCCGATCATTCATGCATTCAGTTATCTCCAACCCGAGTCCATTTCTCATCTGTTGGGTTGGGATGGGATTCTGATATTGTAAACCAACTTGTAGTGTTGTTTTTATCTTCCACAGCTATGGTGTTTTTGCCTTTTATAAAAGAAAATTGTAAATATTTGTATAGTTAGTATTACAACGTGCAGTATCTTGGCTTTTGTTTAAATAGAATGAGAGCCGGATCAGTTCTCTTCAGCAAAAATGTGTCTATACTACTAACAGATAAAACTGAAACCTCACACCCTGAAATTAGACACATAGGAAAAGATGATTTCTAAAAGCCAGAGATTAGGATCACACTGTTACCTTGAGTGGTCTCTGACTTGCCCGAAGAGATGTAAATTTAATTTAGCATCTTAATTATGGATGTTATCAGCCACTTACGCAAACATTTAAGCATGAACACTTTCAGCGTAGTTTTGTGATCAAAAGCCACTCAGATCCGTTTGCTGTTCAGATAAGAGGGTATTACGACTCTAACTATTGCTGAAGTGTAGCCCACACAATCAAACTGAGGAGAGGCTATTGAGCACAACTGATCCTCCAAATTTCACAGTACATAAGTTTCAATCTTGGCCTCGATAGAAGGAAACAAGACTGCAAAGAGAGAAGCTACCATAAACATTTAGTACATGTTTTGTTTTGTTTTTGTTTTTTTTTTTAGTTTTTAGTCTTTTTTAGATAATCTAAAAGCTTCTGTCTCGGTCCTGTAATAGTATAATGTCATTGTACCACTATGACGTCACACAGTTTTCTGCCTTTCAAAACCAAAGCATTTCCACTGAAGTAGTGTTGGCAATTTCTCACGAGAAATGTCTGTGTTTGCAGCCAATATTTTTTAAGTAAATTTTTTTTTTTTTAAAAACATTTTTTGCACCTCCCTCTAGTGGTAGCACTAGTTTTCATTAGAAAACAAACCAATCCTATCATCTGACATGTTCTTTAAATTCTTTGGTATTGATCTTCACTCAGTCACGTGGGGACTATCAGAAGTTACTAAATGCCCACACTGAATAAAACACAGGTTTATATCACAATGGGGTCATCTGAGGGAACAGAAGAAGAACAGCCTCCATTAGATAGTGGTGGTGCTCCCGAGGGCCAGCTGTCGCCAAGGCTCCTGTTTGATGTGACCCATTGGCGTGGTCTGCTGCTTTATCGTGTCCACATCAGGCGCACTGTGACCCCCACCCACAGAACACACACCAGATGATAACAGATCACCTCGCTTTACGGCCATATCTGCAGCCTTGCCCCACAGGAAACAGAAACCTCCTAGAGCCACGTCCCACCGCACAGTGAAGTGGATAAAAGGATGAAAGGATTTGTATACAAACAGTTTAAATAAAGAATTAGCCTTAATTGCTCTTTAGATGGAAAATAAAGCTGCTGCACGCACGTGATACAGTGGGTAAAGCAGTTGGACGCTCCGCTGTGTCCAAAAACCATTCAGATCTTGACTCACCCTTATTGCTTTATTTCCTTAGTGATTTTATCGGCCCTTTGATGTCCAGGCAAATGTAGGAAATTTAAGTTAATTACAATATTAGTGCTGAGCAGTGATAACGGCTGTCGTTATGGCGGCAGAAAACAAACACAAGTCTTAAACATCCCTCCGGACAAGAAGAGTCATATTTGTCCCTCTTTTCCTTTATTTACTCACAGCTTGTGATATAGACCCATGGGAAACTGTGCAAACAAATGGGAAATCAGGGTAGAAAAGTGGTTAAGAAAATTCCAAAAGAAGGTCCTCTGTCATTTCTGGAATTTTGTTTCACTCCACACTTTCCATGACAGGCTGCCACAATAAGCTGCAAGGGTCAGTGGTACTGAAACAAAACAGGGCTGTTCCACTTGGTCTCTCGGACAATAGAAGTGACCCAATCCTTTCTTCTCCGTCTAAGGGCTTTATTTTAGCATTAAATGCCCAGATGCAGAGGCTTTTCTTTAGGAGAAGTGACTGTAGACACCTCCTTCACATGAGGCATTTTCACTTCATAAAGCTGCAGTCAATGTGTTTTGTGAGTGTGAGGAGGGTCTGACACATACTGTGGTGGTCTCAGCCCGGTCTACATTGGTGGTTCAAGTAGTCCAAGGATTAGGCCTTTTGTGCAGTGTGAAAAGGTAAAAGAAGTCACTTATTTGGGTTCAGTCAAGCTGTTGATTTCCAGGCCCATTTTGGATATAAGAGAAAGGCTTTGAAATGTGCTCACTCACTCTCTCTTACTACTATAAATCACTGTGTCTGGCAAATTCATTCATGTTTTCTCCCACTCTTTTACAATACAATAGGATTTCAAAGACACAACAAATCGAGAATAAAAAAGTCACTCAGAAGAAAACAAATTACCCGTATTTCCGTCATACTGATGTGGAGAGATTTAGGACTTGAGACACTTTGTTGGGTGAGTTCACAGGCTTTTAAAGGCCAGGCCGAGTCTGAATGTGAGTCACAGCAGCCGAGGAGCCGGACCACACATACACAACATGGAAGCTTTGAGCTGCCAATAACCACTATGTGCACTAATGAGCTACAATAAAGCAGGTATGAAAGAAAAACACAAGTTTTATTGTTGTTGACCAATTAGTCTAAATACATCAGATTGTGATTGTGATGTTCAATGTTGGTCCCGCGTTTCTCATGGTAACTTGTGTAATGCCTGGGGCGAGTGCATTCTTCACTTCCTCTGTCAGGTTGTGGTAAAGAACCAGAGAAAGCCTGTGAAATCCCATCCTACAGCACTCACAGTTACGTCAGCAGTTCTCATATCCCACAAAGCCACTAAAGAGGCCTAACACAATGTGCCACAATATAGAGACTCGCAATGATCCACCCGCCAGTGTTTTGAGACAATAGCACCTTTGCCTTGGTGTCTGTGTGCCCCTTTAGTCTTCATTGCTGATGCTTTATCATTAGATATAATATTCTAAAAGGTCATTGTGTTTTTAATAGTACATATTGTGGAAATGTTCTCAACATCAGCATCAAACTGCAATCATCTGATTAAAAAAGTTTGATTGAAAAGTTTAATAATCTGTTGTTATGCTGATCAAATTGGTTTTTATATATTATAAGTAGAGGGTGGAATGTAGCTTTGGACCCCACAGTCAGTGGTGTGACTTGGTCAAGAGCCTTCACACAAATCCTCCACTGAAAAAGGTTTGCATCCACCCTCATTGTTTTGCCCTCCTTCTCTACCCCCTCTGTGAAAATAGAGGCAACCCTGGATTTAAAGGTCAAGTCCACACAAAAGCTGACAGTCCCCAAAGCCTGAGGTGTTTTTAATTGACATTTCGGTCTTTGTCCAGGCCATGACCAGAAAGTATCAAGTGAGTATTTTCCCAAATTACTAAAGTACTGCTTAAAGGGAATAGTTTGGTATTGGTAAATTGGTAGTGCAGTGTAAGCTGAAGAGGGGAATCCTCAAGTTAACAGCTCCGGAGCAAGTGCTGAATGAGGAGCTGCGAAGTGGTCACCCCATCATAAAGAGATCTGGGTCAGGGCCACAGATAAACCCCTTTATTGTTTATGAGGTTTAATTTGAACCCTCCTCAACAACAGCTCGAACAATGGGTATGGGAAAGGATCAACAATGGAAAGAATAAGGAGAATTTGGCGAAGCTAACAATTTGGCACAAAGAGTTGTGGTCCTTCCTGAAAGCATCAGGAATCATTATGTGAAGACAACCTCAAAACGCACAAAAGGATGAAGCTCACTACAGAATGACAGCATGACCAGATAGCATACACTTTTTACACTGGTAAAAGTTTTTCTAGGACCAACTAAAGACCGTTTAAAATAAAATAAGTTCAGGATAATGAAACGATATAGAAGAATGTCCAACATACTGAAAGGGCCTTCAGTCATGACCTAGTCTACTTTCACTGCTTTGACTAAGATCTTACAAGCCTTCTACAAAGTTATTATTTTACTGCTACCATTATTCACCTTATTATCAAAATGAGGGGAACTATAGCAGACAAAAAGCTTTTGTGTGTATGATCTTTTGTGCTTTCAGCATTTAAGATGGCTTTTGTCTACTGTGAGATGGGTATCTGCCACAAACATCACTCAGGCATTGTGGAAGGGGGATTCGCTTTCAGCGCTGCTTTGTTCTATTCTTTGGCCTGAACCAAGGAGCCACGCCTGCTCCTCTACCTCGAATTGCGCAGTGAACATTCCCTTCTTTGTGGCACTATAGGTGCATGAGCGTTCGTGGGAGATAGCAGTCAGGGTGGCAGGGTGGCACTTGGTAACCTAACCTGGTTATGCATCAGGGTGGCCCCTGGCTGTGAGGCCTGCTTCACAGTGAAGTAGTAGTGGCTCTGCTCTGGAGTGCAGCTCTGAATCTGTTCCAAGTGACCTGTCCGCTGCCTCTGACCACACCCCCAGCTTCACTCCTGTAAACACACCATACGCCTGCTGCTTCTGCTCCTTCTCTTTGCCACTCAAAGCATCATCCTTGTCGTCCCCTCCCCGCCTCCCCACTGTTTTCCTCATCATTCTGTGTCCTTTATTTCCTCTGTGCTTCCAATCACTTGCTCAGTTCCCTCCACATTCTCTGAAGATGCAGCTTCTGTTGTGTCACTCTGAAGGAGCCACGCCCTCTGCCTATGTGCACACTTTTATTAAATCTGTGCGGGCGCTGGCCCGCGCTGCTGGGTAATCCTACAGTAATTGTTTCCAGATTAGAGGACCCGGGCCACAAAGCAGGTTTACCCAGGCATGAAATGGCCTCCCCATGCTGCAGCACCCACCACCAAACCTGCTGAGGTGAGACTCACCTGGATAAAGTCCACATACGTCCAAGGGAGCACAGAATCCAGGTAGCCAATGTCCTTTGAAAACCTGTTGAGAATTCGCCCTAGGAAACAAAGGTGCACAAGATATTACAAGATATACAATATTTCCATTTTCATTGTTGAAGAAACAACATTTACTTCAAGCCCTTTGTTTTATGAACTGTTATCAAAGTCTTGAATTTATTGGGGTCGTCCCAATATCACAGGGGAAATAACAATCACTTGTTATTTCATTAACACTGCCCTAGTCTGGGCTGACTACGTGAGTACATCTTTTGTTTTGAAACAAAGGGGCAGCAGAGCGGTGTACCTGCCTCTGCGTTCTGAATGGCGTGTCAATGACGTTAATAGAGATGCTTCCAATCTGCTCAGGTGTTCTTTACCCCTGTGCTGTGCAAGCCCCTACTCCTTCCTTCTTCTCTTCCCAAAGCACACTACTCTCCAGCTGCTTTTATAACAGGGTCAGTGATAGCCAATCTCCTCACTATGGTATGTACTTTAAAGAGGACAGAGCCTCCCTCTGTCATCCTCCCTCGTGGCACTTGGAGGTTACCAAACCCAAGTGCACATAAAGTCCATGTTTTAGGACCATGGACCTAAGATGGAAAAAAAATATTCAAGGAAAAAATATTCTTTATTCCAAATAATTACTGAAATCTCAAAGCATGGCCTAATTAATGGAAGCAATCTAGGACTTGAGGGTTCGGTAAAACGATACGATAATACATTGAAATATGGGTAACCCTGACCTAAAAGTTGCCTTGCGGCCTTGCAGTCGTCTCTGTAATCACCTCTCTCCACGGCCGTAAGCAGCTTACAGCTTTATCCAAAATGCCACTCCCGCCTAAAAACATGCATGCAGACGAGGCCGGGCTCCCCATAACAGCCATTGCATAAACCTTTCCAGAGCATTATTCCCAACAACAACCCAGCAATGCTCCAAATCAACACTGATTCAGAGTCAAGTAGCGTAAGCATGTTGTACACTTGGAGGCAGACTAATCTTATTCACACCGAGTGCCCCTTTAGCATACATACATCCTGAGGGGAGGGTACATGCCGAGGTAGAGCTGCTTCTAAACTAGACCAAGATATCTGTGTTTATTTATCATGTCTTCCAATGTGGCAGCTCTTGATGGACTGTCTGAACGATAAATAGTCAAATTTTATGTAATTTTACTGTCTAAGCCACAGATGACCCAGATTTATGCATGTCACACAAATAATGTCAATAAGAAAAGGGTAGGTTTCTTGGGATTACATCACTCTGTGGTTGGAGGGTGCTAGAGCACACAACATCCATCAGTTCTCAGCTGTTTGACAGCGGCTCAGTTGACTGACTTTAGAGTGAATGAAGTAAGGACCCTTGTGCGTCCCACACAGACTATAGAGAGGATACATTACAGTGATGCAGTTACACAAAGACAGCATGGAAATGCCTATGAGGTAAGAACGGCATGGGACAATGGCTTCAATCTCTATGGGTGGTTGTCAACAAATATCACCTATTGTGTCCAAAAGGGTATAGACATTTCAGGATATCAGCAGCATTAGTATCAAACAATTTCTCATGGTTTAAGACTCCAGGAGAGATTTGCACCACTTTCTTTTGACTCAGAAAATATTAAGTTCCAGGTGCCCCCAACTAAGGTGACTGCTAAGTTACTGATAGGTGAGCATGGCTCCCAAATCACACTTAAAAAGTATAACAGTGGGGTTCGGCTGGAGAAGGGCGTGTGGCTAATCACTGTTCCCTGAAAACATCAAGATAAGATGAGGACTGAGCACAGCACCATGTGTGGGCCGCTGCAATTGGAGGGCTCTTTCAGTGAGACTCGTCTGATAATGAAGAAATAGGCAGAAAAGGCCTGCCAAGGCGGGAGGTGGCACAGCTCACCTGCACTTCCATGAAGAGCCCAGGGGCCTGGGGCAGCCTCCCACCGCCGGCGCCTTGCTGCCAATACTAATACATTCTAAATCCATTCTCTCCGCTCACACCGCTAGGCTCCTGCAATCTCCTCTCCTTCCCTTTCATGCAATTAAATAGTGGAAGTGCAGAGTGAGGGGGAGCCCTATCAGCTGCATTGCACACACACACGGCTCCATCTCCACATTCAATTTACACACTTCGATATCATCATCCTCTCTGCACTACTACTCTTTCCCTCTCCCACTCTGGCAGCGCACACCTGGAATACAGACATTCAAAACATCTCCTTCGTTCATACAATTAGGACCTCACATTGGGGACAACATAAGATCTAGTGTTGGGAGACGGAGCCAGTGGTCAGATGGCACCGTCCCATTGTGGAAGAGGGGATGTGTAAGCGCGGGCTGCTGATGAGCTGGAGTCCTGGCCTGCAGTCTCAGAGGGGATTAGCCCACTCAATGACACTAAATTACAGGGATCAACATCAGCTCACCGTACTGCTGTCTGTGCTGCCATAACTGGATCACATTCAAATTAACGGCTGTAATCAAGCCTCACTTATTGCTTAAATCGGACACCATAAATAAAGACATATCTATAAAAAATGTATTATTTGTTATTGAATGGCTGCAATAAAAGGTTTAACCAAAGCTACTCTCGACATGGAAGTATGAACAAAGCACACAAGTTGCTTCCGTCTTATCCATCAATCACAATTCACAAACGCTATATGCTATTGTTAAACATTGCATTCATAGGATAACAAATAAGACCTTTGTGCAGTGATGCTTGAAATGGTAACCTTTAACTCAGAGGAGTTATCAAACAGACTGATTCTGTTCAGATACCCCTCACTTACATGTATTAACAGTTGTCAAATCCTGTTTGAGTCTAACTCCCATTCAGACCTTAACAATAATAAATAATAATTTATATACACACTAGGGCTGCACAATATATCGTAAAAATATTGTTAATGCGATATTGGTGCGTGCAATATCCATATTGAAAAGATCTGCGATGAAAATGAGGGTTTTTTTTACATTTTTTTTTCCTTATTAAAGACAACAAAACAGGCAGACACATCAACATTCAACAAGAACAAGCAACAAACAAACAAAAAAGTATATCAATATAAGGATTTGAATGTCATTAATGTTCATATCGAATATCGCTCTAAATTCCAATATCGTGCAGCCCTAACGCACTCAATGGACATTCAAAGACATTTCATTGTTAACACTACTAACAAAATAATGCCTATATAGAAGGAAAATGTAAGTTTTGTACTTGAAAGAGAAAATCATATGATATGTTTAAAATTAAATGTATAAAAAAAAAAAGAGAATGTAAGTATGTTTTGCAATTGTAACGTATTTGTATTCATGACAGTGTTTGCAAAGTATTGGTCATGAGAGCCATACTGATGTAGTGGCATTCAGTTTTAATATATCTACCAAGCCTCTTCTTTGCTGTTACTCTATTTAACAGATGATCACATCATATGTTCTTGTTTTGGTCAAATATTAGTCACAAAAAAGCAGTTTGATATTCAACAGTATGAGGACTTGTGTATTTTTAGCTATACCATAGAGATAATGCAAGTGGAAACCAGCAACCTAATTCAATCATATTTAAACAAGAGCTAGAGCCACATCTGGGACTCATTATGCAAGTACTCAAACTTCTTGTTAAGAATTCTCACCTGAGACAATTGTGCTGTACACACGTCACACTGGATTACACTGAGCAATTATCTGATGACAAGGTTGACATTTTACTTATCAAAGTCATCCACTTGTTATCAATGTTTTTAATTAATCGGAAATCTGTATTTATTTCTCCCATTCATTATACATAAATGGTGACATCCAAAAATTACAGAAGATTCTGAATAGAGTTAATCAGAACAAAACATGGCCAGATAGAATTGAGTGTTTAATATTCTGTATACAAACATATATATGTCCCTCCACTGAACTATGGCCAAGCTTCAAACTATAATGACACAATCAGAGGTTTCTGATACAGTGCACTCAACAAACAGTCTCTATTTGCGGTTCTATTTCATTCAAACACTACTCCCTTCCAGATCAAAAGCCATCAGAACTGGTCAACGGAATCGCTTGGTTTTGTTCCACTGAACGAAAGATAACAGTATCTCAAATTCAAACACATTACCGTAAGCACACGGCTCAATGAGGTGAGGTCAGGTAAGTCATCCAACATGAACAAATCATTTGCTGTTGTACAATAAGTTATTTGAATTGTTTCCTTAATATTATATCGAAGGGAATGTGCTCATAATATTATTATTATGAAATGTGATTCATCATTTGTTAAAATTCTTAAAGTTATATTTTTCTATAGTCTACAGAGGTATCTAGATGCACACACAAGGTAAGTCTGCCCTCTTCTGGTGGCAATGCAATGAGCATCAATTACTATATCACTCAGGATTATAACTTTAAGAACTAAATATGTTAAAAAATGTCATTTTATATTGTACTTACCAGTAGGATTGGTGTCAAAAAAGTGAACTGGAGCTTGCAAAATGGCCTGAAACATGTTGTTGTGCAGGGTCTGGGCAGATCTCACCAGAACATTAAAGAAGACCAAGCAGCGTAGGAAGCCGAAAAAAACGGAGGTCATTGTTAAACCTGGTAATGTAAAAAAAATATATATATGTTAGTATTTTGACGCTTTCAAGGTCACCAAAGCTGTCAGGAATGTCATATGTGCAATACATTGTTTGTTCAAAGAAAATAATACAAATATTCTTTTCACTTTTGTCATGAAAGCTGATCTGTATGAAAGAACATCCTAACAGAGTGACAAACCAGAAAGTCACAGGGAGACAATCAAGAGCATTACAGCAGTAGAAAACAAGACAGGCGCTGCTATCTCCCAGTACAGCTGAGGCCCGCTACAAACAGTGGGCCTTGAAGGCCTTGGGCCGCAGCCAAAGAACTGTGGATCTGTTTGTTGAATGGCTGCTGTATTCACAGCCTCAACAGTACACAAAAGCCACGTGTGTTGAGCAGCTTCACCTGCGTAAACACCTAGGTACAGGTCAAGGTCCAGCTGCTGGGGGAGGCTGCCATTGAGGTGTTCTGTCACATTCATGTGCTTCTGTTCAGAGGCCCTGCAGATCAGCCACAAAAGAACCAAAAACCCACAAGGACAAATAAACACAACAAAGAATGAAAGAAACATCTTGGAGGCACTACACAAAACACACTGCTTCTCCCTCAAACACAAGGTCACATTCAACAAGCGCTGGATAATGGCAGGAAAAACGGCTTCTATTAAATCATCAACGATTTCCAGTCAGAGCAAATGTCATTTTATATTTCTGTCTTTTAAAGCCTTTTTAAACAAGGATTTGAAGAAGTCTTACCAGCAAGCCAGCCACCAGTCCTGTAGAACAAATGTCGTCTACCAAAAGGAATACAAACATTATCGGAATGATTGATAAAACTATCCAAATAATTTGAACTTACCTGAGCAAAAATATTGAGCAAGAAGAGAACAAAAAGAATCATATAGTTGGCTCCAGCTTTGAAATAAGAAACATAAAGGTGAAGGCCGACATCTCCTTCTGAGCGGCTTTCCTCCTGACTTGGTTGCATTACCTACAGACAGACGCTAGTATTACCAGCATCATCCAGCAACACTTTCGTTATACCGCTGTGTGGGAAAATTAGGTATATCACGCCCTCTAGTGGCAGAAATCAACAAGGACTAAAACTAATGACTGGAGTTACCAACCATTGCATGCGACTGTATGCCATCCATTAAGGAATATCGAGAAGAGGAGAGGGACGACATGGAGGAGGTGGAGCAGTTTGAAAGAGTGCGTGAGCAATGAGAGACCATTCCGGAACTCGGAGTAATGGTCTGCCTTTCATCCTCCTCTTCATCCTTCAGCAAAGAGGTGAAGTCCACGCCACTGTGCTGCAGCTCACTGAAAGTTCCTTGTGCCACCATGTGACCCTAGATGAGGAGAGTAAGTAAGTTAACTTTATTTATACAGAGCTTTTAACAAACTAAGTCATAAACTGCTTCACAATACATGAATGTAAATACAAATACAGATAATACATATACATGCAGACAAAGTGTATGTTTCTTAGAGAAACTATATTTACTTTTATTTGTGGTTCAAGCTTACAGTTATCATGTGATTTTCCTTTCAAAAGATATCCCTCTCTCTACAACACAGCGTGTAAAGGCCAGCATCTAGCTCCATCAGCAATTCCATTTGTTCAGTTCATTCATAAAATAATATTGTTTGAATTCTACAAAATGCTGTAACAGTGACAATATACTCCACCTCTTTTAGAACGACAATTTGATTGGCTGTTTTCAGATACTGCAACTGGTGAGTGACCAGAATGCGAGGCTTCTTCTTTAGAAGACCACAGATGCACCTGAGGAAAAATAGGCTCAATTATAAAACAAATACCCCAAGGAGAACAACACAACATTAAAGCTCGAGTACCTCACTTTTTTGTTTCATCGATACATTGTGTTTGTCCCAACAGTGTGAGAAACATTGTGGGAACAAATCAGACCACAACTTGCTTCCATTAACTTATTATAAAATATTTTACATACTGAAAGCTGATGAGTTACAGTGGTCCTCTCTTTCTACTGTTACACTGTTGTGAGAACTACAAACTAGTTACATAGATTCTATTACATTTTTTGTGGTTTGAAAGTTTGGCACTTCAGCTTTAATCTTCTATGGACAAGTCGAATATATAACTGTTGTATAGGAAACCCATACCCATCATAGTACAAGAAATAGCGTTTGGTTTAACCCTTAAATGGTTTCCTCAACCATTTGGTGGATCACTTCTTGAGTCACCATATCTACTTGAAGCATGGAACTGAACTCTTCCACATTGGGGCAACTGTATCATTTGGTTTTAGGCACTTTTACCATCAAACTGCATCTCAAGGCCTACGATAAAGAAAACTAGGGGTTAAAAAAACACACACATTATTTGTGTTATTAGTGCTTCTAAAATAAATAAATGACCATTAAAGGGTTAAACATTGATGATTTGAACTCATACTCATCAAAAAGGTGCCTTCCGACCTCGGAGTCCACAGCGCTCAATGGGTCGTCCAGCAAGTAGATATCTGCATCCTGGTAAACTGCTCTAAGTGAACAACACAACTATAAAACATGTCATAACAACAACACATTCAACAAGTGTAACCTTTGGAGCAGACCTGGCTAAGCTGACTCTGGCCTTCTGCCCCCCACTGAGGTTTGCCCCCCGGTCTCCAACCACGGTCAGGTCCCCCGCCGGCATCAGCTCCAGGTCCTTAACAGGGTCCAATGCAACACACAGAAGTCATTTACAGCCACACTACAGCGTCACTAGAATTGTGGGTGTTGAGTGCAGGGACTGTACAGTGTGCGTCAGGTGATGGGGGTTCTCACTCTCTTAAGGGCGCACGCTCTCACAACTCTATTGTACATCTGGGAGTCCATCTCTTTGCCAAAGAGGATGTTGCTGCGGATAGTACCAGGCAGTATCCACGGCAGCTGAGAGGTGTAGCTCAGGGTTCCTCTGATCTTGATCAAGCCACTCTCCTGACTCAACTCTCCGAGGATGGCACTGAGAAGGGAGGACTGAACAAAAGCACATGTAGTGAAGTGGGTGTGAATATTCATTTCAAAAAGATAGATACTTTTTTGATCCCCCAAAGGAGAAATTCAGATGTTCAGCAGCACCCATCCATACAAACAAAACATCAACAAACATCATAGCTAACCTTTCCCGCACCAACAGGTCCAATAACTGCCAACAGCTGCTCAGACTTTACAGCAAAAGTTAAGTTTTTTAAGGTTGGATTCTCAACAATCTGAAAACAAAACAGCAAAAGTATATTTAAAGTGATAGTCTGGAACTCTAAATGAATTACACATTTTAAGAATTAAAAGTTAAAGGGTTAAATTGACCTCCTGGCCTTAAATGTTGATTCTAATATTACGGGTAAGTCCCGCCTTCCCTTCTCTTAGCTATAGCTCAAAATCCACGATGCCGTCCACTAACCAATCAAGTGATGCCAAGGGCTGTCAATCATTGGCGCTCATGCTTGTAGCTGCTCATGCTCAGTTGTTTGTTTTCACAGAGCCTGCAAATCAAGCCTCCATTAGGCTCTGGAACTACATGAAAACTGAACAAAGAATTCTGAGCAGCCGCGCTACCACCGCGTCACCCATGTATATACTGAATCTATATCCATAATCACATCCTCTGCAGATCCTATAATGTTCAAATAATGATAATAGCTACTTCCGGGTTTATCGCAATCGCTTTTTTTGTGCATTAAAACATTATTTTTGTCATTAAAACGTTAACAAATAATTGTAAAAACCTCCATGCATGTGTATTAATAATTTATATGTATAATGTGTTCTCCGATTTACATTAAAATGTGTTGATTGATTGTTACGGAAACGTAGGCGTAGACCAATCAGAAAGGAAGGGGGAGAGCTTTTTTCAAATCACATACCTCTCTCTTTTTTCTGACAAACTCCAGACAATCACTATAAGCATTGCTAAGCTATCCTGTTTTACCCTCCATAATATATAATAGGCCCTGGCATTTCTTTGCCTCCTGCCTGTGAATATGATGGCTGGTGGCCTTATGGTGATACTACTGTAAATGTACAACAACACAAAAAGTCTTACTTTGTCCCAATAACAGGTTAAATCCTGGACTTTGACCATGCAGTCCCCTTTGTCTGTCACAATAACATTGGGAAGTGGAGGAGAAACCTCATCAAGCAAAAGGAATCCCTACGGCAACAAAAAACAAACAGATTGTTATTGCCCCTAAACAGTTCCTACGTTTTTTTTATTCAGCCCCTGACTAGAATGAGTTTGACACCTGTTCTAGGAAGATATACATGTACCTGGATCCTCTTGATGCTGACGAGAGACTCTGACACTTTTTCAATGGCACACGGAAAAAACAGCGTGATGGTGAGGCGGACCGCACCGTACAACGCCACAGCCATAAACACTCGGCTGGCGGTCAGGTGGTTCCCCGTCAGAACGTAAACGCAGACGGTGGCAAAGATTATGATCTTACTGGCCACAAAGAACGAGGCCATGTTCAGACCGCGCAGATAAGAACTCTTCATGATCCTGGAGATTTCCATCCTGTGGATTTCAAATACACATGATCAAACATTCAGGGAGATACAACTGAATAACTTGCCTGCTTTACCTTCTGACCTCATCCACGAGTTTGGCAAAAGGCTTCTCCCAGCCGTACATTTTAATAACACGGATACCAGAGATGACTTCATTCATGGTGCGTATCCTGTCGTCTGATAGAATGGCAGTTTCAGCTCTTCAAGGAGGATAATCATTATTTTGTGTTATTATTATTTTTTGTTCTTTTGGCTGGGAGAGTGCATGTTAATGAACACACCCTCCCTGATTGTAGCCGTAGCTGTACAAATTAAACATCCAGCCAGAGATTTCATTGTTTGGGCCATATTTTGGTGATTATGAGTGAAAAAACAAACATTCTCATTGTTAGTGAATGTTGTTGTGAAGCCATACATAGTCAAATAAAAACGTCTATGATCAAATTCTAACATCATCGAGTCGCTCTGTGGAGAGATAGCCAAAAAATATAAAGGACCTGGAGCATTTTGCCACGAAGAATGGGCAGCATTACCAAAAGAGAGCCTGGTTGAACAAAGACCCTGAGTCCTGGATCTATAGCCCGTTCGACCGTGGGAGCGGATCCCTCGCTCAATGTGGAACACCCAAAGGTTTTTTCCTTTTTCTCCCACTGGGTTTTTAGAGGTTTTCCTTGCAGATGCAGGACACTATGGACAGTGGTGATGATCCAGGACATTCAACATTTATGGACTTCATTAAAATTTATGAATGTTGGTTATCTGCCTCTTTTGAACGAGCTGGAAAACGGCCGCATGTTTTAAGTAGCTCTTAAACAGTGCTTTTGAATTTTCATTTTTATTGATTTTTTTCTGTTTCTGCAGTAAAGTGTTGGTTGGTTTGGTTTTACACTGGTCCAGACCGGAGCAGAGAGGATTCATGGTCCGAACCAAGCGGATCAAGTGAAAATCCACTGGAGGAATGCTAACTTTTTGAAACATGCTAATGAAGCATTTAGCATTTTACTTTGGACTAGAGCAGAGAAAATGGTCTGAACATAGCGGCTACTCCACCTTGTGACCTGTTCCTGCTCCACCCAGAGGCTACTCCACCTCTGCTGCTGTGACCCGTTTTGATGTGACCTGAAGGACTGTTGCTGATTATAACTATTTTTAACTTTTTCGAATGATCAATTTTATTTTTTATTTTTGCTGCTACTGGACACCTGAAATTCTCCTACGGGGATCAATAAAGTATCGATCTATCTATCTTAAGAACCAATGGCTCAATATAAATATATATTTTATTATTGCATTTCTTGTGTTTGAACTGTTTGATTCTCTGATCTGTGTTGATGAATTCAACGGTTTTGTTAAGTCCTTGGAGATAACTACTATTGTGATTTAGGGCTATACAAAAGTAAATGTAATTGAATTGAATAAACAACCTCATTTACGGCTACCACATAAGCTGTGATAGATGTTAAAGGGGCAAAGCACGCCGTAGAGGGGAGGAACTGGGGGATGGAAACTTTCAATCAGGGTCAGAAGAGAAATTTGTGTTGTCATTATAAATTGTTTATTTGAAGAATATATGGTTTCACATAACCACTAACAATGAGTGAAGAGGCTTCACTTGGGTGTGTAAACTTTCAAGCACAACTGCACAAACTAAAATAAATACAGTTATAAATATCAAAAGACTAAATACCTGAATCTGGAGAACAGACGACCAAACATAGTCTGAACTGGCATCAAAATGAAAAAAATAGCCATTCCAGCCAGACATGAAGGGCCAAGAGTGTATAGGAGCAATAATATAACAGCTAGAGCTTGCAAGGGTCCAATCCACAAAAAGTGAAGATATAGCGTTACCTAAAAGAAAGAAGAAAATAAATGTGGCTTTGACTTGAATGGAATTGTAAAAATAAACAGTGAAAAGGGAAATACCTCATCAAACTTGTTGACATCATTGGATAAAAGATTCACTATTTGTCCAGTGGTAGTTTTTGCCAAAGCTGTGCTATTGAGACACAGAGCCTATGAGAAGTACAGGGAAAAAGAACCAATCATTGACCACGATGTTGCTTGTGATGTCATAACAAAACATTAATGTTGTGAGGAAAAAACACCACAATTTACGGAATATTTGTGATAACTTTCTTTGTCTGAAATTATACAATTTGTGTTCCAAGTTCAGAAGTACTCAAGGATTGTATAATTATGTTTATAAATAAAATTAGCAAATTATCAAACTTATTTAAAACAAGAAAAAGAATGCCATTGCACTTTAGTGACTTGTGGTAATAAATTGATTTTTAGATATAAAGATAAAAAAATAAAAAAATCAATTATACATTTGTTAAATAATTATTGTACTTAAAAGGTATATCTTCATCACCAGTGAAAAAAACAAAAGCCTTTATCATTTAGATACTGTACACATACATACATGTATCAAATTGGCAGACCAGTTGCACTAGTAACGATTAAATAATACAGCGCTTAATGGTTCCATAGGAAATTATGATTAAAAAAAGTTGAGAACAATAGATTCTTTTGGAAAAGTAGTTTCCCTTAAATTATCATGATTACTCTCTGATTGATTAAGTTCATATGATTATATTATGACCTGTATAATTCTCCAATAAACTACCAATCTTTACATCCCTTGCTGTTGCAAAGTGCTGTTGTGTAATGGCCAACCTTGCGATAAACCACATGACACACAGCCACACGGATCTTCATTCCCGCTCTCTGGACATGATAAAAGTACAGATGGTGAAGAAGGGTCACTCCCACAGTCGACACAGAGATGGCCGCTGCGTAGCTATAGGCTTTGCTAACGTCAGAGGCATTTGTATTACATCTTTCAAAATACTCCAGCAGCTTTCCAAGGAGAACAGGTTGAATGATCCGGATTACCTCCTTAAAAGTAAATAGCAAACTAAAGTGAAATCTTGAACAAATACACTTGGTATATAGTTGATATATATCGATAATGATACCTCTATAAAGATGTAGATACCAATGAGTACGTAGGATTTCCAAAAGCAATGAATCATCGCTTTTCCCAAACTCGGTGAGTGGAGGTCTTTGGCAGCCTGTTTGACTTCTTGATCCCAGTGCCTAGAAAGAAAATAACTATTATATTCCGTTTGTAAGCCACTTTTTAATGTGATTATTTTAAGAGGGTAAGTGAGTGCTGCTGTGGGGAAGGTACATTTACGAGGCAGTTGGTCTTCCAGGCTCCGTATGCAAAAGAGGATGAAGACTTAATTGATCAAAACGCATTGGTACCCCTCAATATTAATTTTTTTTACAATTAAACAACCATATTATTGAATTTATTCATTTCACTAACAACGATACACATAATAAGTTAAATAGATATAGTTATAAGTTACTACTACCTCTTCTTTGGTTCAGGTTTGGTTCAATCCAAACAGGAACTAAATTTGTTCAGAAAGATATACCAGAAAAAAACAATATCCAAACTCTTATCAAATGTACGTAATGTGTCATAATGGTGTAGACAATAATTATAAAAAAATAATATATTTTTTAACTCATCCCCAACGTCACCGAGTTTGACACCCATGCTATAAATTAATTACTTTGAAAAATAGATATATAATGTAATGACAGGAACCAGACGTATTTCAAAATAAAGTGGAAATGGTGCTGACCTTTCCACTGGTCACACTCAGTCCAGTCTATATATAAAGCTACTAGAATGAGTTGTGGCTGGGTGGGTGTCATGTACAGGAGGCAGTGAAGCAAAACAACTCTGGCCTGAATAACTTGACAATTCCACACTCCTGAAGTATAAAATCCGAGGCCAATTATTGAACTTCAATGTCTGTTAAGGATACTTTGTGTCTGTGTCTGTGTGTGTAATTTCCACCATACCACTGCAGTTCCTCTCCAAGTTTATCAGATGCATCTTCTGACAACACTTTATACATGTCTTCTTCTTCCAGTTTTCTGTCATATCCAACTTTGAATAATGGATTAAGCCAACTGGAATATAAAATGCATTAAGAATTACGCAAGATTCAAATACATTACATTATTAAAACACATTAAAGTGCAGTAGGTCTAAAAAGCAATTATTATCATTGTATTGTAGCCTAATGTTAGCTAATAGTTAAATTTGTGTTTGAGGTCATTTAGAACATTCACACACACAAAACTACTCATATCTATGCAACTTGTTTATTATTTGTATGCATTCCTTATTCTATTCACTACTTTAACTTGTTTACACTGAGAGCCAAAGTAATGTCCTAGTTTGTTTACTCACATGACTATAAAATAATTCTGATATTGATTTTAAATTGTATTTCTTGAAGGGGGTAAAATACAGATTAAAAGTCCTGGCCACAGTAAAAAGCCAAGACCTAAGATAAGATAAGATATGCTTTATTTATCTCTCAAAAGAGAAATGTACATGTCACATTTTGCATGGATAGAAACACTCAAGATTGTGCAAAAAGAGAGGAAATGTGCAAACATGTTAAATGCAGGATATATTATGTACCATAAAAAAGTGGCAATTTAAAAGTGGCAATCAGAAACAGTGTCAATAGTAGTGCAGGTTTTTTCAGTCTTAATACAGTGACTTAAAGTGACTACTGGCTATTTACTGTGGCCAGAGAAAAATTTCTACTTTCCAAAACACATAAGTTGTCTCAAGTACAAAGAAGGTTAAATTTTATCAATTAAATTACTTTTTTTTTTTTACAGGACTTGCAGGTCCACACTGGGCCGGTCACATACAGGATTTTCCCAAGTATTTTCTATCAAAAACATGAAGCTTTGCCGCTAACTCCACACGTGTGCTAACAGATGCTATGCTACCTCTACCTGTTGCTAGCTTTAGTGGCTCGCGCTCATGAGGCTCGCGCTCTAAAAGTCAAACCCAGATTCATTCAGTGTCAAAGGCGGCTGTTTCTGTGTCTGGTCCAGGCCTTTCTTACCAGAAGAAAATCTTGGAGAGAAGATTAGCAGTGACTAGGGGATTATCCTTTGGCTCCTTTGGGTGAGGCTCCATGATCCCTCCAGTGAAAGTGACCTTTCTGCAAATGATAATGCAGGTAAAAACAAATGTGGAATAAATCACATTGAGTTCGAGTAAAGAGAGCCGCTCAAATGCACCTGCTGTAGTCGGAGAGGATTAGTGCCTCAGAGAGAGCACTGGTCCGGGATCAGCCCGCCCACTGACATATGTTCAATGTGTGTCTCCCTCCAGCTTTACTCTCATTGAACAATCATGTAATACATATATAATAAACATCAGTGGGAGGGATTACATTGGCCGAATAACAACATATGTAATAATCAATAACAAAAAGCTAATTAACCCCAATAATTATAATACATGAATATCCCAAACATAACACACATCTTTATAAAAATCAGAATCAGTTTTCTCATTGGCATTATATTTTAATGACCATATTATTTAAGCACAATAAAGTGCTAGATCAACCTTCAGACTTAGTTCAAACTTACCAGGTGAAGAAGCAGGAACATGGCAGTCTACAAGAGCCTCCTGAACCATGTTGTTTTCTTTAGCACAGTGGTCCACCTTGTTTAGAGCTCTTCTTTCTCTGTGACTGTGCAAACTTCAGTTGTTGTGGTACAACATAAAGTTAAGACAAGATCTTGCATTTATTTTTTATCTTTGAGTTAGACAAGGTTGAACTAGGTTGGGGCAACAGCTCAGTTGGTAGAGCATTGGCCTTTGGGCCTGAGGGTTGTGGGTTCAATCCCATCACAAGACCTACTGTACCCCCACTAGTGTCAGCTGTCCCACTTTGACCAAAGCCCCCGCTGAAAGATTAAGGCTGTGTCATCGCTGATGGAATAGCCATCTTCCTGTGGACCCACCACCTCCAGTTTGTACTTTGGAGATATCAACAACAACAGACACAATGTTACAACCAGAAATAAAACAGGTTCACAGGTTTTATAAGTATTCAGAAGGTAATTTTTGTTGCTCCACTGGACAAACGTTTCAATTTTTACTCTTTGATATTTTTTGTCATGATCATTTCAATCTGCAAGACCAAATACGAAGATACGTTAGAATGATGTTTATCGAGAACATTTGAATTAATATATTGTAGCTATAATTACACATCAGCTACTTATTTACAATCGGGTGTGTTTACGGCTCCAGCTCTTCATGAATACACACGGTCCCATCCAAATAAACAAATACAAAAATACCCAGCAGGCACATGATGCGGTACCAACATAGATTGTGAAAGAGCAATCCCCGGGGCATAGACCTTGGGGTGGTGGAAGCTGAACTGACATTATGATGATTCTTGCTCATATCGAAGAGGCTGGTTGCTGCTCAAACAGCTGTTTTACGCAGAGACAGTGAGGTGATGCTGAAGAGGACAGGTGTGTGACTGTGCAGCTGAGGCTGAGGGTTGATATCGGAAAGTCTACTTTAGATGCATGTTGGTGATATTAGCTTACAACATGTTTGCGGTTATGAGAATCATTGTTTTTAAAACTATGATAACACCTGAAATATCAACAACAACAAAAAAAGTATATATATATATATAAATATATCAAATGTGGTATCTACTAAGGAGATGCTCTGTCCCCAGTACTGTTCTGCATAGGCCTCAACCCTCTAAGCCAAGTAATTGACCAGACTGGCTATGGATACCGCCTCAGGAACGGAGCAAAGATCAGTCACCTCCTCTACATGGATGACATCAAGCTGTACGCCAAGAGCGAGAGAGACATCGACTCTCTGATCCAAACAACCAGGATCTACAGCCATGACATCGGGATGTCATTCGGACTCGAGAAATGTAGCTGGATGGTGACTCGGAGAGGCAAGGTAGTCCACACAGAAGGGATCTCACTCCCAGAGGGAGCAATAGCAGACGTTAGGGCTGGGCAATAAATCGAATTTTGGCAATTAATCGGCTTTTGAATAAATCGAATTTGTGAAAAATGTGAAAATCGTGAAATCTAATGAGGGACATTGTGAGAGTTCCAGCAGCACATCAATTATACTTGCGATATCAGCACAGTCTGTACAAGACTTTATTAATACGTATTGGGGGAAACAAATAAAAAATAGTTTTGAAACTTAAATATTGAGCGGGAAGATAAAAAATATTTTAAGGGCAAAGTCTGTCTTGAGTGACTTTAATGAAAATCGATATAACATCGACATCGTCCAAAGCAGGAAATTAAATCGAGATTTTACTTTTTTGCCATATCGCCCAGCCCTAGCAGACGTTGAGGACAGTTACAAGTATCTCGGTATACCACAGGCAAATGGCAACCTCGAACAGGTGACGAGGAAAGCGGCAACTGCCAAGTACCTCCAGCGAGTAAGGCAGGTCCTAAGAAGCCGGCTCAATGGCAAGAACAAGGCCCGGGCAATTAACAGCTACAGTACGCCCTGCCAGTGATCAGATACCCTGCAGGAATAATCAGGTGGCCAAAGGAAGAGATTCAGACCACGGATGTTAAAACTCAAAAGCTCCTTACCATGCATGGCGGGTTCCATCCCAAATCCAGCACCCTGAGACTGTACGTAAGCCGTAAAGAAGGAGGCCGAGGACTAGTGAGTGTGAGAGCCACTGTCCAGGACGAAACATCCAAACTCCATAACTACATCATGGAGAAGGCCAAACGGATGACGTACTCAGTGAATGTCTCAGGCAGTGGCGAGATGAGGAGGTGCTGGAGGAGAGCCCATCATGGGAGAACAAGCCCCTACACGGCATGTACCACCGGAGCATAACAGAAGTGGCTGATCTCAAGAAGTCCTACCAATGGCTAGAAAGGGCTGGCCTACAGGACAGCACAGAGGCACTCATCATGGCTGCACAGGAACAGGCCCTGAGCACCAGAACGATAGAGGCCCAGATATACCACACCAGACAAGACCCAAGGTGTCGGTTGTGCAAAGAGGCACCTGAGACGATCCAACACATAACTGCAGGGTGCAAGATGCTGGCAGGGAAGGCCTACATGGAACGCCATAACCAAGTGGCTGGCATAGTGTACAGAAACATCTGTGCAGAGTATGGGCTGGAAACCCCAAGGTCTAAATGGGAAACTCCTCCAAAGATGGTGGAGAATGAGCGTGCAAAGATCCTGTGGGACTTCCAGATACAGACCGACCGAATGGTAATGGCAAACCAACCTGACATCGTGGTGGTAGACAAAGGGCAGAGGACAGCCGTGGTGGTGGACGTGGCAATTCCAAGCGATGGTAACATCCGGAAAAAAGAACATGAAAAGCTTGAGAAATACCAAGGTTTCAGAGAGGAGCTGGAGAGGGCCTGGAGGGTAAAGGTGACAGTAGTGCCTGTGGTGATCGGTGCACTCGGGGCAGTGACCCCGAAGCTAGAAGAGTGGTTACAGCGGATCCCCGGAACAACCTCGGACATCTCGGTCCAGAAATGTGCAGTGCTAGGAACAGCAAAGATACTGCGCAGAACCCTCAAGCTCCCAGGCCTCTGGTAGAGGACCCAAGCTTAGAGAGGGATAACCGCCCGCGGAGGGCCAAAGGTGAGTGGACAATTTTATATATAGAGTTACAGAAAATGGGTAAAACCATGAAAAGATATGGTGCTGGTGCCTTAGGAAGCACCATTCTAATAAAAAGCCAATGTAAAAAGGTGTGTCTTGAGCCTGCTCATAAGAACATAACTATGTTCTCTGGGGCCCTGAGCTCCTCCAGCTCCTGCTTCCACCTTCTTCTGGAAATAACATGTTTTAGAAGAGGTGGAAATAATTATCCACTATTTTAAAAAGCGAGTTGAGCCGTGAGTGAACTTTGTGCTCTTACTATGTGCTGGTTTTAGGATTACTCATTAGTCATGTGTTATTCTTATGTTAATATGACACTTGCCCCTATTTTGGAAGAAAATATGTGGGACGACCTTAGTCACAAATGGCTCCACTAACGAACTAAACATTAAGCTTCATTCTGTAGTTATATGCCCATCCTTTCAGCTAAGAAGATGTCTCTGTAAATCATCTATGTCAAACACATGTTGCAGTGTTATGCACTTGTCCCACTTACTTTTATCTGCTCTCTAAATCTAATGGACTATTAGCCTCACCATGTCAGGATTACAGATTGTGGCCTTCCTCAGTGGCCTGGCTGGACTCGGAGCTTCTCTTGCTGCCACGGTGTCTAACGAATGGCGGGCGACCAGTAGGGCGTCCTCGGTTATCACGGCCACCTGGGTGCTGCAGGGACTGTGGAACAACTGTGCTGGGAACGCCATCGGAGCTTTGCACTGTCGCCCCCATCACACCATTCTCCAGCTTGCAGGTGAGCCCATTGATTTTCACTTAATACAACAGACAAAAAGTGGTGAGCCAAATGATTATGAGTATGCGTCATAACACAAACCAACACAGGAAATTCAAAAATATACTAAATCAGCAGTAAAACTATAAATGAGTAACTTTGCAATTGTTTTATTTCTGCATATTAGTCTTGTTGGTTTGGTATCTGTTCAACCGTCTGAAAATTAAACCTGAAATAAACAGATATGTGTAGAATTAATGACACACCTCACAAATTCTCAAATTTCAGTCTGATAAATGTTAACATTTATGGCCATCCCGTTCCTTATGGACCAATGGCTCCTATTGCATTTCCTGTGTTTGAACTGTTGCATTCTCCGATCTGTTGTTGACAAATCGACAAATTTATAAAAACCTTGGAGACAACTGCAGTTGTGATTTAGGGCTATACACAAATACATTAAATTGAATTGAGATCCAGCTCTTGGCTCCAAAAAGGGTCTATGTTGTTTATGCCAAAGTGACAGTCCAGGCGTATCTGCCCAGATCTGTTGAAGGACAGGTAAAAGCACAACAAAAAATGTGAAATTTAGGAGAAAATATCAAGGCAAAGCTTCTTCTTCCAAATATATCAGTAAAAAACCATTAATTTAAAAAATTACATTCACGCAAAAAACAAGTCTTCTAAAAGCCTGATCTAATAATAAGAATATAAGAATAATTCTTGTGTGTATCATTGGAATAACACCTGTTCCATATAGTATTGAGGAGCTGAAATGTATCACATAAGCATCTTAGCCATGAATATTGTTGTTTAATATTGTTTTTCCCTTTCTATAGATGATACTATCATAATAAAATGGAACGCTCCATGAAATAGAATGTTAGATTGGACAATGTTGTGTCCTTGTGTATGAGCCATCACATCCTGTAAATAAGTAATGCAGTGCTGCTTTGCTCTGCGCAGAGACCAGTGTCCGGTAGAAAGTAACATATTCACTGCGGAAGCCAACATACTCACTGAGCATGTGTATCTTTTTAACAGCGAATATGATATCACATGAACCTTCCAGAACCTATGACGAGTCATGACTCACAACTCAAACTCCACCCTGCCAAATATAAGGGCCCATAACACATTAACTATATATCACATCATATTCATTCAACTAGCACCTCTGAGCTCTTTGACCTGGCCTGACTGTGAGAAGCTCCTGGGTCACTCCTGGTCCCCTTCTTCGTCCAGCAGCATGTTTCAGGAGATTGTGGCCTTTGTTCTGAGCGCTTCAGGCTGGGTGCTGGTCTCTTCCACTTTACCCACGGACTATTGGAAAGTCTCTTCTCTTGATGGAACAGTGATCACCACAGCCACATACTGGTCTAACCTATGGAAGTCATGCGTCACTGATTCGACAGGAGTCTCCAACTGCAAGGACTTCGCTTCAATGCTTGCTTTGGATGGTCAATATTTCATTTGATTCCCTGAGATACTGTTTTTATTATATTCATGTCTTCAACAATTATTTTTTGGAGAAACTCATGTTTCGTTGTCTGCGAGAAAAGCTGCTGCATATTGTCTTAGAGGTGGTACTTTATGAATACAAATATTTACTCTTAACTGCATTGTGGACTATAGTTGTTTTCTATTTAAGTGGTAAATATCAACATTCAAAAGTATTACTACAAAAAACAAATCCCATTAATTCAGTAACACAGTGAAGGTCAATATAGGACATGCAAAGAAGTATTGTATGCTATTACGTTAATAGTACATAGTATCAGAAGTTCTGTGGTTATTATAAGGATGCCATTAAGAATTACACTTTGAGAGCTTCAGCTTCTTTGTAACAAGAACAAAACAACATTTTAAAATTAATTTATTTATAGGAACAGTGTACATTGATGAACATCTGTCAATACTGTGTAAATATGCCAGATTCAAGCAAAAAAAATAAAAAAAGAGTTAGTGTTGTCCATGGGCAGGAGACATAAAACAAAACCAAAGACTTTAACAGATATACACACACACAACATACAACAAAAATAAAATTCACAGAAACTTAAACATTGCAGATACAAATGCTCCACTATAAAAATTGCCCTTGTTTTTAACATAACTCTGTCATCTCAATTGGGACATACTCATATTTCATATATTTAATTTGAGTCAATTTTTAGCTTAAGTTTTCAGAAATTATTGACAATAAATGAGATTTACTGACCACCTCCGGCGTTTTTCCACAGCGGCTCAATAGAAACACGGCTTAACTTCTGGGTAATATGTGCCTCAACAATCACATCTACAAACACCAAAAAACCATTGTACTTGCATGCCGACAAATTGGTTCCCAAGGTCAGCTGCTTCCACAGACACAAAATGCAAAAGTACCATTAACAACACATTTATGGTTGCAGGTTACATCCAAGTGTGCCGAGGTCTTATGATTGCAGCAGTCTGCCTCGGATTTTTTGGCTCAATATTTGCCCTTATTGGAATGAAGTGCACAAAAATAGGTGGAAGTGACCAGAATAAGGCCAAGATTGCATGTTTGGCAGGTGTATGCTTCATCCTTAGTGGTAAGTAACTTCAAATATTTCAAAATATTTCATAACTTCGATGATTGCATTTCAAAATGTCTTTATCACTATTACTTGAAGGCCTTTCCTCACTCTCCACATGCTCGCTCTACGCACATCGGATCACGTCAGAGTTTTTTGACCCAATGTACATGGCACAAAAGTGAGTTTTCTTGTTGCCAACTTGTTGAAGTATTTTCTGTATCCAAATATATTTGTACTTCCCAGATATGAGCTAGGAGCAGCACTGTTCATTGGCTGGGCAGGATCTGTTCTCTGCATTCTGGGAGGAATCATGTTCTGCGTCTCGATTGCTGGATCTTTCAGTAAAAGGTTTGTTTGAAAAATAGGAGTGAGATAAGGAGGAAGGAGGGTCTAAGGACAGCAGTGATGATCCAGGACATTGGATGGATTTGATAATAATGGAAAGAGAACACCACTGCCAAAACAATACTTTGTCTCTAAGTCCAAAATACACCATTTGAAACGATACAAATGTCTGAAACATGTTGGTATTATAAGAAAGATACAACATGTTACATTAAGGTACTTTATTATCAGTTCCACCTGATAATAAAGTAACTAAAATGTGTGTGTGTTGCAGCCACAGCCAAAGGTCCTACTTTTACAAAAGCACCGTCTCTCACATGACCCCGCTCCCAAAGGGTCCCAAGCCGGCCCCTCCCTACAGCTCCTCCTCCAGAAACCAGCACTTTGACAGGAACGAATATGTCTGATGGATGTTGACAATTGTAAAGACAACCTGTTTATATATATATATATATATATATATATATATATATATATATATATATATATATATATATAATTCTGACTTTGTACTTTGTAAATACATTTTCTTTTTGTAATCATTCAGTTTTGAGACTCAAACTAGAGTTAGATTCAAGTTTATTTAAGATGGAAGTCAAGAGGAATGTTTTGTATGTTTGTTTTATCATTGGTTTCTAAAAATGTGTTTTAATCGCCTAATCAATTTAATTAAATAGTTTTTGTTTATAGACAGTTTTATAAAATGTGAGTTTACCGTTGCAATAAAAAGACAGTAGAGGGCAGTATGGTGTCGTTTTTCCTGACACGTCAGTGAGGCTGAGTGGAGCCCTTGACTTTGTAAACACAAATATCTTTAAATCAAATCATGTGCTAATAACTATTGTATTTGATCATTGTATTTAATATCAATGAGACAACAAATACATGTATATCAGTATTCTCTAACTTATACCATATAAAATTGAGAGACTAGATAAGCTCAAGGCAATATCTATCAATTATATATAGCAAATTTATTCAGGCAAAGTGAGATGTACCAAGCTTTGATTTGTTATAATGAGGATCATTTCTAAATTAAAATTAGAATGATTTGATTGATTTTCATTTCTAATTTTTCACTTGTAAGGCCACACTCACCCATGCCACACATTTTATATGTAAGGATTCCTAACAGAGCCATTCGCATTTTAGATAAACTTGTTCGAGCACATCATGGTGTAAACTTCTTCCGCTTTATCCGCTGCATAAGAAATATACGCTATGTGACGGCAAATCTGATTAATCTAACTACGTTCACTTTAGAAAACTCAAATGTCCACATTTGAAACTTCTGTATCAGCAGCAGGTTCTCAGAAGGTTCAGTGACTAGAGAAGATCAGAGAGTGTAGAGTTTTTAACAGTCAACGTTCACTGTTCAAGGCTGTCTATCTACAGAGAGGACAAAACCACACAAAAAAACAAAAACAAACTTAAAGACGCCTTTATACGAGCTGAAATATGTGGCCATCTTGTGTTTTCCAAATTGTTTTAATTGTTGTTATAACCCTTTAATGTTCACTCCTTGAAGAAAGACATTTAATTTTAGATTTTTTTTAAATGTAGGAGCACAAAAAAAGAAAATTATTTTCTTTAATTATTATTATTATTATTATTTTAGGCCTTTACCAAATGTTGAGATTCAGTTTGATGGTAAAAGGTCCCTAACACCAAGTGATAGAGATGCTCCAATGAGGTAGATTTCAGTTTCAAGCAGGCTTCAAGTATGTAGTAACTCAAAAAGTGATCCACCAAATGATTGAGCAGACCAATAAAGGGTTTTTGTTGTAGCGTAACATGTGCAGACGAAACACACATGTGCCTATCAAATACTATCACTAATAAATAAGTACATAAATACATTTGAAGTCGTCCTGCAGGGTTGAAAACTGCAGCGGCTGGAGTGGATAGGCCTGATGGCTCGGCACACTCCTGCATATTTACAGTCAACATGTGACACAGTGCCCTCATCAACAGCGCTGACATATGACAAGAAAAACTCCATCCTTTTGGCTAACGGGAGGAAACATATCCCTCAGCTCAACATCAAGGAAACACACACAAACGCTCTCCATTTTGGACTTTGGTACAGTTTTTGCCTTTGCTTTAACCATGAGGAAGCGTCTTATCCAGATCTTTGGTTTTCTGGTCACGTCGCTGGGATGGTTCTTCGTCTTGTGCACTATGGCTATGGACTATTGGAGAATATCACAGATTGGGGGACAGGGCGGTTCCTTTATTATCAAGGTGGCCTGGTACTGGTCCAACCTGTGGAAGGACTGTTACACTGACTCTACCGCCATCACCAACTGCAGGGACTTTCCCGTGCTCTGGAGCGTCGCCGGTAAGTCTGCCCTTTGTATTGCTGCAGACTAGTTATATATATACTGTGCATGTCATGTACATTACCTCCATCCATCCATCCATCCATTTTTAATAGTTACCTAATGTAACTTAAGTTCTACGAATAGGTGCGCAGTCCCTTAGCGGACTTCGCTAGTGGGATATCACGTGACCCCCAGGTCACACGCCAGAGATATCAAAATAATTTGCTCCAATCACTAGCGACCCTCCTCTATAAAGGCCCCTGCACAAGGCCGCACCCCCTCTTGAACTCTGCCAACCCGGGCTGGCCTGATGGGCTCGTAGCTAAGGGACTACGCACCTATTCGTAGAACTTAAGTTACAGGTAACTATTAATTTTACGTGATGGTGCTATGTCCCTTAGCGGACTTCGCTAGTGGGACACAACGCGGAGGCCGTAGGAACATGTACTCCCAGCAGGCCAGCAAAGAGTGATTGGAGCCCCGTCCGAGCAACCCTCACACAGTGAGAAGACTCAGGACAGAAACCAAATCCAAGCGTGTTACGGGGCCGCTCCTCCCAAGGACACCCCCAAGTAACACCGACCAAAAGTCACCCGTAGTCCCAGGACGCCTCTCCCAAGAGCTCCTGACGTGGACCACCTAACTGACCAACACCCCTAACACCGCACCTACAGGACGCCTTTCCCAAGAGCTCCTGAACTAGGGCGGAAGGGCAAACCGTAATCTCATAGACGAAGAACCCATGATTCCAATCAGTCCGCTGCACCAAGCACGGAATGAGCCACCGACCGGTCCGACACATCCAACAGGTAAGACCGGACAAAGGAAGAGGACGAAGCCCAAGAAGCCGCACGGCAAACGTCCTCCACCGAAGCCCCCCTGAGGAGGGCCGTAGAAGCCGCCACTCCACGCGTGGAGTGCGCCCTAAAACCCACCGGGGACGTCAGGCCCTGAGCTTGATACGCCATCCGTACAGCCGAAGCGACCCAGTGTGCCAGACGTTGAGACGACAGCGGGGCGCCTCTATTCTTGGGGCCCAGACACACAAACAGCTGATCCACCAGTCTGAAGGAAGATGTCAAGGTCAGGTAACGCCTAAGCATTCTGACAGGGCACAGCAGGTGCCGTCGCTCCTCCTCGGGGGAGGAGTGCGGCGGCGGATGGAAAGCCCTAATCCTGATCACTCTCGACCTGAAGGCCGAAGTAATGACCTTAGGGAGAAAGGCCGGATTGGGCCACAACTCTACCAGCCCGCCCCCCTCTCCAAAGGACAGACAAGACGCATACGTATGGATGGCACACACAAATCGCCCGCCCTCTTAGCAGACGCCAACGCCAGCAAGAGGGCAGTCTTAAAAGCAACACACTCGGGACTCGCCTCCGACACTGGTTCAAAGGGCGGGCCCGACAGACCCCTAAGGACCACTCTGAGGTCCCACACTGGGGGCGTTCTCTGAAGGCCTCTTCCTGCGGGCCCCCCCGCAAAAAAACCTTTCACCAAAGGATGAGAACGGGCCGTGAACCCATCGAAGCCACCGTGACCCGAGGTGATGGCTGCCGCGAACACCGCCAGGTACCGACAGCCCTCCCTTTTTCAAAGAGTTCCTGTAGAAAGCCCAGGACTCCCTCCAAGGGGCAGTGCCTGGGATCCCAAGAACGAGCACTGCACCAGACGCTGAAGAGCCTCCATCTGGTGTCGTAGGCTCTCACCGTGGACGGCGCCCTCGCCCCCTGAATGGTCTCCACCACCGCCGGAGGAAGACCCAGGTCTACGAGGTTCCGCCTCTCAACCTCCAAGCCCAGAGCCTGCGGCCGATAAACGGGCGTGAGAACAGGGCCCCCCCCCTTGGACTAAAGCCCCCGGCTCGTCCGGGAGGGCCCAAGGCTCCATCACCGCCATGCCCCTCAGGAAGGGAAACCACCGGGCATGCGGGCTGTCCGGAGCCACCAAGATCACCGATCTCCCCTCCTGCTCGATCCTCCGCAGCAGGACCGGCAGGAGACGAACTGGTGGGAACGCATACAGCAGGCCCCCTGGCCACGGGTAGTGAGCCATGGCGTCCACCCCTAGGGGCGGCTCGTCCGCGGCCCTTAAGGCGTACCAGGACGGGCACTGTGCGTTCTCTGCACTGGCGAAAAGGTCGACCCCTGGACGGCCGAACCTCCGCCAGATCTCTGCAGATATCCGCGGGGCCAGGCCCCACTCGTACTGGAGTGGGCCCCCCCTGGACATCCTGTCGGCCCCCACGTTCCGGGCACCCGGGACATGGCGTGCTCTTAGGGACAGGAGGTGAAGTTCTGCCCATAGCAGAATCACCGTCGCCATGCGATGGAGAGCGGGGGATCTGGTGCCTCCCTGTCTGTTCAGATAAGACACCACCGTGGTGTTGTCTGAGCGAACCATCACATTTCTCCCCTGCAGCTGTGGGGCAAAGTGCAGCAGCACCCTGAGCACTGCCTCCATTTCCAGAAGGTTGATGTGGCGGGCTGAGTCCGACCAGCAGCCTCCTACGGAGCTCTGACCGAGGACCCCGCCCCACCTTTCGAGTGACGCGTCCGTGAACACCTCCACGTGAGACACGGCGCTGACCAGAGACACCCCGGTCCGCAGCATACCCGGAGTGAGCCAAAACCTGATGTCCGATGCTGCAGTTTGGGGAACCCAGATCAGCCTCCCCCCGTCCCATGAGAGGTGAAGCTTGAGACGTGAGAACCATCTCTGAAACATTCTCATGTGGAGGAGGCCTAACCGTACCACAGTATGAGCCGCCGCCATCATCCCCAGAAGGGATCTGAGGCGCCGCGCGGGGACCCTGGGACCCGCCAGCACCTCCTTTGCCAGACGGGTGATGCTCCTCCGTCTGTCCTCGGACAATGCAGCACTGAACCTCACCGAGTCCAGCTGCAGGCCGAGATAAATCAAGCGTTGAGCCGGCTGCAGCCTGCTCTTCTCTCTGTTCACCACAAACCCCAGACGCTGTATGTGGGACAGGACCCAGTGTGTTTGACTCACAGCCACTTCTCTGGAGGAGGCCAGTATTAATCAATCGTCTATATAGGTTAAAATCCTTACCCCCACGCGTCTGAGCGGCTCCAGTGCTGCCTCCACGCACTTGGAGAACGTCCGAGGCGCGAGCGCGTAGCCGAATGGGAGACGGCAGTATTCGTAGCTCCTTTCTCCCACTGCGAATCGTAGGAACTTCCTGTGTTCCGGAACTATCGCCACGTGAAAATAAGCGTCCGTCAGGTCTATGGAGCACATCCAGTCTCCCTACCTGACACACTGTAGGAGCTGCTTTGTGGACAGCATCCGAAATGGGACGCACCCCGCCTGACTTCTTTGGCACCAAGAAGTAAGGGGAGTACAGCCCCCTGGCGGCGTCCTGTGGGTCCACCTCCACTGCTGCGCCTCTACTCAGCAGAGAGAAGACCTCCGCTTGCAGTGCCACTAATGACCCCCGTACCTGAGAGCGTGCTGCCTGTACGCCTCGGAATGGTGGTGGTTTCCGGGAGAATTGCAGTGCGTAGCCTCTGCGCATGGTTTTCTCCAACCACGGGTCTGACAGTAATCCCTGCTCCCTCCAGATGTTGTAGAAATCTACGAGGGGCGGAACGGGAACTGGAACACGAGACGTCACAGCCCCGCCCTCTCCTGGTGTTCCTAGCAGGGAGGGGGCGTGAACGAAAGGACAGAGAGGCCTCCTGCGTCACGTCGTGTGCATCGGGGGCGGTCACGTGTTCCGCAGGCCCGACGTCATAAGACCGGGCCTGTTCATCCCCTGTGACACGGCCGCTCCCCCCCCCCCCCCCCCCCCCCCCCGGCTCTTGCCTCATGGGGGGGGTTTCCCATTTCCCTGGAATGGGAAACCCCGTGCCTGGAGTGGGAAACCCCGTGCTTAGCCTCGTAGCTAGGAGGGGCTAGCACGTGATTAGCTGAAGTACACACACCTCTACTCACCAACACTCTCCGCTTGACCTCTCTCTGGGAGGGCATAGCATGGATTAGAGAACCGGAGCTCGTAGCCCGCGTAGCGCACTGCACGCCCTGCTCAGGGGGCTGGAGGCCTAGCGAGGCCACGTTATGTGCCCGGGAAGTAACACAATCAGATACATCCTTAAAAATGTTACATAGCCCCAAATGAGACTCAGACAACGAGTACTGGTGAAATGCCGGACGGCCTTTATTGAAAACATTCTTGCCACCCCGGCCTCCCGGTCCATAGGGAGGCCGGCGGTGGGCACGTTGCTCCCACGAGCCTCCCGTGGGTCTGTCCGGGCCTGGGGGTCTCGTCGAGGGGAGACGGTGAGTGGCGGAGCGAGGATAGGGATCGGAGCGCCTCCTGGGCGAGCGCTCTCTGCCTCTGTCTCTGCTCCGCGACGACTGGTGGGCCTCGCGCCTCGGAGCTAGGTGCGGAGCTAGCCTCGCCGAATCCTTCGCCGCAGACTCGAGTCTCTCCACCAGGGCCTGCATGTCCGGGCCGAACAGGGAATCTTGGGAGACGGGCAGGTCCAGCAGTTGCCTCTTCTCCTGATGTTAGCTAGCCCAAGCCAAAGGTGCCTGACCCCAACTTGGGCTGCCGCCATGCTGCGTCCACCATCCACGGCAAGCGCCTGGCTCATGCGCAGGAGCGCCGCGGAGGTGGTCCTTGCCTCCGAAAGACGGTCCCCGCTGAGTGACTGGCCAGCGGAGAGCGATCTATCCAGCGCCCCCGTGAGGAACGCCATGTTGTTCGCCAACGCGACGACCTGAGCCGCATTGGCGTAACACCTATCCAGCAGTGCCACAGACATCCTATCCCGCTCGGAGGGAAGGAGAGGTCTGGTGCCGGGCCACACAGATGAGGAGGGGAGCAGGGTCATGCGGACAGAGTCCTCGATCTCCGGGACGCCACCAGTCCAGGACCAGTCCTGCACGTTGCAGTACATCCCATAACCCAAGGCAGGCCTCTTGGCTGCCAGAGGTTTGGACCACTCACGCGTCGCGTAATGGAGGATCGGCTCCATTTGCGGGCACAGTGTGGGCTGCTTCCTCCTCCTCCCTCGAGGTGCGGCGCCAACGGAGGTGAAGTCCACCACCGCTTGGTCTGGCTGTGGTGGCAGGGGGGCCCCCATGATGGCCGCCGCGGACGAGTAGAGACCCGGCATGTGGTCCAGCGGGAAGCGGTCCGGCTCCGGGTTGGATGAGCGAGCCGTCCTCCGAGTCTCCAACCTCGCAGTCTCCCCATTCCGCGGGCACAGGAGGAAGGTCGAGTGGGGCCCAGTCAATCTCGGACCCTTCGTCCTTAGAAGAGTCCGGAGGGGGCATCGTAGCGGCGTAGAACGCTCGCCTGCGTTCGCTCTCCTCCCTGGGGAGAGCGAGACACAAGGCGCAGCTAGCGCTCTCAGCCGCATGGCCCGAGCCCATGCACGTGAAGCAGCTGGCATGCTGATCCGTGCGGTGAAGCTTGACCCGACAGGTGGAGCACCGACGACGTCCGACACCGGAGGGCGAAGGGGAACTCAGACGTGCAGTCGGGGAAGACATCTCTGACATGAAGTACGACATAGAAAGGTAAGATCTCAATCGCCGCCAGAGTGAAAGAGGGGGTGCGGCCTTGTGCAGGGGCCTTTATAGAGGAGGGTCGCTAGTGATTGGAGCAAATTATTTTGATGTGCTCGCCTTGGCAGGTTTGAAATCGGAGTTGGAGTGTTCATCGGCTGGGGAGGCTCCACTTTACTTGTAGTTGGAGGTCTTGTTATTAGCATTATTCTAGGAAAAGAAAGCTGCAGGTCCAGGTACTGCTTTCTGATTAAGCACTGAATTTGATCTTTCACCAATATCTTTCACCTATGTCTTTAACCAACAGCTCGGAAATGCCCTTTACCTTCCAATTGCCGGAGGCTTACACAGTTGTCACCACAAAGAAGAGTATGGCATCCTCTGCCCGCTCAGTCGTGACGGAGAGTCAGAAATCGAGGGTCAGCAGCATCAGTAACAGCAGAGCCAGCAGTATATCAGGGATCAGCAGCACTACAAAGACAACAGCCACAAATGCTTATGTCTGAGAGAGATGTGTCAAATTTAGATTTAAGTAGATCAAGACTTCTGACCACATCTGGCTGACGATTATTTATGTAACATTTACAGTAGTACACAACATAATGTTTTGCATAATATTCACTATATTTGGTATTTCATGTTTTTGTATAGATTGTCCTGTTGACAGTGTTTTACTAAAATGTATTATGCATAATTGTATATATAACTGAATTGATTAGTCATAGTCTAGCTGACACAAATACTCAGGATGGTGTTTGGCCTCTTAGTGTATGGGATATTGATATTTGTGACTAACCAACCCAGCTGATTTAAAAATAAAAATCATATTGTAAATCACCTGATAATATTTAAAGGAGGGTAAAAAAATTACTGACAAAAATGACTTACAGACTATTTTGCTTGGAATTGCAAGGCAAGCAATAAAAGTTTATCCAAACACTACACAATGTTATATGAATACAATATGAACATGTCAACCACTTTTCTGAGTGCAGTAATTAATCATTCAAACATTAGTAATTATAATGTGGCCATCCCATTCTTAGCATGTGCATAGTTGATAGGCGCTTGTGCTGCCGTGGCTCCTCTCTGTTGAACCAATGGAGAGGGGCGGGATTATCTAGGCGGCTCAGCCAATCAGCGCGCCCCACGACCGGTTGGCGGAGGTCCGCTTCCATCTGCCCCAGCGCTGCTCCCAGAGCTGTCAACACATGGACGTTTGGATACTTCATGACAGGCGAAATATTAGACAAATTATTCATTTTCCTACGATACGCAGCGATATAATCTGCGTGTTAAGTGTTGAGAATGGTTTCCATCGGCCATGTGGCACAAAAGGCAGTGAATTATATCCCATATCTGCTTGTTTTGATTGACATGCGGTATCAAGGTAAGGAAGGGATTTTTATATGAAGAAAGTAGACAACATCATGTAGATGTGGTTAATTGTTGCTAAAAATCCGCCGAAGTGTAGTGGTTACATGAAGCAAACCTTTAAATGCTAAAGTTTTAACCTAGCAACTTTGTGAAACTTTGGCTAGTGCTAACTCACTGTCAACTTGGCCATTTATCCATTTAGAAAGAGTTTAGGAGCGACATGTTAGTGAAACATATCTAACGTGAGGTTATATAGATTCACTTCATCTAGGTTTAATGTGTACTGACCTCTGGCCTCCGAGTTTACTTTTGTTTTAGTTATTACGACAGTAAGACTACTTTACGACACTTTATTCACAGAATTCTAAACAACAACCTCAAAAGGATTATGTTGTAGTTATAATAAGCAGAATGTTAATAAGGACTATTCTTAGATTGCATGTATGTTATGGTTTAAACGACCTTGATCAGTTCTGTTTTATAATAACATGGCCTGATAGTCATAACAAGTTTGAGATGTAAAACTACAGTTTTATTATTATTATTATATTGTGCTATCTATTCAAGGAGTCAAATCTGACAGTGTGGACAATCACTTGGAGATGGGGAAGAAGCTGCTGGCTGCTGGACAGCTCGCAGATGCCCTGTCTCATTTCCATGCAGCTGTGGGTAAGAAAATGTGTCCATGCTCTCAATTGTGTTTATAGTTATTACTTTTGAAGCTAATTCACAATTTTGTGCTTGTGCAGATGGTGACCCAAAGAATTATTTGGCTTACTACCGAAGGGCCACAGTCTATTTAGCGTTGGGCAAATCAAAGTCTGCTTTACCTGATCTGGCCAAAGTCATTGAGCTCAAACCAGACTTTACTTCTGTAAGTTTCTGTTCAGTAACTATTGCTAATCGTTGTATTACTGCTTTTGCACTCAATTATGCAGGGTGTCACCTGTTGTTAGTATCAATAGGGAAATGCCTATTAAGTATCCACCCAAGTAAAGCATGTACAGAATGTCTATACAAGACAGTGTTGAGAAAATAAGTGCTTGCACCAGCTGTAATGATGCGTGTTTATCTGCTCTTGAAAAGAACATTTGCTTTCTCCCCTCAGGCACGGCTTCAGAGAGGAAACCTGCTTCTGAAACATGGAAAGTTAGATGAAGCAGAGAGTGACTTTAAGAAAGTTGTAAGTCAAAAAATAATCTCTAAAACTCTCAGATCGGTGCATTGTATAGGATTTAAATCCTCCAGAAGATGTCACTGTGGAACCACCAGTTTTAAAGCATTCATTGAACCTTTATTTCTAAAGATGACATTTTCTTTCTCGATAACCAGTATATTACTGTATCTAGGGTAATCCCACTTTAGTGGTTGAACAGTTTTTGAATAATAATAATAGTAATACAAATATTAATAATTTGAGCTGCCGAATCTTTTGCCCATTTAGCCTCTTTTATGTAAGTTTACAGAACTTCCAAACGGACAGCCCTTTCTGAGTTGTATATATGTATAGCTTAATGCAAATATATACAGGTTTGTGGTTTGTATCAGAATCATTATATAAGTAACAGGAAGTCACAGACTAGGAAATTGCTATGTATTCATTCATAACTTAACTCGTAACATTAGTTAACAAATTGGAGTTTAGGTCACACAGAATACAATGAGATCCCAGTGCTTTGCTTGTTTCTTTCATCTGTAATGCATCACAGCTAAAGGCTTTCCAAAGGTGTAATACATGCCCCCAGGTTAAATGCATAGCAAACATTGTTGAATTCCCAAATTATATTATTTATCAAAACGTATAAATCATTTTTTTTTTTTTTTTTTGCCATTTCAGTTGAAGTCCAACCCGAGCGAGAAAGAACAAACTGAAGCTCAAAGTCTGCTGCAGAAATCTGATGAAATTCAGAGGCTCACAGCAGAGGCTAATGAGAGCTTTCAAAACAAGGACTACGTGAGAGCTGCATCTCAGCTTGACACCATCATTGAGGTAAGCTGTGTTCCCTAATTCGATAAAACTTGTTTCAGATTGACTCCACCGGTTTGCAAACAAGAGGAGCGTTGTTAAACTGTCCATCTCGTCGCAGACTTGTGCTTGGGATGCCACCTCCCGAGAGATGCGAGCAGAGTGCTTTATTCAAATGGGAGAGATGTGGAAAGCCGCCACGGACTTAAAAGCTGCTTCTAAATTAAAGAGTGACAATACACAGGCCTTCTTCAAGCTCAGCACCATCTACTATAGCCTGGGAGACCACGAGCTGTCCCTCAAGTGAGTGCTGTTTTGCCATTCAATTGAAATCCACTCTATCTTTTTTCAATCCAATAAGTGCTGAAATAGGATGGTTGAGAATAACGCTATTTCCAAGTAAAGCCCCTTTTTACAATCACAAAAGAAAGTTATGGTGCTATATTTGCTGAACGAACTGATGCTCAATGCAGAAGTAGGAAATATATATGAGTTTGTTCAGATATTAGTGGATTGACATGTTTTTGCTGACAGAAAAAAGAAAAATGTTGGTGATTTAAAATAATGACTAAAATGAACTGAAATGATAAACCCTACATAGTATAGACTAGATTCAAGCTGCTCCTTTTCAATCCCACAGCCATAAACCATAAAGAAACTCAACTTTTGCCGCTCAAAAAGGAAATGAATTATTACCAAACATTTCACTCAAGCTAAACATATCTTTTATCCAAATAACTGAATAAGATTAAGATCCATTTTTCCATTTGTTTTGGGTACAATGAAAAGTTCTGGCCTTTTCTCGCAACATTATGAGATTAATTTTGCCCCTATAAAACCCTTCTGAGTGAAATGTAAACTATGATTACTTTTTTAATATCGATTTCTCTATTTGATCTGTCTGCAGTGAGGTCCGCGAGTGCCTCAAGTTGGATCCGGATCACAAACAGTGCTACAGCCATTACAAACAGGTCAAGAAGCTCAACAAACAAATTCAGTCTGCGGAAGAATTCCTCCAAGAGCAGAGGTACGTGTACATGTGTGTTCGTGTGTGTGTGTGTGTGTGTGTGTGTGTGTGTGTGTGTGTATAAAAAAATTCTGCCATACCCTCTGTATAGTCTGGATTGCATCAGCTGTACCCCAACCATATCTTTATCCTGGAGCAGTTCGACAGCTCTGCCTCACAAACAGCCGTGCAAATCCTGTCGTGTCGTGAATGGATGTCACTTTCTATCAGCGATACATAACATTTCACATTAATTGGATCAAAAATTTGTATGATGGCTGTATGTCGCAATGAGCGTGTTTTTACTTAAGCCGCCTGAAACTTGGAATGTGTTTTGATTATATTCTCTTTGGCTCTTTTGCATGAACAGACAAGAGTCAGTTCAGAGGGTATTTGACCGACCTGATACAGTTTCTGGTTGTTCTTTGAAAAAAACATTGTTATAGTAATTTTATATTAAGTATTAATTTTCATGCATGCTTTATTCTATTTTTACTTTGCGTGTTTGCACCCATAGCCAAAACAATTTCCTAGTTTGTGACTGCCTGTTACTACCAATGGCAAGAGAAATAATTTTGAATTCTTGTTCTGGTAGTAAAAACACAAAAAGTATGTATGAGAAGTCAACAATTTAAACTCACACATCAGATTAAATGACATTTAATCTTGTACAGCCCTAAATCACAACAGTAGTTTTCTCGGAGGCCTTTACACAACCGTTGACATCGTCAACACAGAGCAGAGAATCAAAATGTTAAAACAGAAGAAATAAAACAACAATTGTGTGCTTTATGTTATTGTTGCCATTCTTCTTGTAAAATGGTAGATAATTTACAACATGCAAGAATAAAAAGGCACTAATCAAAACTGGTTAAAGTAGGAGACTTGAAGAATAGTAATTGTACCCTGGATCATTTTCTATCAGATACGAAGAAGCGATTGACAAGTACGAAGCCGTGATGAAGACCGAGCCGAACGTACGCCACTTTACTCTCCTGGCCAAGCAGCGCATCTGTCACGCCCTGGTGCAGGTAAGACCCCCCGCAGCTGGCTTCCATATGCTGCACTCAGAGACCTCAGAGACCAACTGTGTGTGTGTGTGTGTGTCCGGCAGAGTCAGCAGTCCGACAGAGCTGTGGCCGTGTGCACCGAAGTCCTGCAGTCAGAACCAGAGAATGTGGACGTGCTGAAGGACAGGGCCGAGGCAAACTTACTGGTGGAGGACTACGAACAAGGTACAATTAGAAAAATAACTAATTACAAGCTTTTAGACGTATGTTAGGTACTTCTGTGCAACATAACTCTTAAAAAAGTAATGACAAACCATGGAATTGTGACAAGGTTTTTGGACACAGCAAAAGTATGAACATTGTCTTCCTCCAATTTTCTTTGGGTCCAACTTCAAGCTCTTCAAGAGAGCCTTTATTCGTCCCACAGTGGGGAAATTTCAGTGTTGCATCACAAGTTACAGACAGTAGTAATGAGGAACACACAGCACAAGATAAATTCATGATAACTCTATACTAAATTCAAGTAAAATAAAATCTCTTACTCCAGCATGAGAATAAGTAGTATAAAGTCTCTATCGTTAGCATAAAAAGGAAAGAAGTCTTAATATCTCCAACCTTAGTATGATGAAGAAGCAAGGTATACAGGATTTTCTACTTCCGGGTGGATCAGCAAGACCTCCTAATTGTCAATCATTCTGGTGCTACGTGCTCGTCAAATAAGACCAGAGAGTTTTGTTCAAAAAGTGGAGAGTGGTCTGGGACAAAGTGACTCAGTGAAGTGACAGTAACACATGTGGTTCTATATTGTGCATTCTGATATTATTAAAGTTGTTATTGCGCAGCTGAGTAAAGTAAATTGACAGTGACATTGCACACTCTGACAATATTTCAGTTTATTGCACAGGGGTACTGTGAACAACATATGAGGTCAGGTCGACAGTGTTTGTTTACACATGCACATTAGACCCATCTCTATCGTATACTGTTCAGATGCCATTCAGCCATACACAAAAAAGTCCACTAAGAAGTTTTTCTCTTTTAGTCAGTCAGAAAACCAGTCTGTGTCCAATATTGGTCCACTCCTCTTCAAGTGTCCAGACATGTTTGGGATGTGCTGGATTGTAATAATAATAATACATATTTATTTGTATAGCACTTTTTTTAAAACAAAAAAGTCTTACAAATACAAACAGTCATAGTAATACAAAGTCAAAATAATTAGAGAGAAAAGAGGATACAGGAAGACAAAGCAGACAGAGGAAACACAAGAAGAAAGACAAGACACAGACAAAGCAGACAGAAAAATACAACATGAGAAGTTTGAAACTGACAGTTAAAAGCTGCTCGATAAAAGTGGGTTTTAAGAAGTGATTTAAAAGAGGATAGTGATGGTGCTAGCCTTATCTACTCGGGCAGGTCGTTCCAAAGCAGAGGAGCACGGGCTCCATCACCCTTCGTCCGGAGCCTCCACCCCAATATACAATAGTGTATTCAATTCCATTTATTTTTGTATAGCCCTAAATCACAACAGCAGTCGTCTCGGAAGGACTTTACAAAGTTTTCAATTCCATAATGAAGTGCGATATCCAGAAAAGCCAATATGCTGAAGAGTCATTTGAAGAAGAGTGGACCAATATTTCACTGGCCACAATCAATCACACGAAAAACTCAAAAAAAGGTTGCGCTGGTAGTAAAATTATGGTCCAGATTCTGACTCCTGATTGTGGACAGTCCTAGGTAGAGATGAGCAGTATTTATATATATCTCACATCTGTGAAGTGGGATGGATTGTTTCAACCAATAAGTGCTCACTGAAGTGCACTCAACAGTATCTGATAGAGACGGGTCTATCGCAGACGTCCAGCAGTCCTATAGCTTTAAATGTAGCCCAGGAAGAATGGGAGAGAAAACAAAAAACGCTGCATGCATTTACTGTATATTATTGTTCTGTGTACAGTATTTTATGTGGATTTCAAAAGTGTCAAACAAAAGCTGATTTGGGATCCATTATGTTTGACGGAGCCAGCGAGCTCATCAGATCGTATTTACAAATCCGTTTAAAGCCATGGAATTAACTCACAACAATGTTATTTTTGCTATCATTGTAAAGTGTTGGAATCAATGTCAATTATTTTCTCTGCAACATTTTTATCTGCCAACAATTGTCCCCTGAGCTGTTGTTTCTGTTTTTGACACGCCGAGTCGCTGCCAATTGTCAATCAAATGAAACAAACAACTTGCAACATGTAATCTTAACCACTGGCAGTGTATAAATTCCATAAACTTTTCACAAAAATACTTGGCTTGTTGTGCCAGGCTGTAATTTACATTGTGACTGATGTAGTGTCATTTCTTGATTTGAATACGGAAGTCTTACTGTCTCTTGCTATGGCCTAAGAGATGACCAGATTACAAAACAAACTTACATTTCGTGTCTTGAGCCTCTGGTTTAAAATTGTGGTGGAAGGAAGTTGGAAAATCTTTCCCCTGGTAAGTGTCAAAAGTCAGACATGGGCCACACACATTTAGCAATAACTACCACACAGTTTAAGATAAGATAAGATGAACTTTATTGATCTCACAATGGGAGACATTGTGAGATCAATAAAGTCAAAGATAGAATCTCTCAGGTGGTGCAAAAAGAGAGGAATTGTGCAAGCATGTTAAAAGGTTAAAATATAGTCAGATATGTTATGTACAATAAATTAAAAGTGACCATAGCATTACAAGTTTTCAGTCCTAGTGCGGGTCATCAAGTAATTTATTATACAGTCTGACAGCGGTGGGGATGAAGGCCCATCTTCTTTGTCAGGACCCTTCTCATAAAGGTGACAAGAAGTGGTACAATATTCAAAATGCAAATGACTAATGTGGCGGGTTTCTGAATCAAATCTTTATCAAATTATATTCTGGGTAAAGATTTTAACATCGCCTTCTTTCCAACAGAGAATACAAATACTAATACAATGGGTAAGGTTTGGGTTTAGGGTTATTGGCACCTGCCCTCCAATGTGAATGTAACCTATTTAAACAAAATACTAATACAAATGTACTTAATGTAGTCTCTTATTGCAACCTAAAATATTGTGAATTTCAGACGATGTGTGCGGTTATAACCCACACTCATTATACAGGATGCAGTTTGTGTTGCATTCGCTCTAAAAAAGCCGAGCAGCCTTTGGTACCGTGCGGCGTGAACACAGCAGCAGGTGGGCATGCGAGGCGAGGGTGTTTAAAGTACCAGGACCCATGGGTGTTTGCTTCACCCCAGCACACCTCACAGGGTAAACAATCCTCAAAGCAAGTCAAACGAGCACAGCCCAACAGCCCCGAGCTCCTGCCTCAGCATCTGAAGGTTAGCTGCTCTACTGCCGCTGGAAAGGCTTTATTTTTATTTGAAAATGTCGGGTGTTACAATGGAGCTGCTGAACATTGGGAGGATCTGTACGCACACAAAAACTGACTCCATGCGCATTCTTGTTTCGTTTGCAGCCGTTAAAGACTACGAGAGCGCGGCAAAGCTGAACGAGAACGATCGAGAAATCAAAGAAGGGCTGGAAAAGGCTCGGCGGATGCTAAAACAGTCGCAGAAAAAAGATTATTACAAAATATTGGGAGTGAAAAGGTGGGTGTTGTTGTTTAAGGTGTTGATTATAAACGACAGGGCTGTTTGCAATGATGTGTGTTTCCTGGCTGCAGGACCGCTCAGAAAAAGGAGATCATCAAGGCTTACAGAAAATTAGCTCAACAGTGGCATCCGGACAACTTCCAAGATGAAGAGGAGAAGAAGAAGGCTGAGAAAAAGTTCATAGACATTGCCCAGGCCAAAGAAGTCCTCACTAACCCAGGTAAGCTTCATGCAAGAAGAACACAGCAAAAGAGTAGAGGCAGCAAAAGTCTGTAGATACTTCAATGGACATTATGCAACTTATTTATGTAAAAAAAGTGATTATTTTTTGCAAATTCGACCTTGTAGTGATCTATGGGCTATACGAAGGGGCATCAACACACTGTCTGTTCATGCTGGTTTTTACTTTGTATTTTAACTTTTTTAAATGTAAGTTTTTACTTGTGATGTAAGGCGACCTTGGGTGTCAAGAAAAGTGCCTAAGAAATAAAATGAATCATTTTTATCACTGTGGTCTCTAGGATGCTATGGGATGGATTGTTTTTAAACCTTCCCCGCTTCAGAAAAACCTACTAAACAATTGATCCTGGAGAGCTGTACCCAACTGTAATCAAAAGTTGTGCACCACGCAGACACACCCAGTGACTCTACAAGGTCAAATACGCAAATAATATAAAGTTAAACCTCCTGAATGTTTGCCTTTGCAGAGATGAGGGAGAAGTTTGACCACGGAGAAGACCCCATGGATCCAGAGAGCCAGCAAGGCCACGGACACCACCACTTCCACGGAGGCTTTCCCGGATCTCAGGGATTCAACCCGTTTGGCTCAGGGTCAAATTTCCATTTCAAGTTTAACTTTAACTGAGGTGGATGTAACTGTATTCCTATTTGAAAGGGAAAAGATTTCACTCGAGTGCCATGACATGAGGTGGACAATTATGGAGCAACGTGTGACTTCCGACAGTCCCGCGTGGATTAAGACAACTCTGTTATGAGAGAAGATGGTCCGCCGTTCGACCTTACAAATTGTATCTACAGGATTTGGTTTCCTTTTCTGTTTTTGAATGTTTCTAAATAAATACATCTATTTATGTACTTTGAGCACATCTTTGAATGATTGTTGCCCATTTATTTTTATGCACAATAAAAACGTGATTAGAATAAAAATACGACATTAAAGGCTATTGCCACAAAGGAATCCACCAGCTAGACAACACGATTACAAATGTTTTCTAGAAAAGATTTATTCTTGCCCAGCAGACCATAGTACAAACACTGGTATTTGACACAGTGAAGGATGAGTGCCCCGAGACCAGTCCTGCTACACCAATAACAGACTGATTCAACTGCAGCCTCATTATTCCTGAGATAAAATACTGGTTCAAGCATAAATAACACATTAAAGACAAGGACATGTAAACATTGTGCATTAACATCGACATATTGTATTAATAAGATTTTGAATGGCATCGGTTTCTCAGTACGATTCTTTTTATTGGCCAGTGCATTACAGAACACTGACGATTAGAGTGCCTTAGAGTCTGTTTTTATTTCAACCCATTTTGCTGGACCTGTTTGGAACACGATAGTTTCACACCAATAAAGTCAGTTTGTGAAAATAAAAATGACAAATCTGTTGACATTTCCAGGAATTGGAGCAGAGTTTTGGAGCTGATGTCGCTGTAAGAATAACAAAAGTTTAGTACGGTTTCAAACAAACCCTCTTTGATGATACTTAAAGGATTCACTAATACTGAACACATTCTAATATTGTATTTGTCAAATCATTTCGAAGTAGATTTCTGAGATGTTTTGGCACCGTTCATGACATGACTCCATAGTAACATCTGTTGTGTGATGTCATCAATAGCATCCAGGAAGTAAAATTATAATCTAAAAACAGTGAAACTTGGAATACATATTTCTAAGTAAAATCTATTGTAAGTGTAATGTTGTAACATGTGTTTTGTGAACTTGTCATACGCACTCTTTGATATCCTCTGATCAAAGTATTCATCAAACCGTTTCATATTAAGTTCTAGTAAAAAATAAAAAATAAAAAAAAGGTAAAAAACCCCAATGTGACATGATTTGAAATGGATTGGACACTTCATAGTTTGTTTTGTAAATGTCTTTGTGCAAATGACGCAGCCTCCATTTATCCGTGTGATTGTGGCAGTCGCTAAAGTTCGTCTCTCTGGATATCTGCAACGCAAGAGGCGAGAGAAGAAGAAGTGTGTGAGTAACATTTATAAATCCATAATGAAGATGTACAAGAACGGACCTTTTGCCTGTGAGGAGGAGCTCTGCGTTTCTAATAGAGTCTCTTGTTTCTCTCTCAGTAACTGCTTGATCTCGTTGTCATATTCAACCCACTCAGGCACGATGCGGGCTGCCGCTGTGAGCTTGGGTTCTTTGGTCTTCGGGTTATTGCACTGTAAGAAACAAAACGGCCCATGCATCAGTCGAACAATCGCTGCCGTCTCTCACCCACGGCCTCATCGCCGGCTCGCTCTGTGCTGTGCATTTGGACCTAATTTAATTTCCCATTCTGTTAAAAGGACATTAGAGTCTTGTGTCTAAATTACAAAGTGTGGTCCTAAACCACAATGAGACAACGCTTCCTATTCCAGTCGACTGGAGCTCATCCAGTAATTCTCTAAATGAGTTTAGGAGACTGCAGGATTGCTCCACAGTAGCTTCCTAAATGTCAAGTGCCTTGTGGATGTTTGCAGCTGGAAATGTTGTTCTTGCTTTTCTGTGGTGCGACTAACAAGGGATACAATCAAAGCCAAGGTTAGCAAAACACACTTTATGTTGCATAGACGCTACAGAGTTGAGGCAAGGAGCGAAGAAAATGACTTATTTAGATTTTATTGATATTATTATTAAAAAATCAGCTTGAAAAAAACTATTTAGGGTATTTCTTATTCATATATATATATTCACATATTTTTTTATTTATTTTTATTTTGATCTTTATGTTTCATTTGGAAGAGGTGTGAGTGCATTTATTGTTAATGTATCTGTGTGCAGCAGTGTGGAAAGCTATGAAAACCTGCTATACGAATAAAGTGGATTGGATCTTCTCTAGTTGGACTCACCAGATCTATTGTTTTGGCTGTTGTTTTGGAGCCGTCATCGCACCACGTTTCGCACCACAGCCACTCCTGCGGCAGAGACTTGATTGCCACTTGGTGGATCATGTTGTTTGGAAGATCCTAGATCAGATAATAAACTGTTATGTTTCTATGTTCATAATTGACAACAAAAAAACCTGGATTTACCTGATCGAGGTTCGACAGACTATTTGGATCTTGACTTAATGCTTGGTACTGGCCGCGTAGTCTGTCTCCGGCTGCGATCTTACGAAACTTCTTCAAATCCACCACATAAAGTGCACTGGATACAAGAAGCAGAGTGGGGTGTGATAATCAAAGCCTTACAAAACCCTTTTCAAGTATCAAACCTCATGACAGAAATAATGAACCTCCTGAAGTTGGATTAGCATAATGGTACTTAGCACAGTGTATTCATAAGTTTGACGAATGAAGTTCCTAACAAAAATGTTTGACGTTGACACGGCAAAATGTAACATTCATTTTTGACTAACTTTGCTCATATTTGAGCTTGTGTACATGTGCAGAAAGACTGTAGGTATCTTCTCTGTGAAAGTATGTACTCACAAAGCAATGAATGATTTCTGCAGTGTCAGAATGTAGGTTAGAATGTTCGAGTGAACAATATTCAACTGTGAGAGTCTGTGTGGCCTGTTTGGATTCCTATATTTCAGGTTTGCAGGAGGTTCTGTTGAAGTTGTCACACAGAGCTTTAAAATGCAGAGATACACAGATAAGATACAGAACCTGATGTGATACTTTCTGTGTCCCAGATGTGATGCCCAGTAGCCAGATCTCCAGAAGCGATAGCCGTCCATCTCTTTGCGACTGTCACAGAACGGTGTGTAGCCGTAGGGCGCACCCTCCAAGTCTAAATCCCTCAACTGTTTCAGATCAGCACGGACAATCTGTTCAAACAAGGAAATAAACCATTTTAATAAATGAATGTATGAGAGCTTTATGAGTCCCACAGACATTACCATTTTCTCTGACTCACCTGGTCAGCATCCACAAAGATGATCTTGTCTACAGCTAATGGGAACAAAACATCCAAAAAGAGGATTTTATATCCCCAGATAATGCGCTGCTTCTCAGTCTGCTGGTGGAGCCAGCGAGGCCATTTGTACTGCACCAACTCGTACTGAAAACCATAGGCTTGGGCCATGTGATGGATGGTCTCCTAACAAGCAGACACAGACAAAGCATTTGTTGTCAGTGATGGGTAGATGTTTACAAATGATATCCAGCTCAATCACAATTAGAAGAGCTGGCCACAGAGCTGTCCGCTGTTTGTCTTGTTTTTGGCTACAACATGAGAAGACATTTGCGAAGCGACTTTGCTCTTTATTATTCTTCAGGATCAGGCCCCTTCTGTTAAAAAGCTTCAGTCTCAGTCCTGTAACAGTATGATATCAGTATGGTATAATATCATTGTTCCACTCGTGCTTAGAGCAGTTTTCTGCCTTTTAAAACAGAAGTATTTCTCATAAATTAGTTTGAATTCACTTCAAGTTTATGTTCTTTACAATCTCATGGATTTGTGCAAAAAAACAAAACAAATTCAACTCCCTCTGGTGGTAGCATAGGAAGTTACAGACAGAAAGCATTCGTCACCCTTCGTACTTAAAAACTTACGATACATTAGTTGATAATATTCTACTTAACACATACTGAATGACACAGTAAATCAATGACCAAAAATACTGCATAATATTTCTTCCATGGTATACCGACAGGAAAGGCTGGGCAGCTCTTACCTTAAAAGAGGGTGAGAGGTAATTCTTGAGGAACCAGAATTTGACAGGTGTCTGGGTGTGCCGAAGGACAGACAGCATCATTATTCTGAAACCGAGACGAGACAGGGAGTTCGGGACGAGTGAAGGTGAAGGCACCGAAAAGCAAAAATGAAAAGCGGGGTGACCCACCTCAGAAAGCGCTCATACAAATGTCCCGAGGCCACAGAAAATATGTTGAGAACGTCCTCCTTCTTCTTGTCGGCATCCTCCTTTTTAAGTCCACCACCAGTGATGCTGTTTGGAGAACAATACGAAAGCAAAAATCATTTGTGGGTCCTACATGTATTGAATAGAATATTTCTTTAAGAAGCCATGCAAGAATAACACAGCCAACCCCAAATTCACTTTCGAGCTTTTTTTACTCTAGCTTATTTCTATTCCCAACTACGGAGACAAGCACTCATAACATCAGTACCTTTGTTAACGTTTAACTGAACAATAAAATGTTTTAGGCTGAACTTGTGCATCAGCAGTAAACAAAGTGCAACACACTTGATGAGTATAAATGAGGCTGCTGTGAATGCGGTCACACTGGGTCTCCTCACGAACAAGACTTTCACACACTCTGACACTGGGACAAAAACACACAGGGACAGGAGGACATGCAGGGAATGGAGAGAGGAAGAACTAAGGCTCAGCACAACAGTGGATTACTTTATCTTCATTTATTTATTTTTTTACTCATACAAAGTACTGACTCTTGCCCTCTGAGACGACAAATGGAAAATAGCTCTTGACTATAATCTGGCATGTTTACATTTGGTAAGTGTTGGTGGCATTTGTCTCTCCCTCCACACATGGGAGCGGGGTCGACATACAGGCGGCTTATGCCAGACCATGTTTTTTTAGTGGTAGGGGAAACCGGAGAAGACACGGGGAAAGCTTGCAAACTCCACACAGAAATGTCTGGAGGTGGAATTGAACCCAGGACCTTCTTGCTGAGAGAAACTAACCACTGTGCCACCATGTTGCACTCAAGCAATCAGATATCAGAAAACATAAGAAAAATAGCGGCGAGGTGCTGAGAGAAATAGCTATGAAAACTATTCAGTCGCCTCGCTGGGCAATACCGAGCCTACAGGAAGTAGACTGTAATGGATAACATAATTAGACTATGATCTATACCAGATATACGACACAGTCCAACCAGTGTCGTAATACAAGAGGCACTTTTGCTCCCTATGAAACAAAGCTATACATACAGCAGTCTTTCTATTGTGTATTGTGTGAGTAAAGTACTGGTGTTGTCGAATAATCCACAACACTAATGTAGATGAAAAAAATAAATAAGGTGATCATTCTCGTCCCCTGGCTGTAAATGATGTGATATAAACTGCTAATCTCTGTGGGCGTAAGAGTTACACTAACAGGAAACAAGTACATCCAAACATGGTGTATGGATTAAAAGGATCCAAAAACTTTCCAAAGAAGCCAGCGGAACCAACATGTGCTTTAGTGATGCCGGGTTTCACCTCGCCAAATCTTCGGAGGTGTTCGATCAATACATGTCTGCAGGCCTGCCCTTTCAAATGAATCACTGCCAGCATTCAGAGGTTACCAATGAACTCCCGCGTATTGAGACATCTCTGCTTTCACAGCAAAAAGGAAACTTGTCACGTTTGAAAAATAGTTTTGACTCAGGTTGCTTTTGAAGTCTGAACGTGTGGGGTGAAACGTACACAGAAAAGTCTTTTAAAACACGGCACGGGGAATAATTATTAAGCTTCAAAAGTTCTGATCCACAACCTTGAAAAATACATATAAAAAACATTACATTACAAATTACTTCTGGGTCTGCGGCTGGTCATTTTTTGTGTCTTGCCTAAGAACGCAAAAGACAGTTTGGCACTTTATAGCTGCAGCCGCCCCGATGTTGGCACCAGGTGTTTCCAGAGGTCTCCCATCACAGTACTAACCAGGCCCTGCACTGCTTAGCTTCAGAGGTCTGCTGACGGGATCTGGCTTTCACATGCAGGTAAAGCCAAGATGCCATGTGGCTATGAATGGAAGTCGTGCAGATGGAATTCCTAAAACTTAAAGTGCACGTAACAGGTTCTAATGATGTTCTAATGTTGAATATTGTGTTTTGTTAAGCACTTTGAGTTGCGTAGGAACTGTGCTATACAAATAAACCTGCCTTGCCTTGGAATTATGCCTGTTTTACAGTAACTATAAATGACGGTTTTACACTAAGCTGCAGTTTGTGAATAAAAGTGGATAAATAAATATTTATAGGAAGTTTGGCAGAGTTCTTGAACTGATGACAACATGACCGGGAGATTCTCATCCTAAAGTTTGGCACAATTTCAAACAATTTTTAGGTCAACTAAATGATTCGCTAAAATAAAAGTTGAAAAGTTGAGCAGCATAGGGCATACAAAAATAGACAAAATACATAAATAAATAAATCATCATTTCTGTTCACAATGGAGCAGTTTCGGCCCAATATACAAAGATAGTTGCCAAGTTACATCCGTGGTTGGGGGCAACGCAAAAAACATATTTTTAGATGAATATCAATATTTTGAAATTAGATACAACACTGATGTTTTAATTATTAATATTGATTGTTTTATTTCGTCTATCTATTTTTGGATTAATTTTTTTTATCTTCAATAAATGAACTACAAAAGCATCAGTAGCATTATATGTTACAATGTGGCAGAGCGCTGAATGAGGGGCTAAAAAACTCTTTTCTTTACGGAATCGTATCGTTTAGAAATAAATTGTATTGAATGTAAAGTCCCCTGTATTAAAATACCCATAGGAAGGCTCTGAAGGATACCCAGCCCTCCCTAGCGTGATGCCATCTACAACCAGGAAGCAAAAACATAAATAAAAAACATCCAAACTGGGTTGAAATTTGAAAGATGGCAGCAAAATCTACAAACGTGTGTGATGATGATACATATGTGTGATCTTAATGAAACGTATCATTAAAGTTTTTGCATTTTGTAGACTAACCTAATTAACAACAATAAATGTGGCGTCTAAATAAAATTAATAGAACTTAGCACATATGTTTTGTATTGTTTGTTTGTAGACATGTAAATATGGCCTGGACTCACAGTATGTGCAGTTCACTCAGAGTTGTTGATGATGAATTGTGAGCAGTAAAGCATATGCCATTTATTTCGCAAAAAAAAAAGAAAGAATCATCCAATAAACAGTGCATGCTAATGACTGAGACAAAGAAGTGTTAAATGCGTTACCGCGCCGCAGCCTACCTTTTCTCTAAAGTGCTCCAAACACTTGAAAAAGCAGGCGTAAAGTGAGGAGACATGATCGCACAGTTAGGAGGTGTAAGGACACGCGCACACACACACACACACACACACACAAGCAGAAACAGGCGCCGAAACCACCACGCACATACCTACAGAAGCACATATTTTTTGCTATATTAGATCTTACAGCATAATATCGCAGAATGAATCCGGGCGATGACTTCCTGGAAATAACAGATGAAATACAGGGTCCACCAGCTAAGACAAAGCCATGACTTATATGACCACCAAAGAGGCCGCCGGAATGTAATACACTATATGCCAAAGAGTAAGAGAAGGCCGGCTACCTTGCAATGGATTCCCAGATGCCGCCGCTTTCAGTCGATTCGCTCAAAAGATCCTCGTTGATTTTATTGGCTTTTTTCTGCACCTGTGATGAGGAGTGGGGCAAGTTTTGAATTATGACAGGAGAAAAAGCTATTCATAAACAAGTTAGTTTGCCGTACTTACTCTGACTTTGATTATCTTGCTGTGGAAGCTGTTGAGTACCACAACGACGTCGCCCGCATCTGCCGGAGAATCGGTGCCGTCGTGTCTGGAAAGAGCCATAAAAAGACTATTAGGCAAGGCAGGTTTATTTGTATAGCACAGCTCATACACAACGCAATTCAAAGTATTTGAACTAAACAAGATAAGAAACAACATCATAAAAAGGCTTTAAAAATCACACATTAAAATGACAGTACATTAAAAAGAGTAAATATGCGATCCTTCAGTTGTGTGCACGACTACAGTGTTCTTACGCTAAAGGTTGCTTTGTTTTTATGAGAATTATATGTAATGGACTTGCTTGTTTTACACCCAGTAAGATAATTGGTGGTGACAATTATAGTGCTGTATTATTAATGTTGTTAAGCTTTTGCTTCGTCCGACCCCCATTTAAACTGTATTTCTGAGTATTTTGTTTTATCATTTGATTCTGTACAAAATGCATGGATAAAAAAAAGACGAAGACAGCATTAAGTCCTGACTTGAGTAGGGAAAAGGTGTAGGTATTTTTATAATGTAATAATATTATTATTTATTCTCAAAGCCAAGTTACAGGTCAAACTGCAGTGGCATAGACACTCCGCTTTTATTTGAGCAACATCCATCCATCCATCCATTTTCTTCCGCTTTATCCGTTGCCGGGTCGCGGGGGCAGCAGTCTAAGCAGAGACAGCCAGACTTCCCTATCCACACACACTTCCTCCAGCTCGTCCGGGGGGACCCCAAGGCGTTCCCAGGCCAGCTGAGAGACATAGTCTCTCCAGCGTGTCCTGGGTCTTCCCCGGGGCCTCCTCCCGGTGGGACGTGCCCGGAACACCTCCCCAGGAAGGCGTCCACATTTGAGCAACAAAAATATGTAAAATTGAATAAGATAAGATAAGATATTCTTTATTTATCTCACAAGGAGGAGAAATTTACATGTCACATTTGGCATGGATAGAAACACTCAGATTGTGCAAAAAAGGGAGGAAATGTGCAAACATGTTAAATACAGGATATATTATGTACATAAAAAAGTGGCAGTTTAAAAGTGGCAATTTAAAAGTGGCATTGAGAAATAGTGTCAGTATTAGTGCAGGTTTTTCAGTCTTATACAGTGACTTAAAGTGACTTATTGTACAGTCTGACAGCGGTGGGGATAAAGGCCCTGCGGTAGCGCTCCTTCTTACACTGAGGGTGTCTCAGTCTTCCACTGAAGGAGCTCCTCAGCTTCTCAGCTCCTCTACAGTCCTGTGCAGTGGGTGGGAGGTGTTGTTCATGAAGGAGGTGGCTTTGACTAGCACCCTCACCTCCTCCACAGAGTCCAGGGGGCAGCCCAGAGTGGAGCTGGCCCTCCTGACCAATGAATGAAAACAGGAAACATATCTAACACTATACTGCACATTCTACTTATAAACAAACATTACACATTTTGTTTAGTCGGATAAATTCCGTTAGACCAGATGCAAATTAATTACTCTGCTGGGCCTTTACAGTTTCTTATAGTCTAAGAAAGTTTTCATTGTAACTGTGCACTTTTTCCAAGCATATCGCGGGTAGGACAAAAGCACAATACCCAAAAGACACATGCCATCTTCAGACAAATAAAGTGGAAGCCTGCGCAGTGCACACGGCTGAAAATACATCTCTAAGCTGTCACAGCGGAGGTTGAAAGTGGACTTGGACAGAATACATTGTGCGGTGTCGGTTTGGATTATTCAGGGTCACAACATAAGGACAGAAAGCAAGATGTGAAATCCCTGATACTGGTCCAGCTTCAGGGCTCAACTCACAGAAACAAATCTAACCATATCACTTTGGCGAATGTCCTCCCCTGCTCCATATTAGGAATAAGTGCGTTTCCCTCTTATGCTTAAGTGCTGCTTGTGCAATGGCCCTCTTCTGTCACTCGCTGAAACTGGGCTTTTACGGCCTGTGTTGGAAAGCACTGGAGATCAATCTGTGTTCCTGCTCGGAGGAGTGAAGAAGCGCCGTCTCATTCATCGCTGTCAGGGCTCAGTGCAGCAGCAGCAGCAGAAGCAGCAGCAGTGGTGGCAGCGATGGCGGAGTGCGGCAGGAAAAACTCGAGCTTGGGGACTAGTGCGCGCGGACACTCCCACTAGGCTCTGATGGGCCACCTAACCAGAGCAGAGCGCCGCTAACCACAAGAATAATGACACTGCCAAGGTGAAAAATGACATCACCTCTTAGCTCCGCCTGGAGGATTGGGGAATAAATCTTGGGTTGTCTGATATGATTTCAGAGGAACCAAAGGCTATATGTGTCCTAAATTGTATAGTGTGGGGATGGTCTGGCAATGACAACAGTGATTGTGGCGATTATCTCGTAAGACATTTTAAGTGTTAATGATTGGGTTGGGAAATGGCGACTCATTTGAGGGAAGTGCTTTCCTAATGGTGGCAGTGGCTTCGATTTGAAGTAAAACCAGAAAAACCAGAGGAATCAGAAGTCAGCGAGAATCAGAGAAGTTCCCAAAGTATGTGAGAAAGTGTGAAGCCCACCTAAGTACTGCACTGTAGCTGTTTGTCTGGGGAAATTATAAAACACCGACGCATTGTGAGGAGTATATGCAGCCTTTGACTCCTACGCTGTCCGACTCAGAAACACTCTGTTGCTGATATTGTGCGCATTGAGGTGGATGGCATGGCAGGTGACCAGCTGAATCATCTGTGCGCTCGGGCTTCTTTTTAATAGCAGCTCTTTCCTCCTACCTGTCTCTCTCCGCTCTGTGCAGAGCACAACTCCCTGCACTCATCAAAACCTTGAGCTGCTACAGTGTCAGCAGCTCTGTGTTTCCATAGTGATGGGTTTTATAGCTGCTACTTTAAAAGGGAAAATGTACCTGAAAACAAACTTCATACAAAGATTCTCATCAAAAGACTACACTTGTAGAATCTATGGCACTGCAAACAGATGCATAAATGATGTGTAGGAACTCACGCCGCGATCTGATAGATGTCTTCTGATCTGCCCTTCCGTAACCGCAAGATAAACGCACCTGGATTGGCTTTCAGTTGGAAATATCCCTGTTCAAGTAGAAGCGTATGAAGTTATCATCGGCAGAGCTCTTATATCAGGCATGTCAAACTCAGCCAAATCCAGCCCGCGAGACGGTTTTTAGTGGCCTTTAGAATGATTTTCAATTACCTTTATCACAGTAACTTAAAGCATTGATGGTAAAGGGCTACTATGGTATTTACTGCGTAATACCTAATTTTCAAGCCCATTGACTCAAACATATAATTGTATCTGATCTAAAATGTAAACTACATGTAATTATAAGTTACATAATTATTTGTTTCTTCCAATACATCTTTTATTGATATTTGCCCCAATTGTGGTTAAATCAAAACTTACTACATATATTATGTCAACTACAGTGCACATTAAAAACAAAAAATCGTTTATACCACTTTTATATTTCTGGCCCCATCCAGCTCTTATGCTTTTGAATTTGGCCCCAGACAAGAATGAGTTTGACACGCCTGTCTTATATGTTTGGAACCATTGTGTTTTGCACTGACCAGGTTTGCCATCACAATGGTGTCATACATAAGTGGATTCTGGCTCATGCCCAGAGTAAACTGCAGTCCACGGGGAGGCTGCCCGGTGGAAAGGTCAAAGCAGTGGCCTTCCAGCAGGAGGTGCTCCAATTCATATTCTGCAGAGACACTTCCACTCACCTAGAGTGACAAATCAGTTCAGTATCCATGACAAGACTAATCGGCTTAAATGTACGATTTGTAAATTTGTATATATAATGCATTTCGCCCACAGAATAATCCATAATTGTACAAATGTCTAATGATGATGAAGTATTGAATCATGTTTCAGCTATGAGTACCTCCAGCAGGTGAATGTTATCCAGGTCGTGTGGGCTGTTCACTGCCTGCACGATCCAGCTCTCTGGGGTGATCATGTTGAGGGTGAGAAGAGGGGTTTCAGGAAGGTCCATGAACTGCGCCACTGGCCCCGCTGATACTGTATCATTGGCTAAGAATTTTACGTCAGGATCCAAGACAAAACGATAAAAGCTGAAAAGCAAATACAGCATTCCGCTTTAGAATACCACAGAAGTGAGATGAGAAGCACAGCCCACAGAGAATATCCTTTGTTATTTATGGACATGTTGTTCTTAAAAGGAAAACTGATGTCATGATGATGACATAAAGTACAATAGCAGCATCCTGGACAGGGATAAGTGTGACACCTGGAATACATGAGATCTCATCAAAGAAAGGTTGGAACATTTGTTTAGTGTTTGCAAAACAATACTCCATTACGTTGCACTAAAGGTTAATAATGATTTTGTTATTGCTTAGTATGTCTGCATCTTCAGCTTGTCCTGAATAACACAAATTAGAGCTGAATGGTGTACAAATTGTGAAGGGTCATAAAACTCTGTCTAATTGTAATTGTAGGATACAATGAATATTAATGATATTCATTCCAAATGAACATCTTGAATGTGTTTCTTCACTGTTTATTTGTGTTTTTATGTAATGTGGGCCAACAATGATTTTCTACTTTGGAAGATAAATTAGATATTCTATTCACACACATTGTTGATACTCATGAAATAAAAAAGAAAGCAAGCAAAACTCCAGGGAATAAAAGGTACAAAGGTTATCACAATCAAAATAATCATTCCCTAAAAGCTATAGACTCAGTATAAAACAACCAGTGTACTCGTTTATGCTTCAGTCTGGCCAGTAAAATCACTGATGCATGAGACAACAGTAAAGTCCATGACGAAACATAAAAAAAAACATTCCCTCTAAGAATTTAAAGTCTACAAAAGTTGACTATATTAATATGTTTTAAAATATGCTGTGAATGTTGGTAAAATATTACAAAATCAGAACATATTTTTACACAATTTGGTAATAATTGTTAATACAATGAATTCAATAAACAAATAAAGGACAGTTTTCTATGCATTTTTGCAGAGCTGCTGGTTTGTGCTACATCTGCGAACTAGCAATTTGCCAGTAGAAGCACAGGGAGGCCCAAAGCAATAAGACAGTGTTATTAAGCAGATTGTATCTGCACTGTGCAATCTTACAAAGGAAAGCCACGAGGCAGTCTGCAGTGGTCAAAGATGCACAAACACACCAAACAAGAACATTTAATTACCGACAGACCAAGTACTTACCTCTTGAGGGGCATTTCAGATAGTTTGGACTTGCAATTCATAAACACCTGCAGCCTCACGTTGACCACTTGGCTGAGCACCTGCGAAATTCACAGAAAATAAGGTCACCTCAGTGTAAATGTGTTTTGAATGAGGCAAGAGGCTTGAGATATAGGGAAACATACAATAGTACGTTTTCCTATGTCTCAAGCCTCTGAAGCCTCTTGCCTCTGAAGATAAGATAAGATAAGATAAGATTTGCTTTATTTATCTCACATAGGAGAAATTTACATGTCACATTTGGCATGGATAGAGACACTCAGATTGTGCAAAGGGAGGAAATGTGCAAACATGTTACATGCAGGATATATATGTACAATAAAGTGACAATAATTATGTACAACAATGCCTTGATGAATTACTGCATCAAGGCATTCACTATTTTATGTTAATTTGTTTTTTTGATAATTCCATATATTATTTTGTTGAAATCTGTACCACTTCTGATCTAGCACATCTGTTCACTATCTCAACAATCACAATACTGTCATTCGATTCAATGTATTCTTGTATAGCCCTAAATCACAACAGTAGTTATTGCGAAGGACTTTACAAAACCGTCAAATTCGCCAACACAGATCAAAGAATCAAAGAGTTCATTGCACAAGTAATGCAATTGTAAAAAATACTGTATATAGAGCCATTGGTCCATAAGGGGCAGATGACAAAAATAGTCCGTAAATGGTGATAAAGTCCATAAATGTTGTTGAATGTCTAAGTGTCCTGGATCATCACCACTGTCCTTAGACCCTCCTGAATAGGCAAGGAAAAACTTGTAAACAAAAAACTTGGTGGGAAAAAATTAGAAACCTCTGGGATGCCCACATGGAGGGAGGGGTCTGCTCCCACGCACAAACGGGCTATAGATCTAGGACTCAGGCTGTAGAACATCCTCAGCAAATCAGAACTTACATTGAGCAAGGAGGACATCTTCTGTGCAGCTCTAGTGAGAGGGTCAACAATAGCCACCACATCATAGAACACCTCATTTTCTCGTGGAGACAGCTGCAGAACGCTAAAGAAGAACACAAATACTATTACGCTGCGGAATGGGAAGGGCACCCCACTGTGACCCCACCTTATGTGTCAGTACGCCCACTAACCTGTGTTTGTCTTTCAGGAAGTGGACGTCTCTTCTGACCTCTCCTTTGGGGGCAGCGTTTAAAAGGGCATCGACTTTCATGACCAGGTCCGTGGCCCTGAAATAGAAGAGAAATCTAGATGAGCCATTGCATAAAAATGTGAAACTAATATATGACAGACTCATTAAGTGAGATGAATCAAGTCTTTATTTGTTTTGTTGATAATTGACTCACAGCTGTAAAAATCCCAAATAAAACAATGCACCGTAGCCCTTATCAAAATGAAAACAATGACTTGACACGTGTCACTTTGCAAGTGATCCAAATTGGTTTCACATTTTAAGGGGACCATATGTAATATGCACTATTAGTGGTTTAATAAAGTTATTTCAAACAATATTTTATTTATTCTGGGCTCCTAAGGACATCCACATACAAACTCTGCATTACGAATTACTTCTTATATCTGTTTTAATTTAAACAAAAGTTATTTTTGTGTTTGTGAAGATTGTTATGAAAAATGTAAAAAGATAGGAGCCTAAACCAGTTAAATTTCACCTAGAAAACTGGCCAGTCTTCATAATGCGCTCTGATTGGATTATTTACTTGAAAACTGACAACATAAACATTATCGCCATAATGTTCATTGTATTTGTTAATAACCCCATTTCAATCAAATATGATGCGTACATGTAAACCGTTATCTCCGGACACCTCAAAGATGTAGATTTAATTTGAAATGAAAATATAACATGATGTCCCTTTAGGTTAAGTTAGTTTGACCTGTGGAAATACTAGAACATGAGAATTGAGCAACATACTGCTTTGGCTTGATCCCCATCTCCTGCACCCTGGTTGAGACTTTTTCTGCAGAACCACTCAGTGTAATCTTCTCCAACAAGTGAAAATCATCAACAGTGAAGTCTTCCTGCTCATTAATTGGACCCAGAATCTACAACAAAGACATGTGTCAGGACTGAAATGTGCAATGAAACTTGACAATGAACCTGGCAACAACATGTGTCAATACTATATATTTGAACAAAAAGTATGTTTAAGCTCACCCTGCCATTACTGATTACTGCCCGCTCACCAGGACTTAGCTTCAACACCTCTCGGCAGAAAAGTTGTTGGCTCTGAATAAAATCCACTTCCATTGTATTGAACTTCTTCTCAAAAGCATCATCGTCCATTCCCTGTGACAATTCAAACACAAAAATACACTATAGAGCATATGGAGCACAAGACGATATTCTACTTTTCATATTTATGTTGATCTACACACATTTTTTTAAAATTCCAAATCCAGAATGACACATTGCAGACAGATCTCTTATAAAAATGGCATTATTTACGAGCATATCAAAGCAGTCTCTTTACTTGGCTGCATTTTTCAAGCTGCCAACAAAACAAGCTGTTGAGTATGCACAGGCAAAATGAAATGAAATCAATTCGTAATTAATACAGGAAACTCTTAATTGGAGCATGTCCATTTTTGTCTATACCAAATTAGGTGTGGGAGATGGGGAGGTTTGGGTTGGGTTATTACTTTCACAAGCATTTCCCTTCTCCAGAGACCAGGTGAAATACCAATAATGTCAGCACAATCCAGTCAGCAAGTCTTGTCTGCTGGCAAATAATAAACCCATATCCCTAGACTGGGGTTCTCAGCTCCCACAGCCAGCTCAAAACCGTCTTCCCCTTTCTATTTCCAGCCCACTCTCTCTCCATTGTTTAAGCGCGGTAATTGAAGGGCAGTTTGTTATGGTTGCTCCCAGATGTCACCTGTAGTGTTATTCTGGTGGGAGAGATGGGAGCGACGGCGGGCCCCCTGTCAGCGGCTGATTTGTTGATTAGTGCCTCATAACACACTCCGCTCTGCTGCTGAGCTAGAGGAGGTGAGAAGAGGAAGGCTTGGAAGCTGTAGCATGCTCATGAAGGCTGAAGACGGACACGCTCCACTGAACACATGCCTCTCCTGCTGAGTTGAACAGCAGCAAGGAGTGCCTGGACTGTTCATCTGTGGCCAGGCACAAGGCACAAGCAGCTCTGAGCTAAAGACTCAGCAAGAAGAGGCGCGCTCGTGTCTGCTCGTGCGCCAACCGGAGTGGAACTGACAGGCAAGCGGGTCAGTCACTGTGCCATCTGTGTGTGCTTCCAGTGTGCTCAGTAAACCAGTGTTCAGCAGAGCCCAGAATCTAGAGGCTATCAACTCAAAAACTGCAGATATTACACAAGCGCAGCGACGTGCAAGTATAGATAAGCCTTTATTGTCAAATGAACCAACTCTGACTCTGAGGAGCACAGGAACTGACCTCCCGCTGGTGCCCAGAGTCAGGACTAAACATGGGTGAGTCAACATTTCAGATTTACGCAGCTAAAACCTGGAGTGTGTGAGGATTCTATCATGTCAAATCCAGGTTAAAAACAGTTCTGTTTAGCTGTGTAACAACTGCAGGATGGTATCTTCAATCCTTAAAATACATTGTGATTATTTATGGTTTCAATGCTTTGTGTAATTTTATTATTTACCTATGACAGGTTTGCTATTGTTGTAGGGTTTGAGGCCTCAGTATACATCAAGAGAGGGTTAGAGGCTCCAGTATACATTAAGTGGGTTTTATGCCCCAGATCAAAAAGAGGGTTAGAGGCTTCATTATACATCAAAAAGAGGGCTAGAGGCTTCAGTATACATTATAGGGTTTAGACGCCGTTGTACATGAAAAAGAACCTTCACAGTTTGCAGGTAAGTGTGTATGACCTGTGCTATGCAAATAAAATTGCCTTGCCTACTTTACATTTAATTGAATATAGCCATCACAGACAGCCAGGGATTCCCACAGTTTGGACACCCATTTTCAGTCTTCAGTAAAATGTATTTAAAGTGACACTACACAATAACTAACATGTTAAGCTAAAAGGAATGCCTCACCTTTAGCAGAAACTCCTTCACCTTACTTCCCTTCTGTGAGAGCTGATTGCTCTCCTCTTTCAGGAGTTTAAGCCCAAATTCCACTGCAGTCTTCTTCTTCTGTGTAAGCAGTGCCGCCCAGATCGCCCGATAGAGCACAGTGTTATCTTCTGTGAGTTTGCCTTTGGGGTTGTCAATCACACCGACTCGTACCCCGCGGCTGGATTTCTGGGAACGGGAAATGGATTTAGCTACATGCAATTATTCTTTGAATATTTCTACTTGTATCAATGAGTACATCACATTAAGCTAAACAATTTTAGTATACAGATTGTGTTAAGTATAGAGATCTAAGTTATTCTCTCTTCCAATTTGTTATACTGTAATTTGAAGAAAAGTTTCAAGTGTGTTTTGTTTTGTAAGAATAATCAAAACTCACCACATGTCTCAAAGCATTGATTAACAATTTTCTTCCTGAAACATTGTCAAAATCTCCTACTACCCACATGGTCACAGCAGTCACTTCACTTGAATCTGAAATGAAAGAACAGAAGCGCACTGAAAATACAGCTATAAATTGTGTTACAGGCATATCCCAAAGGTCACCATCAGGCTCACATAGAGGTTACCTGACTTGGGGCCTCAGCAGTGAAATCTGATTTAGATCAAGAGTCAAAAATTCAATTATCATATTAACTTGAGGTTAAAATGGGCTATCCTGCCATGTTATACATTATTTAAAATGTGTCCTCAAGAACTATAATAATGTAATGTAATCAAAATATTGAACAGAAAATGCATTAATTACTGCACACACAAAAATCTGAATCAGGCAAAGAATATTACTCCTTTGTAATAGTAATCCTTTGCTCAAAATACCTTCATTATGTAAAACCAGAGCTGAAATGAGCTTTAAACAAACCACTAAGAAAGCGATGGGTACATTGATTTAGTTTTTGCTTTAAGTTTCTACCAAATAAAATGTTGTGGACCCTGACCAATTTTTTTATTCATTCCCGCAAACCAAAATGAGTTTGACACCCATGATTTAGGTGAGTGGCCAAAAGACAAGCAGCAGAGCCAGCAATTACCTCGCCCTAGGCACACCTGTCTGCTATGACAAAGGTCAACTTTTACACTTTTAGGTGCCAGGGACCAAGAGCAGAATGGTATTTGCTTAATCGCAAATTGGTTGGGGATGCGGATCTCAAAAGGAAAGCTTATCTTCATCTAAATGGTATAACAAATAATGCTGGTTGGCACAACATGATCTTACATTTTCCTTCATCAGTGAAATATAATCAAACCCCTTTTGTCACTAGAATAATTTGTAGTGTATTTTATTTCATGCATGTACTCACCACTAGTGGAAAAATATTTCATTCTTTTGGCTATCACAGCTGTTTTGTCTCTGGAGTCCAGATATGAAAACATAGTTGTGTCCTCCCAGTCGTGCACAACTGCAGAGCAGAGCAGAGGAATGTCACCAATGTCACAACATCTGAGTGAATCAATACGAGTTCAGGGGCGTTACTTGGACTGGCGGTGAAGTCCAGGTACTTCCGGTCATTGCTTAAAATAATAGAGTTCATCCTGGGGACGACATTGGCCTGTTCCATCAGATAGTCGATCACATCAGTGCCTTCTGACAACTGACCCTTGGAAAAGAGAAAACAAATAGCATTGGAAACAGCCATCACAAGTGTCTAAAAGGTGGTTTTGCTTTGGTACCATGAAGACAGCTCTCTGGAAGATGCTAGTAGTGTCCATAATGCGCTGCAACAGGATAGTCTCCAGTTCATCTGGATCCATCTCATCTGAGCTGAGGGGAACTCCGTTAAATAAAGCCAGAGGAAGAGCACCGAGGCCACTCTTCTTATAGAACAAAGCTCCATCCTAAACATAGAATACGCACATCACAAGGTTGCAGAATTTCTTCTTTTAAAAATTCTTCTGTAAAAATTGACCTGAAGCAAAATGTTGTACGTAATATAGTATTCATTTTGTGTGACATATCTCTGTCCAGACATTGGTCATATTTTTGAATTTGAATAATACTATTCATTTATATAAAATTATATTATATTAATTGGATGAATTTAGTATAACAGTAATTTATGAATCAGATTTTATACAGTTACAGGTGTTATAGAGAAGCACTTGTAGTCACAGATTTGATAAGGGACTTAAAGGAGAAATATAATACATTATTGTTGACAAATAAAATGATAATAATAATATTTACTTTGCCATTTCATGTTTTTGAATGTGAAATGATATCTTCAGTAGTAAACATATGGTGAAACAAGTCTCAAGGGTAAATAATGCGATCGGCATGCCCTACCTCATATGCTACTGTCAGGAATGAACCAGACAGAGACGGATCGTGGTGCGCCAAACTCTGGAAGTTTATTTTGGTTTCTCTCAAGTTCCAGTGGTTTCTGATGTTTCTTTCTCTCAGATCAAAATGGAGTCCGTACAGTTATATAGTCATTGTTACGTAACGTCACACATCGAAAGACATACGTGTCAAATTCAGAGACAGTCACGAGTATATCATAGTCAAAACATGGATGCATCAGAGTCCTTGTAGAGTCTTGCAGTTGTCCTGCACGTAGGCCAAATAGCTATCTAATCCTCACACTACCACCAGAGGAATTTGTTTTTGTTTTTTTCCAAGTTTGAGAATGGCTGCCACAAGGAATGTAATTTATCTGGGGAAGTGATGTCAAAGTGGTAAAATTACACACCTTTCAGACAGAAGTGGAAGAGTTACAGGTTTGTATCACAAGTTCCTGATATTAGTTTGGATGGATCTAAAAACAACTCGAGGTCTGTATTTGATGAGGGAACAATGTTGTAACATGGCTCAGAGGTGATTTTTAACTCCATTAACCTGCTCAATGTCTCAATGGAGAAAACAATTTCATGTCCATGAAGTGTCATTTTTACACACTCTTCATTTCCTCATTCTGTAGAAAGTCCACCTGCTAAGTAAGTAAGTAAGTAAGTAATCTTTATTTATAAGTGCTTTACAATTGTTGTGGGCCTTTGTCTCTCACTCCACACAGTGGTGGGAGCGGGGTCGCCAGTACACAGAACTATTGTACATATTTTCAATGGTAGGGAAAACCGGAGCACCCGGAAGAAACCTACGCAGACACGGAACATGCAAATTCCACACAGAAAGGACCTGTCTGGGAGGTGGAATCGAACCCAGGACCTTCTTGCTAACCCATCCATGCAGTGTTATCCACTTCAATGGTCAATGATCAAATGTCATATCTCGTCCTCTTTGCGGTTTTTAAATTGCACATACATTCATGTGTTCTTACCTTTCTCCTTTCATCATACTCTGACTGATCCCCCAGTATCCTTTCTGCATTGGCTTTGGGGAATTTTCTCTGGAGGAAAGCAGAAACGGTATCCACAGAGAGCTGCTCTCCTGCATTGACTTTGTTGCACAGCTGTAGGGAAGAAGACAGAACAAATTCGGGCTGTCACTGTCTTCCAATGCGGTGCCACTATCAATAATTTCAACGAGTTTGAAGGGAAGAGATGTAAAATCCTGCTGACTGTTCTGGCGTAATAATATCTCAATCCACAGCGTAATACAAGACATAATAAACAAAGGCTTTATGCATAGGCATATGGGACTTCAAACTTATTTTGTCAAGACTGTGTTTGCTTTAAAAAAACAGATTTATGAACGTAATATACTTACTGAGACGATAGACAATAGAGCCTGGGACAAATCGTATTCTTCTGCAATGTAATTTAGCAGTCTGTAAAATCCCACCCCAGCGTCTGAGAAACCATCAATCTCATCTTTGGTGTTGACAACAAACACAAATCCAATCCTACACAAGCCAAAAAAAACAAGTTTTCAATTTGCAGGTGATGGAAGAATTACGGCAGGGCAAAGATTATAAATACTCGCGCTGAGACACACAGACAGGTGTAAAAGGTGGAAGAGTTACCAGCACTAACCTCAGGGGGATTTTGTGCTTGTAAAAAAGCTCTGCCAGTTTCATTAGCTCCACACTCTCCTCCTGCGCCGGATCAAGGAACAAGACCTGACAAAACACGATAAATAACTTGAATTATTCCTGAATGATAGAAATTATACTTTGCATGACGTGATGCAGTTGTAAAATTGGTTCTGTAGTAAAAAACTCAATGATAAGACGAGCAGGAGTTTTGAAGAATTATTATTAAGATGAAACATAGAACATTTATCTAGTATTAAATTTGTCTGTTAAGGTACTTTTTCAGGATGTCCTTAACTCTAGTCTCAAATCAAATAAAAATAAATTGTGAACCAATTAGATCCAAGCGTGTTGTCTAAGTTCTTTTACAGTTTATCTTTTGTACATTTGTTGTGCCTTATGATCAGGCTGGTATTCTATTCAGAAGTGTCTTTGGACACTACCCCCCAACTTGGACTGGACTCAACTGTTTTGAGAGCCAGGACGAGTTATATGTAGTTTCTGGATAACTGGAACCCCAAATTTTATTATTTGCCATCTACTTAATAATAATACATTGTACTTAGTGCTTTTTTGACACCAAAAGACGCTTTGAAAAAGGACAGGTTAAAAGAAACAAAAGTTTTAAAAGTGTAGGCTGTTTTGAGCAGATGGGTTTGGAAAAGTGATTTGAAGTTCTGAGGTGAGTTCCTGATGGTTTGTGGGAGTTACTTCACTAGAAATATCTTGTATTGTGCATTGAACAATTTTTAAAATATATCAATGAGAATTTATGACTTCTGATGATTCTAAGGAATAGCTTTCACAAGAAAAAGTGTGAATGACTCTTTGTATGACATGGTTTTCATTTACATATTTCATCGACTTCTTACCAGGTTGAATAAATTACGTCTTATCTGTCGTATGACTCCAGGAAAGGTCGCTCTGAGGAGTTCTTGCACACCTGATGGCCAACTGCGGTACATTGGGTCATTCTCAATGTCATTAAACCACTGGAAAATAGAAAGACAAGAAGACGATTCTTCTATATTTAGAATAAACATAATATCCTGCACCTTAAGAGTGCAAACGTGACATTTCTGCCAAATGTAATACTTAAAATGTCCCAATTTATAAGATGTGTCCTGATTTTATAAAGTCCTTGCTTGAAGAGGTCATTGTTGCAGCAATAGCAAAAACTCTGTACTTGAATTTACAATGCAAATGGTCCCAGAGGGGCCTTTCAGAGGCACAGGTTTGAAATTATATAGTATTAAAGATGTGATGAATCAAAAACTTTTCTGAGCCAACTTTATTTTAAGTTATTCGACTTTCTGAGATCCTCAGGGCAACAGAGATGTCCATATCCCTCATCTAATCTCCACTTCAAGAATAACGACATGACTTACCATTATAGCCGGATCTCTGATGTCCAGGGCATAAGTATCGTCCACAGCGCTCACAGGTAATTTTAACAGTTTGGCTTGATGCTCCCCTTTCATTCCCAGATTATGAAGCCCCTCTAAAACTTTAGCCTCTCCTCTGAGGATTTCCAAAATGCTGTAAACAGATGACGCAAAATGTAGGTTTTAATCCACAGATAATGTTACAAGAAGCAGTCATGGCAGATAGCCCCTGGCCTTTACTATCAGCAAACCCCCACCTGAATGGGTTGTGAACGTCCAGATCGATGTGAAGCCCATTGATAAAGAGCTCTCCATCTCCAGGGTGCACACCGACTGTCTCGCTCAGATGCTTCAAGAACAAGCAGAGGGAGCCAGTTGAAGTGCTAAATGAGTAATTCAGCATTTACTGGCTGCTGTTTCGATAAGAAAGAGCAGCACTACAGGACTCATAAGCAGGAAAGCAGAGATGCAAGCTAAATTAACAATAAAACGTACGGCAATGCGGTTGAAAAATAATATCCTTTAGATAATAGATAACAGCCAGGTTGCTGATATTGCACTAGGGCAATAATAAAACAATGGTGGACTTCTAAGATGCTGCTTATGATATCCGACCTTTTGGTTCTCCTCGATTTCTTTTCTCATTTCCTGCTTTACTGCCACTCTTGTCAGTGATCTGTGGAAACAGTAAAACACGTATACAGTTACAGTCAGCTTTTAGCACATCCCCAGCCGCTAGTAAAATGCCAGTTTTAATCTCCAAAAAAGTGCAGGCTCTCAAGATGGCCGCAGTCAATTCCCCCGTAAACACCAAATTCTTACTCAGCACTTTTTTGGCATTTTTATATGCTCTCTGCGCAAAAAAGCAAACATCAAAAAGATGGATGACTTCTGTGCATATATAAGTGTGTTCATTGTGGAGCCCATAAGTGCCTTTGGATTGATTAATCATATCCAAACAAATGCAAAAGACTCTTCACGAGACTGTAATACAATACTCATAGGTGCAATTTGAATAACGCCAGCGGAGGCTGTGTATAATGCAGAAAATAAACTTGCTTTAAATAATTATGGGTTCAGACGCATGGATTTGCATTCTTTTACCTCGCTTTACTTGGAAAGTTTTGACTCAGGTCTTGCATTATCTTGAGAGTATCAAACTTAGCGCCAGACAGAATTTTTGCAGCAGCTTGAAAACTTAGATCTGTATGGAAGAAACAAAAACATAGTGCTTATTAATACTAGTATCACTAGTTATGTTAGTTAAGAAACATAGCTACTACTTATTTGTATATAGTGTATATATTGTGTGTGATCCCTGTGTGCTCTTACTACTGTCCTATATGTGCGCTGCAACATCGAAATTTCCCCACTGTGGGACGAATAAAGGAATTCTTATCTTATCTTATAATTTACTTATTATCACTATTTGGTTTTACATGATGTACTGTATATAGTCGTGTATAAAACACCCACAGTAATTTACAATTCCAGATCAAAAAGGTCAAACGTTACCTTGAAGCTCCCACACTTTGAGTGGGGCCAGGTCATTCATGCTCTCAAGGAGATATTTGCGCAGTTCACCAAGTTCTTCTTTCAATTCCGGGTGAGCTTTCCTTAGAAAAAAAAAAAATGACATCTTCAGTCAACTATTCAGCTCCAAAACATTTGATTCACAATGTTTCTCACTGGATATCTTACTTTAAAGTCCCAAACAGAAAACCTTGAACTTCATCGTTTCCATCCTCCTCACCAGCCAGAGGCGTCCTTGAATCTAATCAAAATGTGTATAGAGTTGCTATAATTGCATATGCATTTGAAAAGATAATGTCAAAGTTTAGTGCATCACCTGTAACTTGAGTGTCATCCACAGCTTTGTATTCAGTGCTTTTGATGGCCAGCTCCACACCGTAACCAGACAGATGCATGCTTTTAGGCTTTGGATTCTGGAACAGCCGCAAAAACACACTTTTATATCAAACAAAATACTGTTTTCAACCATTTAAACCCACAAATAATATTCAAACAATGTCTCTGTCAAGAGACAATAAAGACTAATCTAAATATGCATACACTGTGGCTGAAGCACAGAGCGCCACCAGGTGGTTTGCAGGACTTTAACTGGTGGTTGTTTTACAATCATTATTTTCATATTGTGAGACGATATATTGGAACGTATAATCCTGTGATATATAATCCTGCGATATATAATACTGGGGATTCTCTTATAGATTCAAAATAAAACAATAAATAAGTCTAAAAAAACTCTAACAATCATTGTCATTAGTTGTTGTATTAATAAACACTATCATTTAAGAGGTTATCTTGAGGGTCCCTGTATGAGACGGTTGGAAAGCCGTGGGCGAGAGCAAAGCAATAAAGCACTGACATGTTGTCACTTGTTGCTTGTTTTATGTTTTTGTTTTATCTACAATAAGATCAGATCAGATTGACAGAACAGGAGGAACAAAAATCAAAAGCGGATTAATACAATAAACAGCTGTAATTACCAGAGAAAAAGATGAATACAACACATTTACACTATTAAATTATAAAACTATAATTGCACTTCAGTAAGTAAGTAGAGTATGCAGTTCTGAGTAGGGGATTCCAGAGAAGTATATAGAGTGATGAAGTGTTGATGGTTTAGATTTTAGATCCTGTTTTATTTTTTTATTTATTTCTCCTGTGCCCTCCCTGCTTGTTGTTCTTGTTGAGGAATGACTATCACCTGTGTGTCGATAGTTCTGTGTATTTTAACCCTGGGTAATCCTTCACCCAATGTTCCAACATTGTCATTGCCACATGTCTTGGTGGTAGTTTTCTATTTTTACTCTGGATTTTGCTTAATCTTTATTGAAGGGACAGTGGAAAGGAGACATTAAGCTCAGGTTTATTTCCTTTGGAAAGGTGACATTAACAAAGCGGACGTTGGAAAAGCGAATGGTCGGTGGACAATGGAATACCTTATTGAACATTCTTACCATTACACATAAATACTTCACTTAGAGCGCTGACCAAGCCCCAGCTATCCAAGATGCCGTCCTATTCAAATGAATTTTGCTCAGTAGCGCATGGGACATGCATGAGGACCGAAAGATTAGTTGAACCCACTCATATTTGGGCATCGTCTGGTCCTCACCGGCTCTGCGCAGTGGACTAGCTCCCATGATGCTTTGCGCTAAATACGCATGTGGCTCTCATGCACGTGTAGAGGGAGGCTCGGCTGCGCTTTGACCAATCAGAGCTACTGATCAGAGCGGAGCGGAAAGAAAACAACCAGTATGTTGCACTAAAGTGTGGATTTAAAGAAAACTGAAGGATTTAAAAAGAAAAAAGTTCAGAAAGACAAGGGACACTAAAATCCCCACAAAATTCAATCTTTATGAAAGCTGTTGGTTCTCTGTGAGCTGAGGTCGAGCTGTTTTAGTTTACATTGAGTTCTATGGGGTATTTATCTATGGGACCTCCCCCCTGGACTGCCACCTTAACGTGGTGGGGGAGTTTGAGTACTCGGATGATCCTGGGAGCTATGCTGTCTGGGGCTTCATGCCCCTGGTAGGGCCTCCCATGGCAGACAGGTCTCAGGTGACGAGTCAGACGAAGAGCGGTCCAAAAACCACCATGGACAGCACGATAAATACACCAGTGACGTCGCCCGGCATGGCGCAGCCGGGGCCCCACCCTAGAGCCAGGCCTGGGGTCGGGGCTCGTATGAGAGAGCCTGGTGGCCGGGCCTTAGCCCACGGGGCCCGGCCGGGCTCAGCCCGAAGGGACGACGTGGGCAGTCCCTCCTGTGGGCCCACCACCTGCAGAGGGGTCCGTGGTGGCGCGGTGCTGAGAGGACGGCGGCAGTCGAAGGCGGAGACCTCGGCGACCCAGTCCGCAAACACAACATCTGGCTCTTGGGACGTGGAACGTCACCTCACTGGGGGGGCGGAAGGAACCCGAGCTCGTGGGGGAGGTTGAGCGATACCGACTAGAGATAGTCGGCCTCACCTCCACACACAGCTTGGGTTCTGGAACCCAACTCCTTGAGAGGGGTTGGACACTCCACTTTTCTGGTGTTTCCCGCGGGGAGAGGCGGCGAGCTGGGGTGGCCATTCTCATTGCCCCCCATCTCAGCCGCCACGTGTTGGAGTTCTCCCCGGGGAATGAGAGGGTCGCGTCCCTCCGCCTCCGGGTGGGGGACAAGTCTCTCATTGTTGTGACGGCCTACGGGCCTAACAGCAGTGCAGAGTACTCGGCCTTCTTGGAGTCCTTGGGAGGGGTACTGGACGGTGCACCACTCACCGACTCAGTTATTCTCCTGGGGGACTTCAACGCCCATGTGGGAAGCGCCAGTGACACTTGGAGAGGGGTGATCGGGAAGAACGGCCCCCCTGATCTGAACCCGAGCGATGTTCAGTTGTTGGACTTCTGTGCCAGTCACGGTTTGTCCATCACGAACACCATGTTCAAGCACAAGGGTGTCCACCAGTGCACGTGGCACCAGGACACCCTAGGCCGGAGGTCGATGATCGACTTTGTTGTCGTATCAGCTGAGCTTCGATAGCGTGTCTCGGACACTCGGGTAAAGAGAGGGGCGGAGCTGTCAACCGATCATCACCTGGTCGTGAGTTGGATCCGCTGGCAGGGGAAGAAGCCGGTCAGACCTGGCAGACCCAAGCGTATAGTGAGGGTCTGCTGGGAACGTCTCGCTGAGCCCCCTGTCAGACGGACTTTCAACTCTCTCCTCCGGGAGAGCTTCTCCCAGTTCCCGGCGGAGGAGGGGGACATGGAGTCCGAGTGGACCATGTTCTCTGCCTCAATCGCCGATGCGGCGGCTCGTAGCTGTGGTCGCAAGGTCTCTGGTGCTGGTCCCGGCGGCAACCCCCGAACCCGGTGGTGGACACTGGGAGTAAGGGATGCTGTCAGGCTGAAGAAGGAGTCCTATCGAGCCATGATGGTTCGGGGAACTCCTGAGGCAGCTGTCCAGTACCGGCAGGCCAAGCATGCCGCGGCCCGGACTGTTGCAGAGGCAAAAACCCGGGACTAGGAGGAGTTCGGAGAGTCCATGGAGCATGACTATCGGTCGGCCTCGAAGAGATTCTGGCAAACCATCCGGCGCCTCAGGAGGGGGAAGCAGTTCTTTGCCAACACCATGTACGGTGCGGGTGGAGAGCTGCTGACCTCGACTGGGGATATAGTCGGGCGGTGGAAAGAATACTTTGAGGTTCTCCTCAATCCCCCCGTCACGTCCTCCGTTACAGAGGCAGAGGCTGAGGATGTTGGGGCAGATACATCCATCTCCCTGGCTGAGGTAACCAAGGTGGTTGGCAGCCTCCATGGTGGCAAGGGTGTGGATGAGATCAGTCTTGATTATCTAAAGTCTCTGGATGTTGTAGGACTGTCTTGGCTGACACGTCTCTGCAACATCGCGTGGCGATCGGGGGCGTTGCCAATGGAGTGGCAGACCGGCGTCGTGGTCCCTCTCTACAAGAAGGGGGTCCCCCTTCTTGTAGAGAGGGACCACCACCCCACAGGGTGTGTTCCAATTATTGTGGGATCAGCCATCAATAGAGATAACAGGTGGAGGACAGAGGAGCCTCTTAAAGAAGGAGTTACAGGTCTGTGTGGGAGAACTTTCACAATTTGTGGCTGACTGAATGTTGCCCCACTGTACGTGCATGTGCTCACAGAACAAGTCAGATAAGTCATACTCGTACATCTGTCCAGCAGCCTTCACTAATATTAGGTATGACAGTCCGTTGAAGTCATAATTGATTTGTTTATTTTAAATTGGGCCGCGAGTTCAGAATAATTGAGAACAAGAAACATAAACATGCCCAACTTTTAGCTTTGAAACTGGTAAAATACTTTGTTAAAACTGCAGCAGAACTACAGTGGCCAGCCATTCTGTGACATGATGAATTGTACTTCGGTAACTCCAGGTTTCACTGATGCCAGCTGCTCAATTAATAAGTCTGGGACTGCAACTGTGGTGGGGTCCCCAAAATACAGCAGAGTGCAGTGGAACGCTAACCTGAAAACTGTTTCTAGTTTGGTGTTCAACTTTATATTTTCTTTTCAATTGGTAGTTGAACAAAATTGTTTGCTTGCAACATCAAGAGCACAAGGACCATGCAACACATTGCAGTCGATTTACTGACATTTAACCTTGACACTTTTGGTCACCCAGATTCAAAGAAACGCCTGTTTTTCACTCCCACTCTGCTTCTCTGTGCACGCATTGCTGAGAAAATAAAAACCTTGAAAACGCATCTTTATCTCAGCTTTTACTTTTCCACAAACATTTCAGGAGAACTGCCTTACAGAAATGACTTATTGAAAAAAGGACTGAAGGGGCAGTATTCTAAGAGAGTAAAAGATTTTTAACATAGCACTTACATGTTAGAGGAAAACAAACCACTTACTTCCACATAATGACGAAGCACATACAAAAGGGATCCTTCCTCCGCCTTCTCAGTCAACACCTTGTGGAAGGATGTGAATTTCTTGGTCCCAATTTCAGCATACAAAATCACAATAGGCACTTCTGTTTTATTTCCACCAGCGTATATGTGATCATCATTGTATAAATATGGTTTTGGCCTGTAAACGATAAATACTTTCGTTAAAAACAATAAAAAATTAACGCGCAAGCGGCGTCGAACGGCCCTCGCCGCACCGCGCGACTCCCCGCACCGCGCGCACCACCCGCACCGCGCGCACCACCCGCACCGCGCACCACCCGCACCGCGCACCACCCGCACCGCGCACCACCCGCACCGCGCACACCACCCCGTGCCAAGCCACCCCGCCCTGCACCACGCTGTCCCGCATCATGCCGCCCCAAGCCAAGCCGCAAGGCCCCACTCCACAACGCCCCGCACCACACCGTACCACGCAGCACCGCGCATAGGAGGTGGCGGCGCCGTGTGATGATTTGTTCCCGTAGCCATAGAAGAAGTTAGTCAAATCGTAATGAATATGATAAGTAGAGCTGGTTTGGCTCCCCATGTAAACTTTGACTAAGTCTTTAGGGGGCGCTAATGGGCCAATTTCAAATATTTCACTTTCACCTGACCTAAACCCTGGAGTTGAACAATGGATTCAAGTTTAAAGCAAATCAGTCTTTGTTTGTGCAAACGGGAAAAAAATGTATGTTGTCAAACACGGCCAAAAAAACCCTCATATTTTGCCGCTCCGCTGCTCAAACAACGTTTCACTGATCAAAATTCCCTGAAGTCAATTTGAAGGTAAATGTGTTGAGATGATTTGAAACAATTTTGAGGCCAATCGGTGAAACGGCCGAGGAAGAGTTGCTTTCCAACCGACATGTATGAAAATGATTATTTTTAATTTTTCCATTTTGCAGTGAAATTTATGGGCTTCCTGTTTGTCAGAGGGCTTAGCCATAATAAAATTTTCAATGTCTTGACTTGAGGAACGTGTGTTCCAAATTACATGGTTCTATGACAATTTTGACCTTGAACCCCTCCAATAGGCCTTTTTAAATCGGCTGTTGTAGGTGGCGCTATAGAGCCAATTTCAAAATTTTAACTTTCAAATGACCTACACCCAAGATTTGAACCATGGATTCAAGTTTTGTGCAAATCAGACTTTGTTTGTGCAAACGGAAGCAATTTTTCTATTGTCAAAAACTGTAAAAAAATATGCCACTTTTTGGCGCTCCGCTGCTCAAACAATGTTTCACTGATCAAAATTCCCTGAAGTAATTTTGATGGTACATGTATTGAGATGATGTGGAGCGTTTTTGAGGCGAATCGGTGAAACGGCCGAGGCTGGTTTGATGTTTGTGTGAGGTGTACATTTGCAATGAATGGGGAGCGTTTGTCGTCGCCACGGCAACAGGGTAAAAAATAAGCCTTGGACCCTGTTGACTTTTTGAATCAAGAGGGCAAAACAGATGTATGTGCAAGATTTCAAACATTTTGAAAAAACTAAATTTGAAAATGCCCATCTAAAACTTTGAAATAGTCTGTAGGGGGCGTTAATGTGTCAATTTGAATCATTTAACTTTCAAATGACCTAGACCCTAGAGTTGAACAATGTATTAAAGTTTTGTGCAGATCAGACTTTGTTTGTGCAAACGGGAGCAAATTTAATGTTGTCAAAAACGGCCAATAAAAGGTCACATTTTGCCATTCACTGATGAAAAATCCCTGAGGCCATTTTGAAGGTACATGTGTTGAGATGATGTGGAGCGATTTTGAGGCGAATCGGTGAAACGGCCGAGGAGGAGTCGCTTTCCAACCGACATGTATGAAAACTTTTGCTGTTCATTTTTCCATTTTGCAGTGAAATTTATGGGCTTCCTGTTTGTCAGAGGGCGGGGCCATAATAATATTATTTTCTTGTCTTGCCTTGAGGAACATGTGTACCAAATTTCACGGCTCTACAACAAACTTTATCTCCAAAACTCCCATAGGGGTATTATTTTGGCTGTTGTAGGTGGCGCTGTTCTGGCATTTTTTGAGTCCCATAAAAATAAACACCCAAATATCAAATTTTTCACCAGGTCTGATGTTTGGGCAAAATTTTACAACTTTTCATGCATGTTCAGGGGGTGAAATTAAGGCTCAAAGTGCAGAATTTGACATCTCTCGAGCAAAAACAATAGGGGGCTCGGGCCTAATAATACCCCCATGGGATTTTTTGGAGGTCAAGTTGTTCGTAGAGCCATGAAATTCGGTACACATGTTCCTCAAGTCAAGACATGAAAAAAATGTTATTATGGCCCCGCCCTCTGACATACAGGAAGCCCATAAATTTCACTGCAATATGGAAAAATGAACAGCAATCATTTTCATACATGTCGGTTGGAAAGCGACTCGTCCTCGGCCGTTTCACCGATTCGCCTCAAAATCGCTCCAGATCATCTCAACACATGTACCTTGAAAATGACTTCGGCGATTTTTCATCAGTGAAACGTTGTTCGAACAGGGGAGCTGCAAAATGTGACCTTTTTTTGGCCGTGTTGGACAATATTAAATTTGCTCCCGTTTGCACAAACAAAGTCTGATTTGCACAAAACTTTAATACATTGTTTAACTCTAGGGTCTAGGTCAATTGAAAGTGAAATAAAAGAACTTGGCTCATTAGTGCCCCTACAGATGGAGTCAAAGTTTTCAGAGTTTTTCATACTAAAAACTCTGAAATAGTCTGTAGGGGGCGATAATGAGCCAAGTTCAATTATTTCACTTTCAAATGACCTTGACCCTAGAGTTGAACCATGGATTCAAGTTTTGTGCAAATCGGAATTTGTATGTGTAAACGGGAGCAAATAGAAGGTTGTGAAAAACGGCCAATAAACACTCACATTTTGCCGCTCTGCTGCTCAAACAACGTTTCACTGATCAAAAATCCCTGAGGTCATTTTGATGGTACATGTGTTTAGACAATGTGGAGTGATATGGAGGCCAATCGGTGAAACGGCCGAGGAGGAGTCGCTTTCCAACCGACATGTATGAAAATGATTGCGGATCATTTTTCCATTTTGCAGTGAAATTTATGGGCTTCCTGTTTGTCAGAGGGCGGAGCCATGATAACATTTCGGTCGTATCTTGACTTGAGGAACATGTGTACCGAATTTCATGGCTCTACGACAAACTTGACCTCTGAAACTCCCATTGGCTGTTGTAGGTGGCGCTGTTCTGGCATTTTTTGAGTCCCATAAAAATAAACACCCAAATATCAAATTTTTCACCAGGTCTGATGTTTGGGCAAAATTTACAACTTTTCATGCATGTTCAGGGGGTGAAATTAAGGCTCAAAGTGCAGAATTTGACATCTCTCGAGCAAAAACAATAGACCCTTTCCCCGTTCGGGGCTCGGGCCTAAATATCATACTTTGCCATCAGTGTGCTATCTATCTCTACAGATTGATTTTATGCGTAGTATTGTTACGGGTGGAAAAAAAGCCCTGTCCCAACTCAAGAGCGATTATCTCTCATCTCCTATCCAGTGGCACTAAGCTATGCTTCTCGTCCAGGAAGAAGAAAAGATTTTGCCTATAGTTAAAATTCCCTTTGTTACCTGCTTGCTGCTGCCTTCACCAGCTTCTTGACATCCTTGGGGCTACAGGTGTGTTGTCCGTGGATAGAGACAAAAGCTGCACAGTCGTCAGGAGGAGGTTCATCACGTGCAATCTGTGAGGATAACATTTTTCATCCATAATTTATTTGCTATTGGCAGTAAAACCATTGTGCAAGACAGCTCGTGCCATATTTTACTGCACAATTGTGTTGAAATCCCAGGTGCACTTAATTATAAGACCACCTTATAGCTTTTAGTCAAATGTAGGTTTTTAGAGTTTAGATTTTAATTGAACGCATTAATGAATGTGTCTTTATTTTTTTTTTGCAAACATGATAGATTACGATGTTATCTTGTTGAATAAGTCTGGACAATCATCACTGACTGAATGAATGGACCCTGATGTTCTAAATTACATCGTCAATACTTATTTTTAAATCTTTCTAATCAAGTTTAATAATCAAGACCAGGATTTCTCATGTGGATCAATTGGTCATAATTATCAGTCTACATCTGAATTGAGAAAAAGTGCCTTTGAGAGAAAATGAGATATTGATGCGAGATGTAGCACACAGTTGCATGCAATAATTAGCTGACATAACATAGTTTCAAACTCAGAACTACACTTGCACTTGACAAAAATCAGTGCTTTTGTTTTTTCTCCCATTTATCATGGGTTCAACCTAAAAATATAACCCTCTGTATAATCGACCCATCCCTATCAGAGACATTGTTCACATTTGCATTTCAGAGAGTTCTTTGCTGAGACAGTTGAAGAAGATGACATAGTCTGGGATCGCGTCTTTAATTCAGACAGAAGACATGTTTTATTGTCGATGGTAGAGACAGCACGATCAAAGCACACGATCACAGATACAAGAGAATGCAAGTGTATTATACAGAGCGGAGGCATGGAGACCTCCAATCAGCAGCTGCCACGGTGTGCTTGTAGCTTGGCCTTCAGATAGACACAACAAGGGAAAAGTACTGGCTTCTGCACATTGATAGAATGATGAGTTTAACTTTAACAAAAGTTGCTTAAAAGTGTTATGAAATCTCACATTCCCCCCTCTGGTCATACATTCACGTGTGACCATCAGGATCAATAAACAGCAACATAACATCATAACTCAATACTTCAAAAACTCATAAACTCGGTACTTCACTCGGTACCTCAAAAAACTCAGAACTCGGAATACTTCAAAAACTCAGAAAACTCATAAAACATTTTCAGATCTTTCATAAAACTTGTCAACAATCTTCAGTAAAATACCAAACTTCATCAGTCGATGGTTCCAGATATTGCTTTGAAAACAGTCTCTCCCACTTCTCCGTGTTGGTTTCTTCAGGCTGCATTTGTGTCGAGCCATGAATTCTTCTGTGACGTGTCTTTCAATCACACGTTTCAGCTTCAGTGTCCAGATTCAGAAATCAAATTCAGTCCAAATTATGTCCAAATTCAGAAATCCAATTGTTCCAAATCATGTCCAAATTGTGTAATCCAATTTTTCCAACTGGTGTCCATGCAAAAGAGGACGCTGGTGTTGTCCATGTCTCAGCAGCTCACAGCAGGTCTGAGTGGAATCAGGGGCTGTGCAGATTGTCCATGTGCTGATCCAGATGCATGGTTTCTCTTGAGGTTTTTCAGTTTCGGCTTGAAAAAAAAACACTTTTTGTGTAAAAAAAAAAAGTAGTCTTCTGTTCTGTAGATGTTACAGACAATGCCCGCATTCTCCACCACCTGAAGAAGATGACATAGTCTGGGATCGCGTCTTTAATTCAGACAGAAGACATGTTTTATTGTCGATGGTAGAGACAGCACGATCAAAGCACACGATCACAGATACAAGAGAATGCAAGTGTATTATACAGAGCGGAGGCATGGAGACCTCCAATCAGCAGCTGCCACGGTGTGCTTGTAGCTTGGCCTTCAGATAGACACAACAAGGGAAAAGTACTGGCTTCTGCACATTGATAGAATGATGAGTTTAACTTTAACAAAAGTTGCTTAAAAGTGTTATGAAATCTCACACAGTCCATCCCACATTAGAGGTTTGGTGTGACATCAAGATGCTTACGAGACTGCAGGAATACAGGTGTGCCTGAGTCGGTGGACTGGATATGACAGCGTGTTCCAGTTAAGCCTCTGAAGAGGAGTGAACCAACATTCCACAGGGCACAATCAACAACCTGATGAGCTCTGTGAAGGAGTGAGGCAAACAAAGCAAAAACTGAACATGTTAAGAGTGGCCTTTTATTGTGACCAAACAATATGCCAAACCTCTGAGAAGGGATGGATTGTCTCAGCAAATAAGTGCTCAGTGAAACGCATTTTGACAGATTTTTTTGTACAATATCGGATAGAGTTTCATATTGTTAGGTTGACCCTAGGAAGAATGGGAGCAAAAACTCCAATTCTACTGCACTTCTATCGTTTTTCAGTTTCAGTGTTTGCTTTCCCTTTTTAAAGAAGTAACGTCCTTTTAACAAGGAATGGCTCCTGCATTATTACCTCGTTATGTTTGCCCAGTGAGCACATACCTGCTGGGAAGCATGGACTGCTGGGGAGTAGGTTCGTAATGACAGAGCAAATTTGAGAAGATTAACTTGGAGGTCCGTGAGGAACTGGCCAGCTTTCTTAATAATAAGATTGAAGTAGGAGCGGACAGACTCTGCAATTAACAAAGTAAAGGTGGTTCATTTACTAAAATGATTTTTTTTTAAATTTATTTTTACAATACAATTGGGAAATAAAGCACACTGACAAATCCAACAAAAATCAAATTGAACAACAGTTATTAAGGACAAAGATGCAAAACCACTAAAACAGCAAGAAGAATAGAACCCAGTTAAATCTTACCTCCTTGCTTGTAAACAGTCAGTTCTTTTACAGTGTCAACAAACTGCCAGAATTTCTCATTCCCATCTTCACCAACAAATTCACTAGATAAAAAGCATGTGAGTGAATAAACACAGAATAAATAAGAATAAGTATAAGGTTCAGCTGATAAATACACAGTCAAATAAGCTACTAAAACAACATAAATGCAGCTAGCTGTATCTAAACAAGTTGAAATCTAGTAATATAGTCACAATAATAATGTATCGTTCCCATAAGATTTGTGCATATCGATACATTAAGGCTGGTAAATGGCTTTATTTAATTCATTGATATTGTTTTGCTCTAGAATTGTCTTGTAGACCAGCTCATGACTGAAATAAACCAGGACGCGTGCACATTGCCTGCTTTAAACTGTAAAGACCCCTTTACCATGTCTCCAAAAGAAAGGGGGTCATGCTCCACTTGGCTTTCAGACTGGCACTGACGCCTTTAGATGAGGTGACAGGTTGTGAGTTCAGCAGAAGCAGCAGCACCAGTGACAACATAACAAGCTTTCTCATTGTGACGGCCACAGAGTAATCTGAAACTACACAAGCACAAAGTCAGCTGCAGGGTCAGATCATTGTGTCTTGATATGAGACACTGCCACGTAAGCCCACTCTTAATTACAGCCTCTATCATCACTAGTACAGCCCAATAACAAGTTCAAGTGACTAGCAAATGGGTCATTATTCCATCATAAAATCCACAATGAAAAATAACACACCCTCTAGGTCGCGTTGAAAGGGCTAATGAATGCAAAGATTTATGGAACTCCTGCCACTATCGGACCAACCATAGACTTTAACGCAGCACACAAAGCTAATAGTTGTAACACCAAATGTCGACTAACCATTTTTATTTGTTAGACTTGTTCCTTTTAACAATGTTGCAGAGGTTAAAACCAATCGTGGCGTAGTGTTTCTATGAATATACAGTCTTACCCAGAGGAGCTGGAGATGCTGACCGCTCCATACAAAGCACCGGGCTCCGGGTATTTGGGGCTGTAGTTAGCACACTTAGCATCTCCTGCTAGCAAGTCACCGGCTTCCCCCCCGTTCAATCATAACTCTGCGCAAAAATAGCTGATAAATACTTTGAGTTGTTATCTTGACTGTTACAAACGTGACACAATGAAATCAGTGCGAACTGATGTACAATTGTGAACATAACAAGTGAGAGATGTGGGGTTTTAGTCAGGCGCAGCTTTGGCCACCTATAAGAGCCTGCATTTACGTTTCCCTCAACATCTTATAAAAGTTGTGCTATGCAAATAAATAATACAGCATGTCGATAATATAGACTCTCACATGGAACATGGTTACGTAATGGTTACACAAAATAGTCAATTATTTCATTGCATTACTGTATGTATGTATATGTTGATTTGCATTCTTGACTTGGGGAAAACCTTAAAAATCTATTAAATAATACAATATGACGTTCTGTCTTATAATATTCTATAGGCTACTTACATCCTACTTTTTCTTAAGTAAGATATACTATATGACATAATTTCCATTTGAATCATGTGAACAAACGTGATATGTAAGTTGAACTTTATGCTGTAATTTCCATTAATTCTTACGACCTGCGCCCTTTTTGGTTGTGTGTGATAGATGTGATCAGTGGCATGTGGAATTACCAGTCATCGGCGACGAGAGCGCATCGCCTCGCTGGAGCTGCCTCTAAAAACCCTGTGCCCCGCGCAGCCACTCACTCTGCTTCAGGAGGAGGCTGGAGGATGCTGCCCGGATCACCGTTTAATACGATCTTTCCAAGGGAAGCGCTTTCACCTCAACAATCTTTGATGTACTTTCAACTGTGATGTTGTTCACTGAGAGAAATTCTTCGCTTCTCCGTTTTGAACTTGATGCCAGAGCATGGGAGTCGTCCGGACAGATGCTGCGTTCCGCTTTAGAAGTTGGACTGTCAAATATTCCAGCGAATGCGTTTTGACTTTGGAGAAGCACTGTGCAGTTTTACGAGAAGCAGGTAGACTTGGCTTTGTTTGTGCGTAATCAACATGTGGCATATTTTAGGCACGAGGAAAACCTACTCCCAAGAAGCATGTGCTAGTTGTTTACAGTAGGACATGAAGACAATATCTTGATATAATGGATGAGAGATCCAGTAAGCTCATCTTGGTCCCAATCTTAGCCGTTCTCTTTGTTATGATAGGTTATCAGTACATTTGTCCCACTGGCAGCAATGCATGTCATTTCAAGACTGGGGAGAATTTAGGAGGGATGAGCCTCCTCTCCAGCGCCTACGAGGACAGTGATGACTTTTACCGGGACCAAGACTTGGAGGACGACAGCCCCCCCAGAGCCACCTGCAAGTTTAACTTCACCGAGAGAGACCTGGACAGGCATGTGGAGTTCAACATTAAGGGCGATGATGTGATAGTGTTTCTGCACATCCAGAAGACAGGGGGAACCACGTTTGGGAGGCACCTGGTGAGGAATATCCGTTTGGAGCAGCCGTGTGACTGTAAACCTGGGCAGAAGAAGTGCACCTGCCACCGGCCTGGGAAAGAGGAGTCATGGCTCTTCTCCCGGTTCTCCACCGGCTGGAGCTGCGGTCTTCACGCAGACTGGACCGAGCTCACGAACTGTGTGCCTGTCGTTATGGATAAGAAGGAAGCCCAGAGGAATAAAAGGTACCGTTGCAGAACATAGTCTCCACTAAACAAAGTGCGTAATGTGTCTAAACCAGTCAGGACATGATCCAATAAGATATTGAAATGCAGTCTCAAGTACATGCATCCATTGGGTTTTAAGCATAGACTGGAATTTTGTGGGAACAATTGTGTGCCTTCTAGTTTTGTCACAATACTACTACAAGTCAAACTTTCAGGAAAACATTAACAATTTAGAGCAAAATAATAGCTGATACTAACTTTGATACCACTGCGATTATTTTATATGCTCTTATAATCAACTGTAATTCTTTACTCAAAATAATAATTCTGGTCCTGATAGACTACTAGGTTTCTAGTATCTAGTTTCGGTAATAGTTTTATTATCAATACATATGTGATGTTCGTGACTTGCATGACAATCATCAATTTGAGATTAAAAAACAGATCTAAACTTTTAACCAAAACGTTCTTGGAATTGCCTGCATGGCCACACATGTGAGTCAATACATAAAATCTATAGAGGCCAAAAGAATCGGACACTGTGGTATGGACATTATTTCATCATGTTATACGATTCCCTTTAAAGAGATGGTTTGCTATCATTTTTGTTCACTGAAAGTTGATAAGCATATTTGAATATTCCTCAAAACAAGACTTTCCAACAGAATAAGCACACAATCTTTAAATCTTATCCAAGCTGCAACTGTGCTTAACATTCACTTTGGTAATTCTTTTTAGCTATGTGTGACTGTCTTTTCAATCAAATATGTTTACATGACTCACAAAAGGTTGAACAACACTGGTTTGAAAAAATGCCTATTATTGCATAGTTTAATAATACGTTTCTGATTATTCTCTATCGACATACGGGTTTGATTAATATTTTGTGTATTTTAATTACCATTCATTGTGAATAGTAATCATTATCCTTAATGATAACATTATTAATACAATACAATAGCTGTGTGTCTGTCAGAATGCTCAATATATATATACAAATAAACCAAACAGAAATAATAAACCAACCGCTTTTCCTTTTTAAGACTTGCCTCCACATTAGGCAGTATTTTGACAACTCAGGTAATGTTGTGTGATCTTGTCTTTCCCATGTGCCTTTACCACTGCTGTGTCGGTAAACCGCCTGTCCAAATATTTTAGCACCCTGTCGTGATTTTATTTGTCACCAGATCAAAGCTCGATTTGTACCTGCTAAAGAAACTGAATGTGATTAAGCACACACATACACGCACACACAAACACACACAGACACACACACACACACACACACACACATATATGGAATGATTTGAAAGGCCACCAATTCGTTTCATCCTTGTGAAGGCTGAGGTGTATCTGGCAATGATATTCAGTGACCCTGCTATACCTGTATTAGTTCACCTCCAAGTCCCATCTGTGCTTACCCAAGCTGAATGATGCCTTTCTAATGTTTACTTCAATGCAGGAATCAGTCTTTTTCTTTAGTCCTTTTGCTCACTGCATTCAGTGTCCAAGGATGTGATGTCTATGAGTTCCCTTTAATTTTAATTTTATAGTGATTAATGTATTATTCTCATCACGTTTTTGGGCCTATTGTTGCACTTACAAAATAGATCTGCACAAAGTAATCAAAAAAGTATAGTTATTATTGATATTACAAACATTTGTAATCTTTTCAATACATGTTGTTTTTTATGCATAAACATTTACAACAGCGAGCATGTCAGTAGAAGGGATGACCCTTTCATTGACTTAGGGTTATAAAATATCGCAATATTGTTATTGCCGTCACCACTTTCACAAACCACACCAATTTCCTGATTCATGTAACCCTATTTCAAAAGCCAAGACCGACAGTGTTAATTACTAATGGATGAAGGGTCTAAAACACATTACAATGTCATGGTTTTCAAGATGCAGATCAAATTTAGGAGAAAAAAATGAAAGTATATAGTAATAGTTTATCTTTTGTAACTCTAAACCTGTTGCTGTATATGCACTTTAAACTCAATTCTATACTGGATCTACCTGGTTCAGCATATACAGTATTTACTCATTTACTGGACAAGGCACATTTTAAAACATGATGAACAAATTCTGCATGGATCAAAACATTTTTAAACATCCTGGATAAGTCATTACATTTTGTGCGATTTGCTACAACATCCCTTCATATTGTCCCGACTTTATCTCATTTGGATGTGCTTATGCGTACGTACATACATAAATGACCACTTTCACAAACCACAGTCCACAGCATTCAAACTCAATTAACGTGATTCGCTAACGCCGTCAGAAGTATAAAATGGGAAAACGCTGCCACTAGACACTTTCAAGTCTGGGGCTGGAAGATTGCAAAAAAAAAAAACACCTCTTTTTTTTCCTTCTCCTCCAAAACATAATCATCCAGTGAAGTAAAAAGAACATGAGTACACATTATATTTGTGCTGTGCCAAGTGTTTTCTTTGCTTTACTGTGGGCGAGCGCGAGTGGCCAGTAGACGCCACAGCTCTTCATTTCACAGCTGCACCATCCTCTCTCTGCACTTACAGCGCTCTCATCCCCCTGTTCTTTGGCGCGATCCTGCAGCAGCTATTCTCAGATGAGTCTCCAGTACCGAGGACCGAGCGAGCGGGCGCATATTGGCACAGGCATAGCGTTAGGCCACCTCGCTAAACAGCCAGCCGCTTTTACTGCCGGATGACTAATGGCATTATGCAAATTTTAAATCCATATCCATTTTGTGTATGAGCCGTGCCTTAATTAAATATCATATAGAGAAGTATAGTCTTGCATGCTGACATAAAGGGCAGGCCAACAAAATCAATTCCTTTTTAGAGAGGAGGAAATGTTCAAACCCAATGTACAAGTAGGGCTGTGACTTGTACAGTACGTTAAAGGATGAATCGCAAATAAGCAGTTATTGAAATAGTTGTCCACTAATTTAGTAATCAATTCATTGTTTTTTTGAGTCTTACATAGACTTAAACTTGCTGAGAAGAGGTTTTATGACTCAGATAATTATGAAATAAAAGTATATCTTATCGTATCTTATCTTAAATAATCGTTAATTGCAGCCCTAGTCTCTGTGAAGAGGACATAGCTTTAGCTTTGCTTTGGTCAAATTCATTAACAGATGAACAATAACAATAACTGATTAATCAGATGGAGTAATTGGCCATTTACAGCCCTATTTCCAAGTATTTTTGGATTTTGGGCAGTAGGGGATTCAAGTTTATGTCTCTATAATTTTTTTCATGTTTTAAAGAATGCATGCACCCACATTGTCTAGAATGAGTTTGAGTATGAATTATGGTACTGGTCGGAGGGGCCGATGGCACAAACTGGTTGCCTTGCTTATGTCCGTCAGCCCCAGGGCAGCTGTGACAACTTGTGACTTGTGAAGCATCTTTGAGTGTCCAAAAATGCACAATATAAATCATACTTTTGTCTACAGGAAAAGTGAAAGACAGGCAGAACTTAGACCTTATTTGTTGTTGATCAGGAAGAGTTTTTTGTGTTCAGATCACTCAAGACGTGTCACCTCTGGGTCGTGGATTCTGTTACTTACTTTGGTTTGTGTTTTTTTCTTAATGATTGGGTTTCCACAAGGTTGTACAGATAAATTGGATAACAAAAATGTCATAAATTGAAAAAAAAAATAACCAATCCTCTGCTATGCCGTGTTTGTTGGACCAGACAGAAAACACACCCTTCATTGCAAACTCCTTCTGAAGGGCAGTGCAGTGCCTAACTTTCAAACCACACAAAAAAAGCTTGGTTATAGTTTTCACATGCATATATTTTTGACCTCTGTCACATCTTTGGATCATGTGAAATTTCCCCACTGTGGGACATTTAGCTCTCAGCCCAAAGTGTTAAATAGTGCCTTTTTTTTCTCTGCCAAGATAACATGCATGATAACACAGCATGTTGCAAAACTTTGTGTTAAAAATTAATATATTTTTGAAGAAACAAAAAAGTGTAGATATCCCACCTGCAACTACTTTAAAATGTTCAATATGAATTATAAAAAATAATAATTGATATTTAGTTATCTTATAATATTCATTTGTAGCAGACAAAAGCACCAAAGTGGCTTCTTCATATGCCAAGAAGGATATGCTTTCCATCAATATAAAAGCTGAAGAAACAAATGCACCGGGCAGTGCGTGAAGTTTCCATTTCCACCTCGGGGTGCTATGAGGAATACTGATGCCCTGTCAGTGCAAGTATCAGATGGCACAGCCTTGTTTTGCGGCTGGGTGCCTCCCAGATTGAGCGCCTGTCTCTCTGTGGTTTCCAGCATTCACCTCTCCAGTCTGTAAAACCGTGGTGTCTGGGGTGGGGCAGCTGAGGCACATCTGCGAAAGCTCTGTTTGGCCTTTTCAGCTGAAGCCAAAGTTACGGAGCCACTCTCAGAGCCATTGCCCCGGCAAAGGTCAAATATGTCCAAAAGAATCAGGCAGAACGTCCCATGGCATGATCCTCCAGGGGCATCTGTCATTCAGGGAGGAAGGGGGACAGCTTGTTTTCTTGAGCAGCATCTTTTATGGAGAAACATTGTAAGTGCGAGGCTTTCAAGTTGCTTTGCAGTGCTCGTACGTCTCCTGTTGAATGGAAATGTCCCACTGTGCAGGGCTCGCTGGGCTAAAGCTGGCGTGTGTAACTTTAAAAAAAACTCTGTTATAAAATATATGTAATAGTTCCTGGTTCTAGCACTATAGTTTTCACATGCATGTTTTGGCCTCTGTCACATTTTTAGATCAGCTTTTTCAGACAGAATAGTGAAAAAGAGAGGACTACCCTCACTCTGCCAAATAGTCAGATAGTGATAGTGAGTATCAAAATATAGGATGACAACAGCAAGATGTGGTCTGATTAGTCCATGAAAAGTTACCTTTACAAAACTTTTGAACTGCAGAAAAAGATATGAGGCATCGATTGGTGATATAATCTTGAGAAGTAGGGGTGTGCTGAACATAAATTTGTAGATACGTATTGATATTCTGAAATTAGATTCAGTGTTGTTTTTATGATGAAAAACAAATATATATTTTTACTTAAATAACAATCGATCATCAATAAATGAAATATAAATGAATCAATAGTGTGGTATTGCTGTTAACAATAGGGCGGCATGTTAGATAAGGAGCAGAAAGCCTTTATTTTTTATTGAATTATATCAAATTGTTTAGAATATTATATTGAATCGTATTGAGAGGCTCTGAAAGATCCCTATCTCTTGTCCATCTTCTCTCTTGTCATATGCTCTTCCTTCATGCCATGGATGCATGTCTCTGTACGACCTGGAGTCCTGTGTTCCATCAATTAGAATAACAAAAATCGTTGTGGCATTCCAGTCTGTGGTATTTACACACTGTCCTTATGTTTTGGGCAGTATCAAAGGAATATTTGTTCACCAAAGTAAACCCGTTGGACTCAGTCTTTGTTACATTTTCTCATCAGTTTTCATTCCGAGGCTGGCATGACATCTATCACCGAACAACAAAGCTTTATTGTTATGGCTGCGGGTCTCGGGAGAACAAATATATGATTTAAAAAAACGCATTGAAGTTTTGACACCGCGGCATATGTTTTCATTCAACACCGTTACACTTCTATCTACTATAAGTAGTAATATTATCTATGTGTGTAAGATGCTGTTTGAAAGCGATGTTAAATATTAATTTTGATAAAAGGTTAGACTTCTCACGATTGTGGCTTGTTACATTAAAATTTGAGCAGTGAAGCCACTGATTACTGCATGATCCTCATTTATTTATAGCTTCGTCTTCTCCCCTCATGCCAGCTACACATGTGTTCAAAGTACATTAACTATCTCTGGTTAACTTATTTCTCTTTCATTCAGTAGATATTTTTATCCCTTTAATCCATTCTGTTTACAATGCATCTGTCATCCATCTATAACCCAACACTATCTTTGTAAGCTTGCCTGCACCACTGAGACTAATACGCAGTCAGACATGCTGTAAGCTCTTTTTCTGGACACCCCTGGTTCTCATCCTTTTTTGTGTCAATTCTTCCTCTTTTAAGTGCAGCCTCATGCTAATTTTATGCGTATGCTGATGTTGCACTTTTTATCAATTATAAAATCTTCATTAGCCTGGCTCTTGTCGCTAATGCATTATGGATGTGCAGCTCCCAGTACAAAGAAGGCCAAGCTGGAAAACAGAGGAATTGAGCGACAAAGTCTCCCAATGTCTCCCTATGAGTGGGATGACAGATGAAGCAATGACAAAAGATGGGTTTACTGACATTGGGGGCATTAACATTTAACTATCATGTCCTGCTCTGAGAGTAATCTGACTTTGAAGAATGTTTTAGATTAAATATTCAACTTTTGGATGTCAAGGTGAACTCCAAAGTGCGCATGTTAATATTTTCTAATGAGACATTTGAAAACATAATAGTTGATTTAATCATAATTAGCTGGAAAAGTAACACCTTTTTCACCCAAGTTGGTTTGTTTATTGATTCATCTATTATCCACAGGTCTCTTCCTGCTGCAGGACGAGACATTACATGACACCAAAGGACACGCTCTAATCCCACACTGAATAACACTCTGCATCATATTTTATTCATTATAAATGATGCAGAGAGCGTTGCAATTACTGCATGTGTGAGACGACCAGAGTTTGAGCACTGAACCATGTCTCTGTCTCACTATTTGACCCACACCCTGCTCTTCTTTACTCCCCTGAACCTTGTGGATGTTCTGAATGACCTGGTCTAGATGTACACGTTTGTTTCGTGGAACCTTGCAGTTTTAAGCCAATGCAGTAATTTTTTCACTATGCAAAGCAGCAGATTTTAAACCTTTGTTGATTCATGAAATAGTGAAATAATTAAATCATTTATTAATCATTTATTGAACCTCGTGTAGACTTAGACATGCTGAGAAGAGGGTTTGTGACTCAGATAATTTGAAAATCATAATATGTTTAGTATATTTAATCAAACATCCCAATTTGTAACACATAATTTCTAAGGCGATGTTCTCACTTGAGCTTTGGTTTGGTCAAATGTATGAGAAATATAATTCACTGACCTTTTCAGGATCAAAACAACTACTCATCAATTAATGGAAAGAATAATCAGCCTAGTTGATGATAAAAAAATAATTGTTAATTAAAGCCGCAGTGTACTTGCAGATTAATTTGCAACCTGATGGGACCAGAATTGGGATCGGAAAAGCTCATAATAGGAATCAGTGCGCCCCTACTGGTCACCTGTGGCACATGCACCCTATGAGTAATGTAGTGTTTTGCTCATACGGATGTATAGATTAGACTTCAAATTTGATGAGAATCTGAAAAGTTTAGGTCGGAAGCTCTAGAGTCATATTGTTTATTTTCACACCTTTTCATACAGGCTATTACCAACTGTTAGTGATGTGAGTTTCAGCTTTGTAGGTCTGAGCCTGTGGCCAAGAGAGTATCAAACAGGGAGAAATTCCCCATTGTCTTGCATAAAAACGGGGAAAATTTTTTAACTTTTTCTTGAAATTTGTATATCTCCAATCTATCCAGATGGGAAAATGACATGGTAGAAGTCTCTGCGATGAAAAATCTGGGCTAGATCGGATTAAAAAACACGACACCTTGAAATGTCTGTAGGTGGCGCTAATGCACTAACAGTTGTGTTGCATATTGTGGTGTGAATTCATTTCTAGCCAAA